GCTCCCCTTCAGAAATTCTGGTCTGACTCGCGTTTCTTTCTTCAAGACTAAGCAACATGACGGGTGGCGGGTTGCAGAGGTCAAATATAGGATCTCCAGAGGCACTCAGAAGCTGCCTCGTTTTGATAGGTGCCATCAAAGCAGTTGTGACGACTTCAGGGTGTGCATCAAAGCACTCGTATGGCTGCTTATCTTTTAAGTCATTGTCAGCACTACTCGCACTCCAGATATAGGCTCGACGGTCTTCGCTGCCGGATATAATGTATGCCCCATCGTCGCTAAAAGAGGCGTGAATCTGGCTCGACTGGTTTTCCAAGCCACGGAATTTGACCTCCAACATCTTTGTCCGCATGTTGTATATTCTGACGCGGGAATCATTTGAGCTGATAAGAACCTTGACATCCTCTCCATTGTCAGAAGGCAGAAAAGCCGTCCGAATGCCGGTGATTTTACTGCCCTTGGCATTCTTCCCTCTCGATGACCGAACGTGGATTTGGGAGTCAAGTTTCAGGCCCTCCGTTTCATAGAACAAACAGAGCCCGCTTAGGAGGCCACAGATTGCCATTTTCCCGTCTGGCGAAAATGCTGCTGCCGTGATAAGTTCGCCCGCATTTGCCGAAAACGCAACTGCCTTGTCCGGGATGCTCCACAAGCGTAATTGAGCGTCCAAAGAGCCCGCCAAAAAGAATCTGTCATCGGTGGGGTGAAAGGCGATTGATGTCACCAGGTCATTGTGCTTGAACGCGCACAGACATTCCGGTCGACTCATATGCCACAATCTCACAGTTTTGTCCATGGATGAGGAGAGCAGAAAATTATTCTTACTCCAACTCAGATCCAGCACTTCTCCAGTGTGACCTTCAAACTCGCGAGCGGGTTTGGACAGGAAAACCGGCGCGCTAAGCCTCTCGCCGTCACCACGACCGCGGTCCTCCTCCTCCTCCTCGTATGCCCTCCGTTCTTCCGGGGTAGATATCACAGAGAAGACTCTGACAGTATGGTCTTTTCCGGCCACAGCTAGGTATTGGCCATCTAAACTGAACTCCGTAGCCCAGATGGCGTCACCGGCTTTCAAGATTTTCGATCCCACAGCTGTTGCCGGCTCTCGGCTCCGTGGTTCGTCCTCGGATGCTCTCTTCGTCCCCAGGAGCTCCTGTGCAAGAAATAGGTGATTGAAGTCGCGGGTTTTCTTGTTGTGCGGTTTGACCCGGATATAACGGGGTGGCTCTTTGTGAAGTGGTATGTAACCACCACCGGCCCCAACCACAGATGTCAAAGCTCTGGCATTGAAGCCGTCGGTCCGGAGCTCACCCAACTCGGAATCGGAGTCGTTCATGTCATCGTCTTTTTTCCAGGCGCCCCGGATGGCAAGGCGGCTTAGGAATGATGGTCCCTTCCTTTAATATGAAAAGTTGAGTTAGCATATGGTACCTTTTCGCAAAGTCGATTAGGCATGCGCACTTTCGGTCTCGATTTGATTCCACAGCAGCACTAAGGGTTTTGCCCTGACTATCAATGCTTTGTCGATGTTGGTTATCTCGGGTAGGACTATCTGCACGAGCAGAATACAACAATCGCTGAGCAATGGTGGGCTCGGCGTTGCTATTAGCCCGCAAAAATATTTGCTGGTGCCATGAGACGAGTTAAGTCAGTAAGACCGTCTTGGGATATTCAAAGTCGGACGGCAAATGTCGGGCGAAACTTACTGTGCTCAATGGATCCAGCCCAAAGCTGGCCGAGTTTGTGCTAGATGTGGTCTTAGACAGTGGCTTTTGTTCCTTGTCCCTGGCATTTTGAGACGTATTGGTCCGCGGCAGTCGAGAATTCGAGGGACGATTCAGTGGGGTAGGCGGTGATAGGCCATGGTGATTTGTTCCTGTATTATTGATATGTGAGCCCAGAACGAACAAGGTACTCAACTGTGATTCCCCATCACATGGTCCCATTTCGGGGTGTTGGTGCGGTCTCCTCAACCCGATGTCCGCACAACGGACAATTGCAATTACCGTACCTGAAGGATCGGATAGTCCGGAGGTCCCAGGGGCCGAGTCGGGAACAACCTCACCGACTCTGCTCGAGGTGGCCTCCCCATCGCCCGAGATGGCAGGCGAGGATAGGTGAGCCGCCATTGTCCATGCTGCAAAAAGGGTTTTGTGAAAAAGGGCCAGAAGCTAGTTCAAGAGCTTCTGTCCTGGATTAAGGTCCCGGTGCTCCGTAAAAGAAAAAGCGGCCGGTCGCGTCGACGGCCTGGTCGTCGGAGTTGACAGCCTAAACGCTAGGCTAAGTTGTGGCTGGGAATCACGTTCGTCGCAAATCGTCAAGTTCCGCGAGGCGTGGGTATGCGGGATTCTAGGGAGAAGCCTAAATACTCCAGACTAGTGGCAGTCCTCAAAATCCGCCCCGACCCATCCGATGGCAGTCGATGTCGAACAAAATGAACTTGGGGGAGGTTGTCAAGGGGAAATGGCTCGCGTTAGTCTGTAGGGCTGGCGGTAAGATGGGAGCTCAAGGACGGGAAGCCGTAGCTATTTTAGCTTTTTGCCCGTCACGAGGACCGCCAATCCGCACCCACAAAACACGGCCCAAGATGACCAAGTTACGAACGAAATACGCCAGTAAGCAATAGCCAATGTCTGCGTGCCTGCGGCATTGACGGTCTGCTCAGCAACTAACGATTGCTTTCCTTGTTTAGCTACGGGCGGCCCACGAACCTGGTGTGGCGGACGCATAACCTTGAAGAGCACCGAAAACCGCTGATCCGGGGGCGACCATCTGCCACACGCGGCACGGTACTCCGCAGATCGTGTGATATCATGGAAGACTGCATCCTCCGTGCACTACGGAGTACAGCACCCCCCTTGCCTCCCTGTCCCAGCGTTGCACCTTGCAACGTACAGCGACCAGGGCGTCGAAGCCGGAGTCGAAGCCCTCTTGGCCCTGCACCAGCCCGGACTGTGCTGACGCCGACCCGAGATATCGTGGCAGATGATGCAAATGAGCCTACAGCCAACCCGCCATTGGTGGCTCGGGACGGTCATCAACGATGGCTGGTGGCTGCCATTGGTGTTACTGATGCTGCCTTGGCTTACCATACACCACCCTTACCATCCGCCATCTTGTTCATGATACACACGCGACGCGCCAATCCGGCACTTTAGCCTTCAGCCTCCAGCCCAAAGCCCGGGACGACGACTCCTTTTGGCCACATCTAGCGGGGCTAAAGCGAGAGAACCAAGCTCGATTGTATTGACACACTGGCGTTTCCCCCTTCGCCGTGGGTCGCCTCGCGCGTACTCGCATTCTTGCTTGGTCCGTCTTGGCTCGCGGGATTTTGAAGAATGCACGCCTCACTTCTGACAGCGGCCGAAAAGGAACGGTATATTATTACAGTGGCATGCGACAACATCCTTACTGGCCTCCAATGCCATCGCTGGGTCTTTCCATGTGGGCCTGGGGAACTGCGATTCGGCTGATCGTGCATCCTTTACAATTTCGTTCCAGAACCGGGCTGGCATCAAGAAATTACGCACGAGGGTCGCCGCCTCGCTTCTTTGAATGGCGGCGAGTTCAGAGTAGGATGCATCAGATTTCATTCTCAGCAAATATACCATGCACTTCATGACGCTTGCAGATTTATTAATCTCCGCGAAGCCTTACCAACCACTCCAGAAATTGCAGCAACCGGACGACAAACTGCCTAGCTATGATGGAATATACATACTAGGGACATCGTTTGTTGCCAATCGGTACGGAGTACAAGAACAAAGAAAGCTAGGAGAAAGTTACGCGCTATTAATGACGGCTTCCTTCCAAGGATTCCATGACTTAATCCTCTGCCGGACAATTTCTAGATTTGGATGGTCACGGCATGATCAGCAGGTTTTGTTCACTTTTACGGAGAACTAGCACCTCAATCCTCCACCAAGGAACGGCAACAGTCAGGAAGTGATGCCTTCGAAGCACGTAGACCCTGGGCGCCACCCGTCATTTAGTGGAGTGTCCTCAGCGCAAGGGTCAAGCGGCGATTTGGCGGACATCGGGATTGAGGCTGAAGTCCGTCCTCCGGGGAGTCGAAAAAATTGCTAATTATGAGTTTATTGGTTGGGGTCTGTGGCCTCGGTCCACCAGGCGAGCATGACTTGCGGCCAGATGTCTGTCTCCCACGTGGGACTGCGACAAAATGCTCACGATTGCAAAGCGAAAGGAACATCCTGTCTCGGTGAAATAGGGCTCAATAATCAACTCGTCAGGAAGGATTCTGCAGTGGCCTAGCAGCTTGGTACAGTGTAACATTATGACTGCTCATCCAGCCAACCTTCTTGAGCATCGGCACACACGTCATAGAGAATATGGGGGCCAAAGGAACCGGCGTGTAAAACCTGAAACCTGTCCAGCATTACGCGTATCCGACTCGAGCAAGCAACTACGGGGACACCATACCATGCCAGGCCCTACTTTGCTCGCAGGGCCAAGTCGGGTGCGGCTGCACTTTACAATTTGAACAAAATCTTCAAGGTTTGATTATTGCTACCAAGTTGAGGCTCCAGGTCCAGTCCAGATCTGCGTCAGGCCGCCCCAATCGGAGAAACTCGTGCCGGAATGCGACATCCTCGAAACTTATTCGGCAGATATATACTTGATTGAGATTTAGCTGTTGCATATGAGGAAAAGCACGGGTGAGCAGCTACAGCAGCGCTACTACAAGGCAATTGTTGGATTCTTGAATGGGCTGACAGACAAAGCTTCCGGTTGAGAGCCCATCAGGCTCTGGTGGGTGACCTTGGCTCTCACAGTGACTTTGCAGCCACAAGTGTGGTCAGGCTCCCGCCACAGCGCCACCCCCACTACAAACTTCAGAAACTGCCGTCACCGCAAACTACGGTTCCACCTTGGGTACAAAATATAGGTGACATTGGGAGCAACTCAGCAAACACCAAGCTTCTCTCGTTGCAAGATTCCCTTCGCCTATATACCCTATATTTCATAGTTTGTCAATAAGAATGAAGTTGATTAACAAAAGAGTCCTCAAGGATGTGGAGGAAGACCAGGTTTCTCTGCTGCCAGAGGACCCTGAGGACATGGTATGTTCTGATCCCCAGTTGTGTCCTCAACACCATCGTGAGCCTGGAATCTAACATGCTGAGAATAGTGGCATGCCTACAACCTCATTATCCCTGGCGATCTAGTACACGCCCATGCGCTACGGAAAGTTGTTACAGTCAACTCCGGCACTGGCGCAGCAGCCGCCGAACGAGTCCACACAGACCTGACGATCAAGGTCAAGTCGACCTTCTTCGATCCTGTCATATCTTCCCTGCGAGTCTCTGGCGTCGTCGCATCAGAAAACGACCATGTTCCCATGGGATCACATCACACACTCGATATCGAAGTAAACCGATCCTTTACCGTCATCAAGCCCGATGGTTGGGATTCCGTTTCCAAAGCCACCCTGTCACAAGCGCTTTCCGATGACAAGAACGGAGCTATGGCAGCGGTAGTCATGCAAGAAGGGCTAGCAAATATCTGCCTCATAACTCAGTTCCGTACCGTTGTCAAGACTCGCGTAGAGAGTGTTGTCCCCAAGAAGCGCGATACTGCTGCGGATCAGGATGCCGGCCTCAAACGATTCTTCGAGAAGACTCTGTCCTCACTCCTCCGAGCCGTCGACTTTTCGGACTCACGGCCACTCCTACTAGCAAGTCCTGGCTTCGTGGCCCAGGATTTCAAAGAATTCATTGCAAAGAGAGGTCGAGACAAGTCGGACAAGGTGCTCACCGCCGTTTCCAAGCAAGCTACGGTTATTCACGCCAACTCTGGGCACGTTTACAGTCTGAATGAAGTCCTCAAGAGCCCCGAAGTAATAGCAAAAATGAAGGACATGAGCTACATCAAGGAGGCACAATATATGGACAATTTCTTTGATCTATTGAAAATGGACGACGGACGAGCATGGTACGGCACAAAAGCGGTAGAAAAGGCAGTTGCCGACGGGGCAGTTGGTCCTGGCGGCGGCGTTCTGCTCGTTAACAACTCACTATTTCGAAGCCAGGAGTTGGCAACACGCAAAAAGTACGTGGCGTTGGTTGACAAGGTGAAGAATGATGGAGGGGAAGCACGGATATTAAGCAGCGACCACGAGAGCGGGCAGAGGCTGAAAATGATGGGCGATATTGCGGCTACCTTGAATTATCCCATGATGGATTTGGATGATGACGGGGAGGACGAGGAGGAGCCCCAGGCAGTTGTGCCCGAACGAAACCATGAGGATGACTACGGCATGCTAGACAGCGTTATATAGATTGGTAACGAGAAATGAAGTAAAATGGTTAAACCCATGCGGCAAATAGTCCATCCCATCTATTGGCGACATTCAATGAGCTTTGCTGTGTGCCCCACCTTCACCGTGTCCGTGGACATAACGGCATTAATCGGCTCTCGTTGTCACTTGGATCCGTCAACCAAAATCGTTCTTTGTTCTCGCTCAAGGGTGCCCAATCTCGCGAGAATTATATAAAAGCCGTCAACAACTCTCACTCAGTCCCAGCTCCTCCCAAACGTCGTGGCTCACTCGGCCCCATCCCACGCATCATGGCGTCCAAATTGACCCTCGACTCGACCGTCAAGCTCAACTCAGGCTACACTCTCCCCGTGCTCGGCTTTGGTGTACGTTTTCACATCTTCATGCCCGTAGACGCTCATTGCTAACCGTCCCCCGCAAGGTCTATCAAACGTACGAAGTATGAGATTCAAGTCTTGATGTTGCGTGTCTTGCTGACACACGACACGCAGGCCAAAGGAGATTGCTACCGATGTGTGCGCTCAAGCTCTCCGCCTTGGATACCGCCACGTGAGTCCAGCCAAAGCATCTGACAACGACGCAATTTCCATACATTTTCTAAACCGCGACGGGGGGGAAAGATTGACTCCGCGTCCGCCTACCGCAACCAAGGGCCCTCTGCAAAGGCAATCGCCGCCTCAGGCATCCCGCGGTCCGAGGTCTTCTTCACGACCAAGGTGCCCATGAGCGGCAAGCCCCTGTCCTACGACAACACGCACGCGCTGGTCGACACTGCCCTCCGGGACACGGGCCTGGACTACCTGGACCTCGTGCTCATCCACTCCCCCTACGGTGGCACCGAGAACCGCCTCGGGGCCTGGAAAGCCCTCGTCGAGCTCGTCGAGGCCGGCAAGATCCGGTCCATCGGCGTGTCCAACTACGGCGTCCACCACCTCGACGAGCTGGAGGCCTACATCAAGAAGCTCGAGCAGGAGCGCGGCGGGCCGGGCAAGGGCGGCGTCATCTCCGTCGGGCAGTGGGAGGTACACCCGTGGCTGACGCGCTCCGACATCGTGGCCTGGTGCGAGGAGAGGAGCATCGCGGTGCAGGCCTACTGCCCCATTGTGCGCGGGGAGCGCTGGGGGGAGCCCGGGGTGAAGGCGCTGGCGGACAAGTACGGCAAGACCGAGGCTCAGGTTCTGCTGCGCTGGAGCCTGCAGAGGGGCCATGTGCCGCTGGTCAAGAGCGTGACGCCGTCCCGCATCGCGGAGAATGCGGCCGTTTTCGATTTCGAGCTGACCGACGACGAGGTGGAGGGCCTGGCTACCCGGGACTATAGCCCTTGTGCTTGGGACCCGACGGTTGAGCCTATTGACAAGTAGACTGCTGGAGTTTGGGAAATATGTTTCCCATAAACAAGGGCGGAGGCGTAGTTTCACATATTGATCTCAGTAGACCATGTTTATGAACTAGCTTCTATTCATGACATCCAATAGAGCCGGTGTGTATTTGGTCAAGGTAGCATGTCAATGTACAACACCCGCCATCAGTAAGTTACCCGTTTAGCCAAATTACAGCTTGACCGAATCTTGGTGCGGCGGGCGATCTTGCATATGCACTGATACTGTAGCTCCCTGTGCCACTATTCGTCCCATATGTCCAAACATAAGTAGGGTGCATAGGTCAAAGTTGATAAATCTCCTAATAGCGGCCTTTCCCTGTAATTCATGAGTAGTGGATGAGCGTTGTTGCGTTGGTGCATTTTGCTTTACCAGGTCCCGAACAAGTAGCCTATTGAACTGTGTTTCTATTCGTTCTTGTTCATAACTCTAGGAGCCCATTTGAACATGCTTCAATAAGCCCCTCATGGCGGTTGCATTTTTCTTATGCATAGGCACCCTGGGCCGCCTCAGGGAATCCGCATCAGGCGACTTGCTGTTACACATGCTTCGTATGTTCTCCTCCCATTTTTACTGCCCACACATCTGCGAGGTTTTACCCTTTTCCAAGGACCGGCTTTCACATCTGTCAAAATGGACTACATCACGCGTATGCTCTCTAATCCACTGCAGAATGTTCACTGCCTGGTAACACCCCCACGCGACGAAGCCGATAAAATACAAGCTGACATCTATCAAGATTATGGTCGACGCCGATCGCCCGGGTCGAACCCTCTCATGGCAGGAGTACTCGGTTACCGTCAAACGTGTAGCCGTAGGGCTGCGTGAAGCGGGTGTAGCCGACCGAGATGGAGTAGGGCTTCTTAGTCCCAACGACATATACTTCCACGTCTTCGGTGACGGCGCCATTGCCGCAGGAGCAGTGTTTGTTCCTATTCCCGGGTTTGTTAAAGAAGCAGATCTGGCAAATTGCATTACTTCAGGAGATGTGAAGTGGTTGTTTGCCTCGCCCGAGCTCATAGAGCTGGCACTGGCGACTGCAGAAACGTTGGCCATGGACACATCCCGAATATTGGTTTTCGATCCACCCGGGCTTGATCCGTACAACGGCCCTAAACTAAGTTTTAGCAGACTGATGGAAGCCGACGAGACCGTCTGGCGCAACCCGTACAACGGCCAGGATCCAAGGACCTTGACAGCTATTCGACTGTTTACCAGCGGAACAACGGGCAAGAATAAGGCGGCCGAAATATCTCATGCCACTCAGGTTGCGCGGCTGGATTCAGATCATGCGGTGTTGCCACTCGGGTCGAAAGTCCTTCAGATAACTGGCATTTACCACCTCTCGGGACAAACAGTCTGTAACCGTGCTTGTGCAGGCATGTTGACGGCGTACGTTTCCAGGGTCGACAACGATCCGGCTACTATCCTTGATAAGATCCAAGTTTATGGAATTGACGCAGTCCTATTTCCAACTGTATTGATTAAGAAGTTGACGGCTGCACTACTTGATGGGGTTCGGCCTCGGGACACTCTCCAGTCACTTCGCTACGTCACGTTCGGCGGATCATTCTGTGGGACACCAGTGCTTGAAGCCCTCAAAGATCTGTTGCCAAGGGAAGCACACTTGCGGCCTGTCTATGGCTCGACAGAAAGTTGGTTCGCTAGTATCGCGCAGGATTGGACACCCGGATATGTCGGTTCGCCTATGGAGGATGTCCAAGTGAAGTAGGTTCGTTCCCCTCATTATACACAAGGGCTGAAGCTGAAGCGGTTGTTGGTAGGGTCATCGACCCCGAGACGTTGGAGCCTCTCGTCCCCGGGATCGAAGGTGAAATCTGCTTGCGCAGCGCATATGTCTTCGATGGGTACTGCAAGAACCCAGAAGCTTCGAAGTCTGCTTTTCTGCCCGGTGAAAGCTGGTTCAGAACTGGGGATAAGGGAAGTTTGGACGTGAGAAACGGTCAAATTGCCTTGACTGGACGTTACAAAGAGATCTTCAAGGTGAATTCTGTACAGGTTTCGCCCAGCGAGGTCGCCGAGCAGCTGATGCTGCACCCTGGAATTGAGGACGCTGTGGTTTGCTCAACGCCTGCCCGAAATGATGATGACGCCGTGGAGTGTATGGCATATGTTGTTCGCAGAAAGGACTTGACGGCGCAGGAGGTGGTTGATTATATTGCGACGAAATTGAACCGACATAAAAGCCCAACGGGTGCTGTCGTGTTTTGCGAGCACATCACCCGGGGCGCGGCGGGAAAGCCGGTAAGGGACCATTTGGTGGCACAGACTCCGCTTCCCGGATCGGCGAGGTATTTGAGCCTTTCTGCAAGTCATAATTAACATGGTGAAGACTATGGTGATGCTGGTGTGGTGTGGCGATGCTCCGGGAGGGAGCTCCTGTTGGGAGTTGGCGCCCAACCCTACTGGGTCTTTTCTCCTGGCAAGACTCTACACCAGCATATTACCACTTGCAGAATAGCTTCCATAGAAGAGTGGTAATTGATGCCAGTGGCGGTGATTTTGGTGCATGGTCAATTGCTGGTCAATGATTGTGTGTATTTGCGGTGATAGTCCATGGACCAGCCAACGACAGGTGACGACAGGGCCTGGGCCCTGGGCATAATTTAAAATTAAAAAGCAAAACTGCGCTCAATGAGGCATGCAATTACGTAGTAGTCTGTTCGAGCTTTGCTCCGCAGAGAGATGATGCACGACGGCGACTTGTTGCCCTTTGTTCTGGCCGTGTGTGCATACTTGTGCGACGTTGAAGCTGAGTTGCTTGACATTAAAGTGGCAGAGAGCCCCGGCTTTAATTGACAAGATGCATGTGCCACTATTGATCGCTCTTGGCGTGGTGGCCCCACTCAGTGCTGCTTGTTCGCCTGTACAGGCGCGCCGCCGCTGGACCGAGTCTCAAACTTCACGAGCTTCGACATTCACGCACGACACGCCATCAATGGAACATCGACGCGTCTTACGTCGCCAGCCACTACCTGCGCCATGCCCATGCAAAGGACATTCACGATTATCCCAAATGCCCCCGCCCCCCAGCCAGCCCAACATGTTCGGCCCATGACGACAAAACAAGTGCGCAAGGCCTACAAGGCATCAACAAAGACCCCGCCCATGTCCCGCGCTGAACGCTTAAAGCAAGACAGAGCCGAGCAGGAGAGGATACGGAAAGAATTCGAAAGGGAAAAGGCCGCGGCAAAAGCAAAGATCGCGCGAGAAAAGAAGCGCGAGAAGGAGTTGGCCGAGCGGGAGCACAAGAAAAAGCTCGGCATGCCGCTGGTGGACGTGCGCCCCAGCCAAAGTACGATTGCGAGATTTGTCAGAGGCAACGGCTCTGGGAAGAAGAGGGATTCCGGGGGCGGGACTCTGGAGGAAGCCGGGAAAGGGGGTGATGACGTGGAGGATAAGGAAACCGGACAGGAGCAGGCGCACAGGTTGAATCACGACAGACCCGAGCTGGATTTAATACCGGAAGAAGACGACAGCGAACTGGCGGAGATTTTGGACACGATGACGAATAGTACTAGCAAAGGGACTGCGCAAAAGGGACCTGACATGGAGGAGAACGCAGAACCACCAGAGAACCATGCTCTGGAACAAGACAACCCGCCGACGACACCGCCTCCTCACAAACAGCCAAGTCGGAAGCCAAAAACCCCCCCGGGGCCCCTGGGAGAAATGAAGCCTCCCCCTCGCCCGTATCAAGCGAAACCACAGAGGCCCGTCCACTCGCCACCGCCAGTCATCCAGCAACCGCCAATGAGCACACAAGCCATCCTTGGCAACCTGGACGATTTCTTCCCTTCATCATCCCAGCAGGCACTCGAGCTCCAAGACGAGACCCTCGACGCCATGCCCGGCGACTGGCTCAGCGACATGGAAACCCCAGCTCCGCAGCAGCAGGATCAAGCACCGCCGCCACCCAAGCGATTCTTCACGCCGTCCGGCTCAGACGAACTCGTGTCCCTAGCCATACAGCGGAGTAAACGCACCGCAGCGGTAGAGCAACTAAAGGACCAAGAAATCGCGCAGGCGCATCATACCAAGGAAATGGCAACTTGTAAACGACCCGGCTATTCAACAACAAATACAACCTTGCCGCAGAAGCGTGTCGACAGCATCACAAAATCAAGTCCTTCATTCGGAGAGGACAAGGAGAATATATGCATATGCGATATGAGTGGCTCGCAAGAGACAGAATATGGAGGTGATTGGATGGACGACCTGGCGTTAGATTTCATCATTTAGGGTTATAACAGGACGCAAGCATGACGAATTACTCGGGAATAGAACAGCACATGATACCACGGGACATAGTTATTGGGGGGTGAATACGTACCGGTTTGTCGTCATCACCACGTCGGGAGGCATAGGATAGTCAGGACATAAGGATACCCAGACACATGAATTACTCAATATTCGGTGCAAAAAAAAGGCACCTCGTCTGCCACATATTGCGCAGCCACTTCAAAGTGTATTCTTGCAAAATCTCAGCTGATTCAAGATAAACCCCCAGCGCCGCCGCTACAGTGACCCTGTGTTCCAAAAAACAAAAAGAAGCAAAGAAAAAAAGGACTAGAGAAACCATTCGTCGGAAGCTCCGTAAATTGTGGTATCATCTCCCTCATAACATGCTACAAGAGTTTCACAGACCTAAAACGCCAGTGTCTAAAACCCGCTCCGCCATGCCATGCCATGCCATGATATGTCAAGTTCATCATCAAGTGTGCACCGTCTGCCTGGCAGCCAAACACGGGCACAAGGCCCCGCTGGCTTGACCGGAGATTCGTGGATTGTTTTGTTGTTGTACAGGTTTCCTTCACAAATAGATGCCCACCCATTCCGTCTTGAGAGCAACCTTTGAATCGCAGCTCTCCACAGCGCATCGGATGTCGTTTGGTGCGATGCCGGGTGTTTTCCCTGACGGCGCCCGAAACCCAACGCCCAGAGGATTGGCCTTGGTCGGTCTCCGATTCTCAAAGCAATCCGCGCAGTAAACCTTTCTCACTGTTAGTGCACTTTCCGACTTGATCGTAGTCCTTGCAGCTCATTATGCTTACATGTCCACATTTTTTTAGGGCCCAGAAGTGGTGTTCGCCAGGTGCTCGTTTTCTCTTCTTGCCGCTCGTAGAGGCTGAGCCTTGTTGAGGTCCTGTTCCTGTTGGGTCGTATGCGAGTTCATCTCCGCACGCTGGGCATATAACCACCCTCTCATCTGCCAACGAGGTGTCTCGAGTGAATCCATCGCGTGTTGGTGGAACCGGTTCCATTGGTGGTTTGGGGCTCGGCTCTCTGGCGGCAAAATTGGGCGGAAACTCGATTGGGGTTGCCGTGAAACCTCGAGACATGAAGCTGCCGCCCAAAAGACCCGCTATTCGACGAACATTATTCGAAAGGTTGGAGTAAATACTGCCACTGTTGGCGTTGATAAACTCCAATTCAATTAATTGATCCTGTCTAAAATTTCGTGTTCGATGATGATGATGGTGGTGATGATGGTGGTGGTGGTGCCGCTGACTCCTAGTCACTCTGGGCTCTGGAGCACGATCATCTTCTGGTGAATCAACCGTCAGATCGATAACGCTAGCCCCGGTTCCCATGAAAGTACTGTCACTTCTGGACAGGGAAGGCGGTGTTGTTCGTTGTGAGTTTGTCCGCCTCGGGTTCCTTCCTATTTGACTTGGTGGTTGCGAATGCCGTATCTCAACAGGCGAATCTGGCTCTTCCGTCAGATCAATGAATTCTGTACTCTGCATTTGCTGCGGCTGCGACGGTTGTCGAGACATCGGGCCAAGAGGTGGTGGATGGCGGTCACTCCTTCGACCAGGGCGTAATCTCACAGGTTGGGCTGGAATCGGCTGCAGAGGATTTAGCAAGTCTTCGAGGGGATTATAGGATCGGGTCGGGGGAGACGAATGAATCTCGATGAGATCATCCTCGCCCGTGAAGTCGAGCCCTGCGTCCCCGACTTGCGTCATTTCGAGGGTGCAACAACGTCCGTGTGGTCGGAATAACCGTGCAATATGTTGCTGTGGAAGGGCACACGCAGCTCTGGCTGTCGGCTTGGCTCCGCGAGGAAATGCGCCGTGTTATATTAGCATCCGCTTCGCTCGGCCGGTCCGCTCCGTGCAGGCTGCACTCGGTTTGTCGCGTTCAATGTTCAGCCGGTGGCAAACAAGATTGGAACGCCAGGCCACAAAGTCCGGCGTTCGGGAGAGACACTTTCAGGACGGCGCCGCTGGTTGGTAATCAGCCAAAGGACTCTGGGGTGAAGGCCACGCCTGATCGCCTAATGCGTGATCGAGGTAGATGATAAATGCCAGCGTGATGTATAATCGCCTCGACGGTAGGAGAAGGATGTGTTCGCCAAAGTATAAACAGGTGAGGATGGTGTTTGCCGCCGATGGCGTGTTGTGTGTCCGAGACGGGTCGAGTGTCGATTGCCCCTCCAGAGTCTTAGCAGTTGACCGCAAGCACAGTGTTGAGGCTGCTTGGCTGCCCAGCAGCGGCGGACGCCCGGATGCATGTGGTCAACTGGAGTCTGGCAGACATCACTCTGGGTACTCCGTACTGGTACTCCGTACATCGAAGTCAATCTTAGCCTTCCAGACGTCAACTCACCTCTGACTGGCGCCTCAATGGCCATGCTCCACTGAAATGGCACCTGGGCCTTTGTGAATGCATGTGGAGTTGGTGGTGCTGGAATTTCAATGCATGTGTGCATTTGCCACCAACCAGATGCCGACCCGTCAAATCATCTTATTCCGGGCTACGCACCGACAATGATCATGTGCATAACATGATCTGTCATCGTGTCCAAATGAAGAAGAAGCAAATTAGTTAATTGTCTCCATTGTACCATTTATAAGACCAGAGACAAGTAGGTTACTGTAGGTATACAACTATTTGAACACGACTTTCGCCCCCTGCCCATTTTTTCCTTGTTTGAAAACATGTAGACCGTGATATCAACCAGCAAAATGGTCTCTTGCCCAAATTCCGTGCTTTATTCTTTGACGCCGAATACACTCACCACCCCTTCTCCATTAACTGCCACGAGCTTTCTCGCAGACTCTCCCCATCTAACGCCAACAGCCGGAGTAGAATTTCTGAATGGTTCACTCCACTTCTTGCTCGACTTGGTGTACTGTTGAACCGTCACGCCAGATGCACCGCCAGTTGCCAGGTATTGGCCAGTGTAATCCCAAGCCAAAGACTGTACCGATCCACCAGTCTCTAGGACCTTGGCGGTTGCCGCATCTCCCTCCTTGCGCAGATCAAAGATTGTGACAGTCGTCTGGCCCTTGGCAGTAGCGGCCAGCCAGAAACCGTTCTCGGAAAAGACAAGGGCCTGAACGGGGGCACCAAGCTTGAATATGGCAGCTTGGTCCAAGTTCTTGGTCATGTAGAGCTTGATATCTCCACTGACAGTCCCTGCAGCGAAGAGATGTCCATCAGGGTGGAATGTGCATGTGGTCAGAGCTAGCGCAGTCAGTCAACCATGAGCCAGGGAGCTATTGAGATAGTAGAGATGACAGAACTTACAGGCATCCGCAAATGCACGGCTAGCGCGCTTCATGGTGGCCAAATCATAGAACACGATGCTTTTGTCGGTGCCCACGGAGGCAAGAATATCCGCCCCAGGGTGAACACTGAGACCAGTGACAGGCCCAGAATGCTCGGAAACTGAAGCAACTTCATTGCCTCCTTCGTACACTTTGACGTTGCCCTGGCTGGTAGCAAAGAAGAGCTTTGGTCCATTCCACAAGGTATTTGTGACCGCCTCATTGATGGGCAGCTGCCTTTCCAGCTTGTCTGCTTCAATAGAATAAATAGCAGCCTCGCCTTTGAGACCACCTAGAGCGGCATATCCTCCTTCGAGATCGATGGAAGTCGTTTCCGATACGGGTAGCGCGCTAGAGGCAGTCGTATCAAATGCGGATATGTCATCAGAAGTAGCCCAGCCTTCGGGAACAGGCCGCTTCTTTCGCCCCTTTGATAAGCTAGAAATCGCGTTATTAGCATGAATGCAGCATCATGGAGGGCGAATGTCAGGCACATACGACGCATGAACTTCATCCACCTTCTCGGCAAGTGCCTCGGGGAGACCTTCGACGCTATCCACAACCATCTCTTCGCCATTGATAGCACCGTCTGTGACTGTTACCTTGCTGAGGGAGTCTCTGGCTTCGTCCCTCTCTTTGCTCAAACGCGCAATGACGCGAACAGCAGCGTCATGTTGGTAAAGTGCGGTTGCCAATTCTTCCCTAGTTCGGGCAAGTTGCTCTTTCAGGTTATATGTTTCCAGAGCAAGATTGTCCCACTCGTTTTGAAAAGTCGCCAAAAGCGCGGGTATTGATGTTAGTGTAGGAGGGCGAGGGCGGACGACGCGCGAGGACTGGATGGAAAGAAGATCATCGGCCGTGAGAGCCTCACCGGTGCTGGGTTCGGTGCCATGATCGTTGATGTATTGTTCGATAAGTCTCTTCTCGTAGACAACTCCTAGAGGGATGTCAGGACAGACTGGAAATGGCATCAGCAAACAAGGTTTCCTACCAGACTTCTTGGACACGACGGGCTCTTGGGGAGCTTCCCCGGAAACTGGATGATGATGTTAGCATAAATATACTCATTTTGATACGTGACAGGCCTCTCGTACTTCCACAAAGCATGGCGACTGATGCTGAAAGCTATCCCAGCATTCAATGGTATCTTGTCGAGCCGTCACAGAATCGCGCTGGCCCTGCCTGCACCTGCGACTACAAGGTACTGACTGTCCCGATTGAGATTTTCCGGTTCGCGAAGCAGAGAGCACGGACCACTACGAGATGCTGGTTGCGACAGGTGGATCACGTGAAGTGTACTCCGTACAGCGTGTCTCTCCCCATGATCGATGGCAGCAACTCTGTCAACCTTTTGCTTCTATGTAGGCCTCAAAGACGAAAAAAATTAGATGACAACTCAAATGTACCATTATGCTTGTGCATTGAATGTAAGGCAATTGTATACAGTAATCTAGCATTTTCTGCTCATAAGTGCATCCACCACCTTATGCTCTAACTCGAAGTCCCGCGCCGGAGAGCTCCGATCCTCAGGCGATCGTCGCAATGCCCCGGGGCCCGTAATGTGTGCACATGTGATGTTGACCATAAAACTGGATGACGAACTTGTATGCCTTGGCTGCTGCGATAATTCCAAGAATACTTGATTTGCTATCTTGGTCGTTTTCGGCCACTTCTTTGCGGTCCCCCTATGTAATATTCAGCAAACGGCTTCCAAAGGCCAACTCTCCAACATGGCACACAAGCTCCCTCAGATCGGCGTCTTGCAGTCACTGTCCGAAGATGCTCAGACAAAGACGTTGGATCTCCTCTTTGAGCCCAGCCCGGCCATTCACTCGACTCTCTTGCCGGTGGTACGGAACGCCGAATACTCATCATACTCGGAGCTGATAGATGAATGCCGGCCGGCGCTGTTCGATCTCTCAAGCAAGTCTACGCCATCCAACCCCAACCCCGTCTTGTTGTCGGTTGTTGGCTCTCACCCACGGCTAGGTTCCAAAAAGGTCGACTCGGCACAGTCAGCTTCGGAGCAAGCCAATCTTCAAGGCCAGGGAGAGCAGCTCACAGAGCTCAACCGCGAATATGAAGAAAAGTTTCCCGGTCTGCGATTCGTCGTTTTTGTCAACGGCAGAGGGCGGCCTGAGATTATGAAGGACATGAGAGCACGCATTGACCGCGGGGACTTTGCGATGGAAGTTGACGCGGCGCTCGAGGTAAATAACTCTCGAATAATGGTGTCAAGCCTGTAGTAGAATGCTAATTCATGCTAGGCTATGTGCGACATTGCAAAGGACAGAGCGTCCAAGCTTTTGGCATGAGACGCAGTCGAGACCACTGTTTGCTATAAATTTACTCTGCAAGAAAGGCAGAAAACGAGGCGTAGAAGCAATCTCTATCAATTGATTTCATTTCCCTGATTAGAGATATTGGATTTAGTCGGCGCTGTGTAAAGGCGGTATGATAGAAGTAACAACAAAAAAATGTCAAAAAAAACTCAGCATAAACCTTTTTTCGACTCGCCTTCCTTAGAGGCCCCTACATGCCACAGTGGAGTGGCATCAGAATAGAAATGTACAAAGAGTGTTGTGCCAGGGACGTGATCATGTTGTAGTTGTCGACGGTGGCCTCACTGCACTCACTCCCTGCAAGGTTCGAGTTTCAGTCTCCCGATTGGTAAGACAGACTAATGGTGTCTACGAGTATGGGTGACAGGTATACGGACTGGGACTTCTGGAGTACGAAATACAAGAAAGAGCTTTAAAAAGTCCCGTGTGCCATGGAGTGAGCAATAGTGCACAGTACTCCGTACACATCCAGCGTGTGCCATGAATGTTCACAGAACGGTTGCCGCCTCGATCTCCATTCGCCACATGCAGGTTCCAGCAGTCAAGCCTGCAACTTAGGGTAGGAGTCTGGTCAGATGAGTTCATGCTAGGGTGACATCTTACATCTCTACTGTGCAGAAGGAATGTGGAAGCCGCATAGAGGGTTTTATCACTTCAATGTTGTGTTACTATTACCGGGAAGGCAAATTATGCCTTTCTCAAATTCAGCAATGCATCAATATGCAACGCGGAGGTCAAGCACTTTCGAATCAGTGCGAAGGGCACTCCTTCCTTCCTCCAAGGAAGCGATCAGAATTTGCACTCCGTAGCCCGGTGGGTGCCTACCTGTGACTACTGGGTATTAATGAACAATTGCTATCGCCAACTACCCTGGGATAATGCATTTAAAACAAAGGGAAAATGGTACATATTAATGATAAAACTGTACTAAAATATTCTTATTAGTATATCATCTGCCTAGAGCGTTGTATATTAAAAATGCCGCTATTTGCTGTCTTTCAGTGCACCTAGCGCCTGTTTACTGTGTACATGTATCCACACCAGACATGACTACTCGCCTATTCCAGCAGGCCAGGCTTGCGCCATCAGGGACGGTCATGCCTTCCATGTTAAAATTCAAACCGTCTAGTGCGTCTGCTTTCGCAACGAGCCGCATCGCCCTGTCCCGGCATCACGCTCCCTGGCGTTGTTCAAGCTTGAGGCTTTCACCGAGATGGCCATCATCTTGAGACGACGCCGGGCTCTTTCGCAATCAGCAGCTGGCCCGGTTGAGGAATGCACATGTCGTTGACCACTACGAAGCCCCCCCTACCCCCCCCCCCAGGGGCCTTCAGCGCGGGACCCTGCGCCGTCAGAATATTCACGCAGTACGGAGTACTTGTTGTTCTAGCCGAAGGTACACATGGGCGTCATCAACCAGCTGTGGCGTGAAGCCCTTGTGCGCAACGCCTCGAGCCTGCGAGTGCTAACTTGTCGGCCAGGTCCTGCTTTTCTGCCAGCGCAATGGCAGCTTCAAATTGTCCTGGGAATGAAGCTCTGCTGCCGCGGCAGGTCGTGCCGTACACATATCATCAAAGGGGTTCTCACAGCTGCTGGTCCCGTGGCCGCAGTTGATGTAAAAGTGGCCTTCTCGTATTGATATGCCGTGCTTCTGTAACAGATTGACCATTCCTTTGGGTTGAACAGCAAGGGCTCGGGGTGGTTAAACAATTGATCAGTTCCATGTCCCATCAAGGGCATGTCGACATGTAGTAGGCTAAGGAGTCAGCCCATCTTCACCATGTTGGCAGCTCACCATTTAATCCTCGGAGGAGTCGGGCATTGCTAATTGTGCGACCAGGAATAGCTACTGCAGCAGACACAACAAGCAATGCTCTGTCTGCCTTCCCGCCTGGCCAACCAGAGGCAGTACATGAACTCCGAGAATCTTACCGAGCCGTTTCATACTTTCGCGATGTGGTATTACTCCGTCCTTGCAGACGTCGAAGCCGCCGGTGTGCCGTTTATTTCAATGTTGCTTATGTGCGTCGCGCTCGGGCTCGCGCTGGCTACAGGGGGTTGGTCAGATCAAGCCATGGGGATCGGCAAGTCATCACCCATTCCGACACTTGGGGGCGAGGAGATGCTGCCGTGGTGCAGCCCTAAGTTCGTTCCGAATTCTACAAAGAACCTCGATTCGGAATTCTCCTTGGGAACCCAGACATACATGTACGTGCCTAGGTAGTAGGCATCCCCCAATCCAAGTCAGTTATTTGTGGAAATAAAATGGAATATATCACTTTTTATTTTTGCCATTCTGGTTTCATGGCCTCAAGAAAATCAGTCCGATTACCACCGGCAGATATGATATCGTCTCGGTGATTTCATATCCATCTGCATCGGGCAAATAGTCATGATCACGACCCTCCTATTGTAGATGTCGAACGAGGCTACACAACAGTTATCCCGGCCGCTAATTGCTACAGTGGAAGCGGAAGACTTGGTGCTTGTCCGACGTCGTCATTGCTTCAGTATTCCTCGTGTCGCTTGTGGCGCGCTGGCTGCAAGTCGATGAAACACAACATTGAACCGAGCAACACAGAGCAGCCAACAAGGCCAGGTCGTTCGTCGTACCAATGTGCAGCTGACTACCTACCTAGACTACTGTACTCGAGTACTTCGGTACCCAGGTAGGTAGCTCAAAAATACAACAGCGGTACATCAAGATGGCTCGGAACCACGAGCCCAACAGCTTGCAGAAGCCAGCTCCCTTCCGCGTCCGTTCAGTGACGGCCAGGGGAAGACTCCATGTTGATCCATGCAGGTAAGCACACCTTGATGCATCTCGATACCTCACTATAATGCCAACGAACCTGGCGGGGTGCCGAAATATAATAACCGCATATGAACCACACAAAAGCACTTGATAAGCACGACCAACAACCCTTGCGCCCTCTTCGCATTTCGGCCTGCTTTGATTCGCAATAAGTGTCCTTCGCAATGGCGGAAGCATAAGCTACGAGACACAGTCTGCCCGCCAGAAATTCAATTTTATCGTTCGCTGTAAAGAAAGCACTTGGCCTTCTCTGGAATTTCAGTTCTACATCCGCCGCGCTCAGCAGCACCGAATATCAGCATGTCAAACGCCACAGGCCTCCCCCCAGATAACAACCCGGCAGCTTCTGTAAATAGTGGCATGAGCAAAGAAGCCTTTTATGTAAGTTAGGCTCGCAACAGCATGGACAACTAGCGTTGAAGCGTCATCCACGTCTAATCTTGTGCAGGCTGTTGCCTGGACTGCCACATGTCTCCCCCTTCCCTTTCTTCTCTTCCGTCTAGCGATACGCATCCGCTCATTCAAGACTCTATTTGTTGACGACGCGCTTGTCATCGCCGCTTGGCTCATGCTACTCGTTTCCACAATCCTCTGGCACACGAAAGCAGGGACTCTATTCTGGCAGCTCAGGATAGTCACAGGCAAGGCTCCCCAGTCCCCCGAATTCATCTCTCAGTGGTCAAGGTTATCATCGAACATTGTGGTTTGGAACATACTCTGCCACACTTCCTTGTGGGCAGTCAAGTATTCGTGTCTGGTCTTTTTTCGCAGGATTTTAGGACCACAGGCGCCTCGAGCCAAGAAGATATGGTGCTGGGTGGTTGGGATTCTACTGCTCGCAGGCTGGGTTAGCTGTGTGGCGATTATTGACTACAAGTGCAGCGCGAATGACATCAAGTACATAATGGGTGGGTGTTTCTCATGTCTTGTCCTTACTCAACCCTGGTCAGAATCGTTCAATGTTCCAGCCTTACTCATTGTCTGATAGCGCATTGTGCTGGACGAAGCCACGTTGAGTACCAGTTTCGCACCTTTTACGGCAACCTGGCGGCCGACATCGTCACAGACCTGCTCGTCATGTCGATCCCACTGTGGATGCTCTGGCATGTACGGATCCAATGGCCCAAGAAGCTGCTCCTCGCCGGCGTATTCTCCGTTACCGTCTTCGTCATGATTGCTGCCGGGATTCGCGTTGCTCTTGTAAGAACCTCGACGACCGGGGTAAAACACACAAGCATTGACTTGCTCTTCATATGGTCCGAAGTCGAAATGGGGGTCGGTATGCAGTGTATTTCCTGACCTTCACCTCTCAAACCCCAGGTTTAACAAATGATGTAGCCGTAATAGTGGCGAATCTCGCCTCCTTTCGACAACTGTTTGTTTTCAGCAGAAATCGAAACCCTTCTGGTGGAAAAGGGTACGATGCCACCAGCAACCGTCATCATCAATTCCAACCATTCGAGTCCTCCAATCCGTCTCTGCAAGGGAGGAATCGGTCAGAAAACGACTTGATCGGCTTAACTGACTTTCAGGCGCCACAAATCTACTCTACGTCTCAGCACAACCCTACCGCTCCAGATTCGGTCTACGTCAGTCACGCCATCAAGGTTTCTAGCCATGAGTGGACTCCAGAGCCGCAGGATTCCAGAAGATGTCACAATTTTGTATGAAGTAAAATCCTACATTTATCCCCCTTTTCACATGCTATTTTTTTTGTTATCATTATCATCATCATCATTTTCGGGGGGCCGGTGTGGGTGGCGTTCTTTAGGCTTCAAGTGCATACAGAGCCGTTGAACTTTTACCTCGCTATTTACTATTCTGAATTCGACAAGACACGATTCACAACAGCCGCCTTTAAGATGGTAATCGAACTTTTCCCCACAAATACTAATGCCAGAATTGGGACTTCCTTTTCCACGGCTTTAACTGTCGTCTTGGAATGCCTACAGGTTCGTGTGCTGAGAAGCCTCTCAAATCGATACCTATCCGGCCCCCCATGATTTGCGAGTGTGTAACCGCTGTCAGGCAAGGGGCCTCCGCATGCTGCCGTGGAAGAAATTCGGCCTTGGGGAAGATTGCAACTGCGGCCATTTGCTGTCAGGCGAATTCCAGTAAGCAAGCTTGACATAGCTTACACGGCTCCGTCGAATGTTGCTCTAGCTTCGGCGACTGCCGAATACAGGAATTGACGAAGTCTATGGGTCACCGTGCGCCCGGAATTTGAACTTGTTGGTTCGATATTTGAGCGGACTGATGCTCAAGCAGCGCCACTTTTACCGAGTCGCCGTCGTTTCGCTCGTATAGCGAAGGCACATATGGTGCGAGTGTCGAGTACCTTGTAGCACTACATTTGTTACAGCTAGGCACAATGGATACTAGTAGGTTCCCTGCTTGTCGAACAAAGGCAAGAAGAGCAAGGACTCCAAGCTCAAGACGTTAGCAACGACACAAAATAGCAGCACAGTCAATGAAAAACCTTGAAGTACGGCAGAACACTGTCGCAGGAGCACCGGTGTGTGCCTGTTCACGTTTCTCGTCACATCATAATGTGGGACAATCATCAACCTGCTCACGAGAGGGACAAATAATATTCCTTTTATCGGTTTCCAGACAATTTGTCGCCAAGGCTATGCTGAATTCAAGCTGGAGCAAAGCATAGTGCATTCTTTCTGGCCTTTCTCTCTCTGTATGTGTTGTTGAGCGCCAGCGGGGACGGTGTACCGGGTCAAATACTGTTCTTTATATATTTCCAATCTTGAACGCGATTTCATTCGTATTCAATGGACTCAATTTTCTTCAGGAAGCTACGCGAAGCTATCAAGAAGACATTATTTTACTTGCGAAAACTACATTAAAACGAGAGACAACACTTGTCGCATCCATCAACACTGAGGATCCCTATCTTGAATAACGAGGTCTGTGTCTTTTGCCAGGGCAAAAGAATATCCTCGCCGAGTTGGAAAACTCCTAGCTAACAGTTATACAAAGTATATAGCGTCGTATTAGAACCATGCTTTGGCGTGTAACCAAGACTGTCCAGGCCAACCGAGAGGGTGCTTGAGGCAAGAAGCAAAACAAATCTCGGGTCGAATAAACTTTATAAACTTTATGGCCCATGATAATCTTGTATCTGGGCTTATCCAAGACGGCTGAGAATCAATAACTGACTTTTTTTTAAATAAAAAAAAGAAATCTCATTAAGCCAGTTGAAGCTTCAGTTACTGGATATGAGGGAAGCGAGTCATCCAGTTTCGAAAAGTTCCTCAAGCATCATTTTGTAATAGCCCTCGTTCGCGCTACATTTGGTGATGAATTAATGCAACGAAGCCCAGGGCTCATTCCTGACCTATGGGCATGACAAGGGAAGCCGGGGTCTTGCCAAGAGTTTTCCGCGGTTCTGGATGCCAGCAACGTATAAAACCAGAGGCAGGTTACTAGAGGCTGCAAAAAGCTTGCAATACTCGGCAAGGGTCCGGAAGCGAGTCAGAAAAAGTGCTGGCAACATCCAGATCCCCCTAGTTGGGCTACGGGTATGATTAAAGAGAGGCGTAAAACCTTGCCTGACACGCTAGGACAAGACGAAGCGTCTGTTGCATCAACTAGACGTTGGCTAAGCGTATGCTTCGTCAAGACACCTGATATTCCGTTATATAAATAGACTAATAAGCTACAGATCTGCTACTAGCGTGCTCCCATGTCCAATGACTTTTGCCTCGCATTGCAAGCGCTTTATTCTAGATATCTTGTCGAAACTTGACGAAATTCGTTCCGTGTACTATCCAAATAGCAAAAAGTTCAAGACCTTGAATCGATACCTATTCTTCTACCCACGTATGCTGAGACCATGCGTCTCGGGGTACAAATTCATACCCTGCCGGCCGTTTCCGATCGGTCTTGTGTATCCGAAAAAAGAGTTGATTACAATTAATAGGCAACTGGGACATGCGGGTGAAAACATACGGAAGACTAAGGACATAAAAAAGCCATTGGGCCTGTTCTGGGCCAAATGTTTCCTTGTCAATCTGCATGATGAGACGTGCGGGCCGGCCAAAATGCCATCAACGGTGCATTACAGAGGGACAGAGTCAGAAGAGGTTTTTATTTCACAGCTCCTGTGACTCCAGGGTGCCTGGGTTCTTGATGGAGGAAGACAAGCCGTTTCAGGAAGATGGTCCGACTGTCGTGGTACTGTCGTGGTTGCTGAACTACATGGTGGGTGAACACGAGAACCAGGGGAGCCAAGGTGCCTTTCTTGCGAAACACATTCTTGCTAGTGCATTTGGCGTCGAGGTTTGCCAACGACGAGGCTCAGATAGTCTTTGGCAATGGAACGTCTTGGTTTCGGAGTCGGAAAGCCCACGAGCTCAATCCGATTTCGAAGTAAGGGACACGTCTAATCGGTGGCTGATAATGTCAGGGGGCAAAGTATACCCGGATTGCTGTTGATCGTTGCCGAAAGGAACTGTATTGGCCGATGACAACTTTGCCTACGCGCGTCAAGATGCATACTTTATGCAAGCTATCGGCCTAGCGGCTCACAGTTTGGGGGCCGAGAAAGGCGAGCGTGCCGTGTCAGTATCCAAGATAGTACTACATGCAGTCAAGCTTCTTGGCCTCGGCGGCCAACTTAACCTGAATAGCCGTGTCAACACGAGAAGGAGTGTAAAGCTTTAATATTGGTGTGCCGATAGCACTTAATTGAGGCCTTGAGAAGCTGGAAACTTTAATAATCATTGAGCTAAAGCCTCTAGTTTGAGGTCAATTTTAATTTCTTAATATTGTCACTTTTATATTATACTCAAAAGCGCATTCGCTTATAAACGGAAGGCCATGGTTTGCGTCTATGTTATTCCAGTCGATCAATCCAATCTCGCCGGCATCCCGCGGCTGAATTCTTATCCTACTAAGAAGCATTTTATTAGTGCTCACAGTTGCTAATCATACATCAACATGTGCAAAAGGCCCTTCTTGTGTCGGAAAACAAAGTCAGGAGTAGAATTTTGGGTCGGACCAAGTTCACTACCTCCGACCAATGATGCGCAAGTGAAAACCATGTTCAGGGTTATTTCGTTTGTGTATACATAGTGTATACTACTGGGGCACATGCAGACATACAGAATGATATCCAGGGCCAGGAAAAGTTCTGCCAGGTATTGCAACACGTGTGAGCTAACGATTGCCAGTAATACCAGTACTCAAGAGTATAGCATGGCTTCTTGGGCGAATCCCCATATTCAAGGCATAATCACCTGACTCTGAAGTAGCCTTTTCAGTTTATGGACCTGAGGAAGCACTGTTTGTATAAATTCCAGGACCAAATATGCCTCCATTCCCTAGTAGAATAAAGTCAGGGGGTGTATTCTTACCGAACAAGATACACTCACTAGCATGAGCTACTCCAAGTGCAAGCTGGAGAATGTGGCAGAAGTAACAATCCCTCGATTTACATGGAATGTTTTTGGAAAAATCCTTAGCAACGCAGTACGCACGTTTTGTTCCGTGGAGGTCATCGGTGAAAGGATAACCACTATTGATTCGATGACGACGGTCTCATCCTGCCAAAGAATTTGCCCTTACGAACACCACAAGAATAGCTAAATAGGTGGCAGCTGTGACAAGGGTCTCAACATTCGAAGTCTTGACCATGAATGACAAGACACATGCAAACATAATCATGAATACTGACGACGGAATCAAACTTTTCTTCGGCAATGAATGCACCAACACGATGAACATCGGGATAACAACAACTAGAACTGCCACGAGGGCAACCAACAGTCGAACTAGGTTGTCCACCAATGTTGAGATCTCATCGGTTGGCTTCGCGTCTCCGAACTCCTTGCTGCGATATAGACGTTCCTGTGATGAGTAAGACAACTGAGGAGAGATCCAGTGACGAAGCTTGTTACAAAGAGCGTCCACTGCGGCATGCTTGGCATTATCGTGCAGGTAGTAGTAGTGAGATTCGAACGGGCGAGTGTGGTGATGGATTGTAGTCACGGGAAACTTGAACTTAGATGCGTTGTTTCCTTCGCTCAGTGATTTCATGATCGATAGCCGGGCTTCATGGACATAGTCGTAGTTCTGCAGTGCAGTCGTTGGAAAGAAGTAAGAATATTGGCCATGTCAGCTCGAGCTAACCGAGGCCTCACTGTACTCGTCAAGCAGTTTGCTGAACTTCTCCTTCTCCAAGTTCTCTCGTCGAGTATGCGAGATGTGCTCCCTCGTTACTATGAGATCATTTTGGATTCGAATGATATTCAAGCGGTGCAGGGACTAAGCCAAGGAAATGGAAGGTTTCCTCATCGATTTGTGAGGCGCAGACATAGTCGAACAACTCGGCATCCTTAACAGTTTCCATTTTGCCGTCATCTGCCATGGTTTAACTTGCTGTGTGGAATAAAAGCACCGCCCTTCATAGCAGGGCGAATGAACTCGGATGGCATCTGGTAGGAATTGGAGACTTCCCAAATACATTGGACTAGTTTTGCGTCATCACGAGGTAGAGGCAGAGTCCACGGCTGTGACTTGCGGCGAGTGCTCCTTGTGACAGGCGCGTGAGGCATCTAAGCGACCAGTTGCCATGCCACGGATTGTAGACAAACATGTCGCGGCGTGTGGAAGAAAGAGCACAAGGAGTTGCAGATGTCGACTCGCAGCAGTCAAGTCGAGGTTCAATGCCAAGAGCAGCCCGCTGTATTCCTGTAAGCGAGTTGCCTTGCCTGGGCGAACTGGTCCCGTCTCGGCAAACTATGGGCCCAGTTTATTGCCGAGGTTCCTGTCCCACTGGAACCTGAAGCTGACATGGAGCAGTTGGGACTTGGGAGCATTCATCATCAATTGATTGGCAACCTCAAGCTTGGAGGCATCAAAGGGAACACATACGAAAGTACGCTGCGCATCTTTCTGGGCCTGGTCAACTGTCTAGCTCGAACTGCGCGTTGGATTTAAGGCTTTTGGCTTCTACCTCTTGGCCTGGCGTCAAGACCGAACTCGGTTCAGCCCGTTCGTCTTATACCAGCTGGACCATGAGCGACCAAAAGGGTGCCATGGTAGAGTTCCGAGAGACCCTTGAGGAGGCTCAGCAACGCGCAATGGCGTCATGTCGCGAGTGGCCACGCATGGGTTTTCAAGACTTCATGGAGCTTGTCCAGGTTCCCGAAAATATTCATAGCCAAGGCCCTGGTGTGAAACGGTACATGAGCCGTCAACCCGCTTGGATGGCTGGGAACGAGCTGCCGTGGGATGAACTGTTCCGAAATTTGAAGGGTCCTCGGCCACGACACCGCGGACTGGGTGTTTTTGGAGGTTGCGTGTATGCGCAAGCGCCCTTGGCTGCCGCGAGGGCCATCGAGGAAGAGGAGAGGCGGCAGACTGCTGCTACGGGTCTTGTCAAGCCTGTACCTGGTATTCACGTAAGTCGCTCTAGATTCGATATTGCTTCGCCTGTCTTACCATGTCTTTACCATGATGGATCCCCAATACATGTAAATGTATCTGCTGAACATGATGCTCTAGTCAATACAAGGCATCTTCACCGTCCCGGGGCTCGGTGATCGCCCGTTCGTATTCGACGTCACTAATATAATCTCTGGCCGCTCGTTTTTCGGCCGCCAAGTCAACGTTCGCCAACCCAAACAACCGTCCTCAAACCCAGCGGGTCCTTTCCCCGACTCAGACGCCGAGCTCCCTCTCGGAGACATCTGCTTCAGCTGTATTACTACCTTCAAGCGACCAGCTGAGGGTGTAGACGACGTTCAGTCCCCCATATCTGCCCAGAAACGCTACGCCAATATATTGTCTCAGAGAGCCCCGGACGAATGGGAACCTGCGCCCCAATCCGACATCGACATCATCACATCTCTATTCAAGGACTTCAAAGGACACGGGGGCTTCCCGTTACTGGACATGCACAAAGTTGACATGTCCGAGTACAATAGCGACAAGGAGGTCCCCGACCGCATTCAGCTGATGTTGTATCGGCCCATGAAGCCCATTCCTAAAGACGATGTCAACGGACACATTGTGTGCCATGCTTTCGAAGCCGACAGGAACGGGCTGATCATGCTTGGCAATCACATGGGGTACGGATTCAACATGGACAAGGCAGCCAGCCTCAGCTATTCCTTCTATGTCCACACAAACCCCGACGAAGCGGTCATGGATGGCGATGGGTGGTGGATTCAGGAAATCAACTGGCCCAGAGTCAGTGCCAATAGATGCATGATGGAGAGCAAGATTTGGAGCCCGGAGGGGAAGCACGTAGCCAGTGCCTACCAAGATGGCATGCTTGTACCGGCAAAGGAGCCGATGGAGGTGAAAGAATCTAAGCTGTGAGGTGTTTGAATTGTGGTTCCTCTGGTTCGGGTCATTATAATTCTTGTAGATTTTGGAGGTAGATCAACGAGATGCATCGGGCGTTGAGGAGGAACAAAGTGGCGACTGGAATGAAAATTATTGTTGATTTTCCCCAACAAATATTGGGCAGGCACGTGCACGGTCAGACAGGATACAAGTCGAGTCGATTCGTTTGCAAAGGTGGCAGCCTGTCAGGAGGCACTGATTGTCATGATCCATCAGGCACCATGCTGTCAGCTGGCAGACCGATGCGCCCAGTTGGCGGTCGCGTGTCAGAAAAATAAACTAGAACCAGACGCGTATATAAACCAGAACTTATCCTGCCATGCTCCCGGCGAATTCTAAGCCTCCCTAACACCCCTCTCCTTTCATCATAGAGATTCGTTTGATTGTCTCTCTACCCAGACAGTTAAAGCAGCCTCCTGAAGCAACCCGATTTTAGATTAGAAGTGGATAAGGTGTTTTTATACCTGCCATCTCCCGGTCTCTCTTGCTTCCTAAGACTTTACTTTTTTATTACCTTTATTCTAAAGTTTTAAATCTTTGGCTCTAGATTTATGACATAGCATCGCCAACATATCAGAGGTCAACCTACAGCGATTAGCTCAACAAGCCGCCGCTGTTTATCTAGCTCTGTCAAAACCCTCAAGAGGGTTTTTGCACAACCGAGGACGAGAAAAGGGACAACTTTTGCAGTAAGAGATGAAAGCTTTCCCATAGCTCCTGTGCATACTCATATGCTAAACATAGCAGTGACAGCCTACCTCTTCCCCCTTGCACTGCAAATCTCATTCTACCATGGCGTTGCAGTTGAACCAAGACGTGCCATCTAAGCCAATGGCGCCAACACAACAGACCCAGCCTGAACAAGATACCTCCGATGCCACTGCTGCAGCAAGCTCGCCAGGTCCGGGTTTTTAGAAAACACTTCGGACAAGTTACGACAGCGTCTACTCGCTTGACGAGGCTGGGTCCGTCTACAAGGCACCCAATTCTTTAAGAGGAGTTCCAGTCGAAAAGGTCACCGAGAATTCCTTTTATTGGGAAAAATCTTGGGATTCCTTGGATGACTTCATCGCCTACGAAGAGGAGGAAAGGTTTCTTAAAGAGAAGTATCAAGCCATGAAACACGCAGAGCCCAACAACACAGACATACGGAAGAGAGCTAAATTGCATCAGGACAACATGAGTAAACACGTCAAGATTCGCGAGATATTCGGGCTTCACACCCCGTACCACCCGAATCAACTGGTAGCCAAGCAACACCTTCCCCCTGAAGGCTTGTGCCGGAAGGACCTCATGTACCGCGTTGCGTGTAAGATCTCTGACCTCAAGGTTTTAAATGCCCGAGGAATCCTAGCCATGGACGCCTGGGACTTCATCCGCTGGCGTCTTGGACGGAAGCTCGAGGAACAACTGGCCCTACCGGGCCAGAGTGGACGGCATTTTGTCCGCACACTCATCTACAAATTGTGCGATGAATCCGAATGCGGTTCTACAGGGTATGAAGACTCCATCATGCGGCAGGCAGTGCTCGTCTCTGCTCAATATCAAAACCGCATAGCTAGCTTCAAAACGAATACTACCAAAGCTGGCTATTCCGCGGCCAGGTCCTTGGGTTCAGGTCTACCGCGTAGAAGCACAAACGAAGCCAACAGAAAGCGAAACCGCCGCACCGGTGGTTCTCAGTCGGGACAAACGGCTTCAGCGCAACGAGCTGAGGAGCGGCGACAGCGTCGAGCTCAGCTTGCGGCGCAGTCAGGAAGCTATCAGGGTGTAAACGCTTTCAGGGGCATGCAGCGAGACCAACAGGTTCTTCAGCAGGGGGATTCACTTTAAAAGCTTGAAAGAAGTATTGTGGGGGGTGATTCAGGTCTATTCTTACGCTGATATCGCCAGAATACATGGGCGCCTTGGGATTCAATATCTCCTCAGTTTGGTACAATTTCCTCGGGTTAACTGAATGGGCAGTACTGCCGCCGAGAAGGGGGGCGGAGGGGAGGGAGGGTCAGCTCATTGCACAGGATACGGAACGTGAATTGATTAAGATCTTGTAAAGAGTTTTTTTCCTTTTCTTGAAATAATCGTTCCATGTGAAAATGTAAAGCTTCGGTGCCTGCGAGGTTGCAAACAGCAAGCTTTCGCGGAGGCTCGGCTACGGCAAAAGAGCTTCTGAGCGGATAATCTTCGGTCGCTTGTGATTTGCCCGCCCATGATTGGTCAATTACCAGCAGAATATGGAGTAGCTTCGGATCAGTCAACTTCGTCTCCAAGGTCAGCCCATTTCACAAATCCCTCGACACCTCTCAAACAAATCGCCAACTCGCTCGCATCGACGGCAACGACACCATGTTCTTACAACGCTCCGCCATCGCCGCGGCTCGCCGCGCCGCCGTCTCTCCTGTTATCGCTCGCTCCTTCACCACCTCCTTCGTTCGCCGTACGCAAATTTTCCCTGCTGTCCGAACACGACGCCTGTGTTGTCCTACTGTTACCCATCATCGTCTGACCATGTACCACAGGTGAAGCTGCCAAGGGCCCTACCACTCCCAGTGAGCAGGCTGCTGCCCTCGCCGGCGCCACCCAGAAGAAGGTTGGCGACTACAAGGTTCTGAATGGTACGTTTGGCGCGACGGGGATAGGAATTAGGGAGCTGGGTTTCGTTAGCCTCGGTCGGAGGGGATTGGAATCCCAAATGCAATTTGGCTGACATGTTCCACCTCAATGCAGATATCAAGACTGAAGAAGACCTTTTCGGACCTGGTGCTCGCCCTGGTACCGTCCCTACCGATCTCGAGCAGGCTACCGGTCTGGAGCGTTTGGAAATTCTCGGTAAGATGGAGGGTGTTGACATCTTCGACATGCGCCCTCTTGATGCCAGCCGCAAGGGAACCATGGAGAACCCTATTATGGTCCGATCAGCCGGCGACGAGCAGCATGCTGGCTGCACTGGCTCCCCTGCCGACTCTCATGTCGTTACCTGGCTTGGCGTAAGTGATGAATCGAGTTGCCATGGCTGTGCCCAATGTATTGGCGATTACGGGAACTAACTATTTGAATTATGCAGCTCTCCAAGGAGCGCCCCATTGAGCGATGCCCCGAGTGCGGCAGTGTCTACAAAATGGAATACGTCGGCCCTGAGGATGACCACCACCACCACCATCACGCCCCGGAGTTCGAGGAGCCCAAGACCTTTGCCGACTTTGTCAAGCCCGAGTACCGATATCGATAAATTGATTCTATTGTAATATGGGGCGGGGAATGGTACAAAATCGTGTATTAAGGTCAACTTGATGTAGCTGATAGAGAGGGAGGCGAAATATTCCACTTGGAGGGGAGCAGCGGCTGTGTAGATTTACAGAGAAATCATTTCTATTTGTCTCTTCAGAGCCACGCGCCACATCATACGTGTTCCGCTATGTATGTTACTATTGACGTCAAAGGACAACTGTGCCTGTAGTCTTGTGATTTTACAGGTCAAGGAAGTATGCGAATAGCATGTGTGATGCTCTCTTGCAACGCAACTAGAGATGCAAAATGCGGGCTGAGCTTCCCACCCTCTTCGTACTGATATCGATGCGGGGTCGTGCCAGACGGCGTCTGTTTGCGGTGATACACACTTCGGCTCGAGGCCAAACCAGTGTGACTTGTTTAGGAGTCACTCGGCGGTACTCGCCTTGCATCTGCTCATATACCTGGCCGGCGTGATGTGATATCTCTCACCAAGCCATTAGCGACATGGAGTAGTGCCGGTGTCGCTTCTGCCATCACACATGTCATCTCCCACACCCTGAAAAGAGAGTCTGCTTTTCGCCGATGATTTGAATAATGGGCATCCCAGGGCCCCCCTCCCGCTCAGCCTTCGTCCTCGTCAAAGCTTAGCTTAATCTTTTTGGCCTTCTTCTTGACCTTCTTATCACCAGGAGCTTCCGCACCGCCGAGCTTGTCGTCCTGTTTGTCCTTGCCGTCATTGCCTGAGCCATGACTAGCACGCTCGCCAATGACTTTCCCGACCTTGCGCTTTCGGGCCCCGATAGACGACGCCGCGGCATCAGTATCCCTCCTCACAGCCTTCTCATCCGATTCTGCGCCCCTGGTTTCGTCCTTATCACTGTTTGTCTCAGTCTCTTTGACTGTGCCGTCCTTCTCGATTTGCAGGTCCACCGCGTTCCCGTGCTCGTCGACAACCAACGGCGCATCCTCCGCCTCTTCGCTGGCTGACCTCTTCTTGGCTGACCGCTTCTGCGCCGCTAACAAGGGATCAGGACCGGCGGCTCCTGCGGATTGTGCATGAAGGCGTGCCAGGAACGGCGGCAGAGAAGAGTGGTAGGAAAGGTTCTTGGAGGTGATTTTCTCAGGCATGGTGTCTAGTGTTGTTATATGCCCTGTGGTGCGTGTGAGGTTTGAATTCCAGCTAGTCTCACAAGCGCAATAGGCCACTGTCTCCGAGAGAAAACTGCTTGTTCATCGCGGTTTCACCTCCCATTCACCGTTCACACAAGCAAGTCGTCGTTTCTTAGACACGGCACTCAGACGCTCGTTTGGTATGCAAGGCCAAAGCCAATCAACAAAGTTCCAAGGTGGGCGGAATTATAAATGATCCAGGGCGCAAGGCCTGCTGGAAGCTTAGCTACGGGTTCATCTCAGTATCCACTCCACCGCGTCGCTGCTGATTGGGCAAGGGGCATGCTACGTGACATGACTGGAGGACTCCTTGCTGGCTGGCATGGCTGCTGGCGTGGCTCTCTGGCTTGGCTCTGGCTTGGCTGCAAATGACCGGCATGAGCGAGAGGCGAAAGCACGAAGCACTCCAGGTCAGAGGTCAAAAAAAAGGCTCGCCCCGGCCCCGTCCAATGAGGCGCCTCCAGAAACAGCCAAGTTCTAGCCGCAGCAGCCAAATTGCCAGGAGCGATCAATCTGGCAATCTCTCCTGTCCCATCTCTCTCGACAACACGTCCTTCTTTTCGCAGAGGACCGGACCATTCCTCCATCTCGACTTTTGCGACGCGAGAGTGTGCATTGACTACTCTTGGTGCGCATCGTGACCGTTTATAGCTCGGCCGTTGCTCACCGCACTGCGCTCCGCTGCGCCGACCCTTGACGCGTTGGGCCACTGCGAGGCGATTGATTCTGATCCCTTCTGTTTCGCCTGGGGTCTGGGACACCCTGTCACTCGTTCAACCACCATTTCAAACTCAATTTGTTTCTTGACGCGGGACGATTTGTTTTGCTGCACGCTCTACGGGTAGAACAGAGAGGCGTGAACGTCGAACAGTGTATATCTCCATGCTTAATCACTTCGTTTTGCTGGATCTGCCTCTTTAACGATTCGGTTTCGACCCCCTGACACGACCAATCATTCATTCGACCCTTGGCAACCCCTTCAGTCATTGCTCGAGGGACTCGCCAATCCGACTTCGACTGGCGGCGTTGTTGCAATACTAGACGCTCATACGTTTTAATTCTTTCTGCCAATACGGCGCCATCTCTTTCAAGATGGATTTGTTTCGAAGAGCCTCGAGAATGGTGCCTACAACACAAAACCTACCGCTTCCGGCCCATGATGAGAAGAGAGGAACAGCAAAGAAGAATACGCTGGCATCAAGGTTGGCGTTTTTCCGCCGGCCATTGCGGTTACGGGGCAACTCTACTGTTTCTGTGCCTCTGGGTGTCGTCCTGATTTTCCCTCTGCTTGTTGTCGTCCTTATCTTGGTGCTGTTTGTTCGACACCCCAGCTCTCCTGGGAGAATATTAATGCCTGCTGGCGCTCCTCCAGCGATTCGGTAAGCTGCGAACAGTTGTTCACGAATATCGTGGTCGTCCATGCCACTAATCGTCATATCTATTCACAGGAAAATTAGCGAAAAGCACGACAAGGTGTTTGTCACTGGCTGTTTAGAGCCTGATACCTCCCAGCCTCGTGCCAACGCTACCTTCGTTGTACTGGCCAGAAACAAGGAACTGGACGGTGTTATTCAATCGCTCAAATCTATGGAGCGCCACTTCAACCGATGGTACCACTATCCTTACGTTTTCCTCAACGACGGTGAATTCGATGACCATTTCAAGGAGACCGTTCGCAACCACACATCCGGCTCTGTCGAGTTTGGCAGAGTTGGTCCCGACATGTGGGGTTTCCCCGATTGGGTTGACCACAAAGTCGCCAAAGAAGGCATCGCAAAACAAGGAGACGCTGCCGTCATGTATGGTGGACTGGAAAGCTACCATTTCATGTGTCGGTTCTACTCGGGGTATGTTTCCTGCTCATTGGCATCACCGAAATGTTGAAAATACTGATGACGGAAAACAGCTTTTTCTACAACCACCCGCTTCTTCTGAAGTACGAATGGTATTGGCGAGTTGAGCCTGAGATTACTTACTTCTGCGACATTACATAGTAAGTTGGCTCCTGCGGTGCCGTTACTTACGCCATGATAATTAACATGGATTAGTGACCCATTCTTGAAAATGATTGAGAACAACAAGACATACGGCTTTACAATTGCTGTGAAAGAACTTCGCGAAACTGTTCCCAACATCTTCCGCTATGCTTCGGCTTATAAGCGGCTGAATAATTTGACGTCTCAAGGCCTTTGGGAAATGTTTGTCGAGCCCAGGGATCCAGCCGAGGAAGAGAAAAAGAAGGAACAGCTTCCCGATGAAATTTTGAAGAACGACCCTGCCAATAATGCTCCCCCAAAGATTGACCCCGAATCGATGGAAAGCGAGAAATACAACATGTGTCACTTCTGGTCCAACTTCGAAATTGCAAAGCTTAGCTGGTTCAGAAGCAAGGAATACAACGACTTCTTCGATATGATGGACCGCAGTGGTGGTTTCTGGATGGAAAGGGTAAGTCATTGGGGTTCTTGTCCTTGAGCATGACAGTTCGTCTGTCAGACGCTAACTTCATTTCAGTGGGGTGACGCCCCTATCCATTCGCTTGCCGCGGGTGCCTTGCTGGGCGTCAAAGATATCCATTACTTCCGTGATATCGGCTACAGGCATACTACTATTCAACACTGTCCTGCCAATGCTCCGTCACGACAGCTTCCTCGCACACCATATTTAGAAATGACAACGCTTGACGAAAAGAAACGGATAGAAGAGGACAAGTACTGGGAGGACTGGGATGAAGTCAAAGAAAACGGCGTCGGGTGTCGATGTCGTTGCGACACTGATATTGTTGATGTGGAGGGCAAGGAAGGCTCCTGCCTCGCTGAATGGGTAGATGTTGCTGGCGGCTGGGCTCCTTAAATTGGAGACGGAAAGGTCAAGTCATTGCATATTGGCTCTGGGAAAGTTCGCCTGTCGGACGCATTGATCATGCCAACAGCGGTCCTTTTTTTTTCTTTGTGCTGTCTTAGACTGGTGAGCATGAGACGACAGCATGTGGCAACTTGCAGAGCAATCCGCTCACTTTTGCAAGCCCTGTTAATTTCGCCCAGTGACATCGACAGCGGGGAAGAAAGTCGATAACGACACGCTTAAACAACGAAATCATAGGATGGCGAAAAGAAGAGGCGGCGTTTTGCTCCATATTCACAGCGGGGAGGAAGCATCGGCGCGCATATCTCACCTAACGATTAGGAGGAGATGCTACAAGCATTTTGTTTTACGTCAGGTTTAATAGGTGCTCAGGCAACAGGATTTATATTTGGTCGCCAATTCTTAGAGGTGGGATATGCATTTGTACTTTACAAGAGCGAGACAGGTGTTGTGTTCTACAGATATGGGACGTGGTACTTTTTTTGGACATGTCGGACTAGCGAACGGTTTTTTTTTTCCCCTAATAATTGCGTTTCGAGTCGACGTGCAATTGAGTGAAGCAAATAAGAGATAAACTAGGCTTAATTCTTGGAGGTACATACATATTGTGTTGAGAGGCTCCGAGGCGGCAGGCCACGGTTCTCACATATGCATACCTACCTAAGCAGGTAGCGAAGGCGCAGCATGGCTGTCCTATGATGGGATTTTTCAGTTGTTTGTTCAATCTATTTATGTACCAAATCTTAAGACAGCTCTTGGGGACTAGGGGAAATGGGGACCCCTGTCATCCTCTGGGGTCGAAATCTGGACTGTGCAAGCCTCAGGCCACATAACGTTGTATACACAATCGTGGTGTGGAGCTCTTGAGCGCCAAAAAGATCTCTGCCGCTCTGGAACGAGCCAAAAAAAAACCAGGAGCAAATAGTAGCCGCCCATCAACTGCTTCTCATCAACTCAATTGCACAGCCATGCCTCCTCGACTGTTACCGTCCAGCAGTTCAATCTGCTGCAGAACCACGTCTCCTGCACCCGTGGGCTATCTGACTGCCTGCTTGGCGGGCCTAACGATTCAGCAAACTCGCAATGCATCCATCCTCGGCAGTCTCGCCAACAACAAGGGTGCCGTCCACATCAAGAAGCGAGTAGGTCGAGGGCCTTCGTCTGGCCACGGCAAGACATCCGGACGAGGTCACAAGGGCCAAAAGCAGCACGGCAAAGTGAACGCCTGGTTTCAGGGTGGCCAAACGCCGTTGGTTGTGAAGCATGGACGGATGGGCTTTACGAATCTGTAAGGAAACGCTCCACCGGACAATGTGAAAAAGCAGAGAGTACAGAGCTGACACGAGGCTGTTGCTCGCTTTAGGCGGGCGCCCAAAATGTCCGAGGTAAACCTCGATCAGATTCAGGAATGGATTAACCAGGGCCGACTCGATGCTACGAAGCAGATCACGCCCAAGGAGCTCATCCAGAGCAAACTGGTGGGCAGCGTCAAGGACGGCGTCAAGATTCTCTCCCGCGGGTCCGAATGCCTCAAACAGCCCATCGATGTCATGGTTTCGCGGGCCTCGGCTGGCGCGATTGCCGCCGTTGAGGCGGCGGGCGGAAAAGTCACGACGAGGTACTACACAAAATTGGCGATTCAGCGACTGCTGCGAGGCGAATCCGTCAACACGGATATGCCCCTCCCCGTGGGCAAGGAGCATGTCGATACTGTGCTCGCAGAGGCCAGGAACGCGCCGTTCCGGTATAGACTGCCCGACCCGACCAGCCGTCGCGATATCGAGTACTACCGAGACCCAGCACACAGAGGATATCTGAGTTACCAGCTGACTGCTGGACAATCGCCCAGTTTATACTTCAAGGTGCCTGGGGAGCGTAAGATCAAGAGCGCAGCCAAGGCGGAGAAGAAGGCAACGGAAGAGACCTTGTGGTAGATGGACGGTGGATTTGGCAGCGGGGCCTTTGTACTACTATTATGAAGTGACTTGTACTTAATTGACATTGTATATATACTAAGAGGAAATACTAGAAGGCAAGGTCTCACTGGTATAATGATGGAGACGATTTCCGTTGCTAATGCGTTGGAATGGTCGCAGTCCACGCAGCTGCTCATCGTGGGTGATGGGCCCAAGAGTGAGAAAGAGAGGTCAAGCATCGGCACTCAATTATGTACTGCCAAGTACTCTGGTACGTAGTACTTAAAGGCAAACTCGCGCCCTTCAGTGTTGCGTCAGGCGTCAGGCCCACTGTTGACGCCGTGCTGGCGGCTTAGCGCTTGATCCAACTACTAAGTACCTAGGTACCTAGGTAGTCGATACTACTTTAGGTACCTAGAGGTACATACTTATGTAAGTGTAGTACTTGGTTGAAGCGGCCCCCAAGCTGTCGAGGTGCTGACGGAGGCGCCGACGAGTTTCGCTGAGCGGTTTCTGGCTGCAGATGTCATCGAGACTCCACGCGCCAATCGTTGTTCCTCCCAATTGCGTCGTATCATATCATTGCATAGCCGTATGTGTTTGCCTTTGCTTTTCTGTCCTGTTCTTCTACCGGCCACAGCTGCGAGACCTTAGGTGCGCCCGCCGGCCAAGCTACATACGTTCCCGGCTCAGTTGCCTGACCTTCAACCAAGCTCTCTTTTCCACCAGACGTCTCTTACGAATCATTGACGACAAGGCCCTCCGCAACCGTCCTCGCAACCTCGCGCCGCCCTCGCATCTCACTCGCCCTCGTACGCGCTACCGCAGCCTTCATTCCCCTCTGTACGGCTGCTCGGTCTCTGCTACAGACAATCACTTGCTTTACTCGAGTTTAAGTAGGCACCGGGCTTCACTGTCACCATGTCTCTCTTCGGAACCTCCCCCACCGAGGAGCATAACGAGCCATCGACTCCGAGCCGTCAAACACCAAGGTCGCGACGCGGCGGCCGCGGCGGCGGGCTGTTCGACGAGACGCCCTCACACAAGATTTCCTCCAGCAGTCTGTTCGACGATGGCAATGCCGGCGGCGACGATTCCTCGCCATGGGACATGCCCACGCCGCGGAGGCAACAGACTCGCGCCGACATGGTACGGAACCTGCTGCCCGCGTCGGATGTTCCCGACAGCTACATCACGGTGTTTGATGCCATTGTCCGCGAGCATGGTTCCTCCGGCCGTGCAACGGCTGCCGGCATTGCCGACTTGTTTGCCAATGCTCGCCTTGGCCCCGAGGCCCAGACGCGCATCATGTCCCTTGTCGCACCGGGCGACGGCTCCGACGTGTCGCTTGGGCGGAACGAGTTCAACGTGCTGCTCGCCTTGGTGGGCTTGGCTCAGGAAGGGGATATTATCAGTCTGGATAGTGTGGATGAGAGACGACGACGTAAGTGTTTGCCTTTGATTGTGATTCCGGTGGTGCCTGGCTTCCCACACAGCTGCGTATGTGCACTTGCCAGACGGAAGCGTAAGCAACTTGCTCGTTGCCATGAATAATTCCTTTGACTCCCTTTTTTTTTACACTTTGCTATATTTTTTCGAGTGTCTAGTCAATATTGTTCATCACGTCGCATACCTTGGTACAAAATGGGTCGTTGATGGACTGATTGGCTACTCACTCGACCGACAAGTCGTCATCACGTCAATTCGACCTGACCCTGTCACGTCGGTGGGGGCAACGCAGCTAATTAATTATATTTTCCCTTCTACGCAGACCTGCCACATCCCAAGCTCCCCGGCCTCACCGCCGAGCCAGTACTACCACCTGTCGCCGAGCTCGCCGCGAAGCCGCCGCAGACGCCCAACGAGAGCCTAGGCCACGTCGAGGTCGACGCAGCGCAGCATCAAGAGGGTGAAGCCAGTCGACAGAGTCGGGCATCGGTGCAGGTACATACACCACCACAGCCCAAAGCCCTTCGTCCAGCTATGGATGATCCCGAGGACGACCCATGGAACACTCCCGAGGTTCACAAGGGCCACGATCACTCCAAGCTCAATGGCAACAGCAGCCATGCAATCGCCAACGGTCAATCCAGCTTCCGCTCGTCACCGTCCACAAACATCGGGGACCAGACCTTGAGTCAATATGTCTCCGCAGAGCCAATATCCTCTTCGGTACATGGTAGCAGATCAGGAAATGACGCCGTCCAGGGCCAAGCTGCATGGGGCTTCTATGGTAGCTCCAATGCCTCGAGCGGTGGTGGAGGCTTCGCCGATGGCTCGCACAACATCACGCCAAACCCATCCAACACGGCACATCCTTTTGGAGGGGACGGAGGCGCCGTTGACCGCTCTCCCGCGCGTGAACCTCCTACGAGCGTGGGTCGAGCCACCAGCGGCCGGACGGGTTCTAGTGTCGAGGAGAATATTATTGTCACTCTAATGCCCGGCAAGGAGGGCGTGTTTCTGTTCCAGCACCACAACTACGAGGTTGCCAGTCAGCGTCGAGGAAGCAAGGTTATCCGCCGGTATAGCGATTTTGTTTGGCTACTAGACTGCCTACACAAGCGGTATCCTTTCAGAATATTGCCTCTGTTGCCGCCCAAGAGAGTTGCTGTGAACGGCAATCATCTATCCAATGACGGCGCCTTTATAGAAAAACGGCGGCGAGGGTTGGCTAGGTTCTTGAATGCCCTCGTTCGACATCCAGTTCTGGGCCAGGAACAGCTTGTGATTATGTTCCTCACTGTCCCTACGGTATGTGGAACCACCCTTTCTTCCCTTCCCTTTTTTTTAACCAGGAGTTCTCCGTCTTTCATGGGTCTAACCTGGGATTGTAGGAGCTTGCTGTGTGGCGGAAGCAAGCCACCATCTCTGTACAGGACGAGTTCACTGACCGTGCCTTGCCACCGGGCCTCGAAGACTCCCTCCCACCCACTCTGGAGGAGCTATTCAGCCGTACGAGATCCGGTGTCCGCCGCTCTGCTGAGCTGTACATCAACGTGTGCAACATTATGGACCGGCTCGTCAAGAGAACCGAAGGCGTGGCCGCGGACCACGCCCGTGTCGCCATGTCGCTCACGTCGCTGACGGAAACATCCGCAGACACCTATGCCACAGACACCAACGAAATCCCGTTGCTCAATGACGGACTGGTCGCCATGAGCAAGCACCTCCGGACTTGCCAGACGCTGCTGGAAGACGAGAGCCGCGGCTGGGACGAGGGCGTCCTCGAGGACCTCAAGCGCCAGAGAGACTCTCTCGTCAGTGTGCGCGAGCTGTTTGACCGCCGAGAGAAGCTCGACAGGGACAACATCCCGTACCTGGAGAGAAGGATACAGGCCAACGAGACCAAGCTGGCCGGCCTGCGCGCAAAGCCAGAGGGCATAGTCAAGCCCGGTGAGATTGAAAAGGTAGCCGAGGCGATAATCAAGGTTCGTAACTCTATTCCCTCCCTCTTTCTGTGGTTTTTTTTTTTTTTGTGGTCAAACATGCAATGGAGCAAGTTTCAATTAATACGGCTTTCAAAAACCCAGGACAAGGAATCGATTGTTCAGCAACACAACCGGTCCATTTTCGTCAAGGAGTGCATCCGCGACGAGCTCGTCACGTTCCAGTCGACGCAGTACCACGTCAGCCGCTGGAACCAGGACTGGGCGGGCGAGCGAGTCAAGTACGCCGAGATGCTGGCCGACAACTGGCGTCGTCTGCTGGATGAGCTGGAGGGCATGCCCCTTGGGGAGTGACATTTTTCTCCTTGCCGTTTTTACATGCCCGCCGTCCTATGTAGTTTTGTGCGTTTGCTCCCCGCATCAGGTGCTGCGCTCTTTGTAGTCCTCGCAGGGAAAGAACACGACATCACTATTGTACTTGTATGAGAGACCTTTAGATTGAGGGCGACGTGGAACGGAGGATGGACACACAGCCGGAGCACACACGATACCCCCTCCTCGTCTTTTGTTGCACCTTTTCTTGTTCACACCTTGTTACAGATAGCGAATGTTGACTGGCATGCAACAACTACATATGTAATGAAGCCATGCTTAATCATGTACCGTTTTCTAGTGTTTTTTTTTTCTTTTTTCTGTCATTGAAATTGATATTTTCTTGTGTTGCCTTGATTCCATTTTAGCACTACTACTTCCATTCACCATCCGTCCGTCACAGCACCGTGACTAGCATCGCCTACGAGCCTGGCGTATTTCGCCAACACGCCCCTCGTGACTCGCGGAGAGGGTGCCCTCCACGAAGCTTTTCTGAGAGCCATTTCCTCGTCCGACACTGCTGCGTCGATGCGGTTCCTGACCGCATCAATGGTGACTTCGTCGCCGTCCTTGACCAGCGCGATGGGTCCTCCGACGGCGGCTTCGGGGACGACGTGGCCCACAATGAACCCGTGGGAAGCGCCGCTGTACCGGCCGTCGGTGACGAGAGCCACGTTGTTCAGGCCGGCGCCCATGATGGCCGCGCTGGCGCGTAGTTGTTCTGGCATGCCGGGGCCGCCTTTGGGTCCTTCGTAGCGCACAATGAGGACCAGGTTGCCGTCTTGGCGCTTGATCTCGCCCCTCGACAGCGCCGTGTTCAGGTCACGCTCGCAGTCGTATACTCTGGCTTTGCCCGTGAACAAGAGACCTTCCTTGCCGGTGATTTTGGCGACGGCCCCCCCGGGGGCCATGTTGCCTCGCAGTATGCGGATGTGGCCGCTGGATTTGATGGGATCTTCGAGGGGCCGGATGATTTGCTGGCCGGGGTCGAGGGACGGCCAGTCGGACACGTTCTCGGCGAGGGTCCTGCCGGTGACGGTCATGACGGACCCGTCGATGAGCTTCTTGGCGATGAGCATTTTCAGGACGGACGGCGTGCCGCCGACCTGGTAGAGGTCTTCCATGAGGTACTTGCCGCTGGGGGCGAGGTCGGCCAGGAACGGAGTGCGGTCGCTTGCGCGTTGAACGTCGTCAATGGTGAGAGGGACGCCGGCCGTGTTGGCCATGGCGAGGAAGTGCAGCACGCCGTTGGTTGAGCCGCCCAGGATCATGGTGAGCACAAGGGCGTTTTCGAAGGCGGCGCGAGTGAGCAGGTCACGGGGGCGAATGTCCTTCTCCATGGTGGTCTTGATGACTTGGCCCGCTCGTTCGCACTCGCGGCTCTTCTCGGGAGACAGGGCCGGGTATGATGACGAGCCGGGGAGCGTGAGGCCCATGGCTTCAATGGCAGTGGCCATGGTGTTGGCCGTGTACATGCCGCCGCAGGCGCCGGCGCCGGGACAGGCGTGTTTTTCGATATCAGACATGACGTCTGTACTCTGTCGGCCGGGCTGGCCGGCGTCCGTCTTGGCCTGCAGGCGGCCGTAGGCATAGGCTCCGGATGCTTCGTAGCAGGTGCTGATGTTGACGTTGCGCTCGAGCAGGGTGGAGTGGCCCTTGCGAATGGTTCCCCCGTATATCATGATGAACGGTCTGTTGTGGCGAGCTGCGGCCATGACTACGCCGGGCATGTTCTTGTCGCAGCCCGGGATGGAGATGTTGGCATCGTGGTGCTGGGCTGATGTCACGGACTCGATGGAGTCGGCTATAAGTTCTCTGGTTTGAAGAGAGAATCTCATGCCTTGGTTTTGTTTGTTTGCCTGTTAGTTTATTGATGATGATGAAGGGAGGTGTTTCTTCTTCAACCCATATATATTGTCTGCCGCCGCTGGGCTCGACTATTGGTCAAAAGATGATTGTGACATACCGTCTCCGCCCATGGTAATGGCATCAGATACGCCTACCGTGTTGAATTGCCAGCCGAGCATGCCCTCTCTTTCGACGGCATTCTTGACGATTTTTCCAAATTCAAGCACTAAAGCAGTGTGAGCCTCTGCCTGATACGCACACAATGTTGCCGAGACTTACAATGCGTACTATGACAATCAGTTAAAGAGACCAAGAAGGATGAGGACGACAGACTCACTTGCATGGATTGCCCTCCCACCAAACACTCGCAATGCCGACCTGGGGCGCATTCTTCATGGTCTTTTCATCGGGAACACCAGCGCCGTACAGCATGGCCTCGAGGCAAAGTCAGCCAACATGTCTGCGTGTGTCCTGCAATTACATACCTGGGCTCCTGGAAAGTCATGCTCCCTCGTCAAGGTGGTAGACCACCTGTTCAGCGGCCCCCCGGGCGGGAGGCACTTGAACTGGATGTAATCGGCTGAGGATTTGGGATCATGGCCCGGGATGGCGGGTATGTTGGATTCGCCTCCAGTGTCAGCCATGTTTGTCCAAAGGGGGATGGGGTGAATGCTCCGTGATGTTTGATCAAAGGAGAGTAACGAGATGGATTTGAAGGAGATTCTGGGGAGAATCGTGCGACGGCTCTAGGACATGGAGAGGTTGAGAGACGCGGACAGAAGGCCGATAGCCGGAGCCAAAGCCCGCCGCCATTGGGGTGGTGATGCAAGCACTGGCAAGGCAAGCTTGGGCGGACGGGCGGATAGGCCGCGGGAGGAGGGGCCAGACAGAGACAAGAGACGGCCATGATGGCATCGACGGCTCCTTCCCCACGCACCTGCAATATGCAATGCACGTCCGCGTCCGCGCCCACCTGCCATGTTGCCACGGTGCTTTCCCCCACATTGTGCGGATCTGCTCTTGCCTCTGTGCAAATAGTAGTCATGTAGTACGGAGTACTCCGTACACGCATTGCACAGCTTCGAATGGGACAAATAGAATCCCGTCCCCAAAGTGCCATGTCGTGCCATGCAGCCAGTCATGCTGTGCTTGCTCCACTAGCCACATGTTGTACGAGATGTTCCGTCAAATCGCTGCGCTTGCATTAGAAAAGCCATCTACGTCTAATGCTGTTGCCGTTGCCGCTTTCGGGCCATGTTGCGCCGAGCCATTCGCAGCAGTACAAAGCATCGGCATTTGAAGGGAAAATCGTCATGGTGCACATCTACACGCCTCATTGGTCCCAGTTTGATTGTCGTCAAGGCCCCTTCATTATTCACCAGGCTCCTATTGGTCATTCGCATCATAATACCCTGATTCACAACGAGCAAACTGCAACCTTTAATCGCGGCAATTGAAAAAAAAAAGACGCAGCTTGACGTGTATTGCTAAAAACGCAAATCCGACTCCTATCAAAATACTGTGCACTTCTGCCGTCTTTTTGTTCCCGTGATGCATTATTTCCCTTTATCCCGGTGCCATCAAAAAAAAAGATACCAAAAACGAAATATGAAAAAAAAAACCAATGGTACAAAAAAACAACATGCCCTTTGTGACCCAATTCCCAATAAATGTTCCCATCATCATCCCATTCATCATCACTCCGTTTACCGTCAACGCCGCTCGACGCCTTTAGCTCCGTGTTTCATAACACGTAAACCCTTCAATCATGTGCTGGTTAACGGAGTCTTTGCTCATTGTCGTCGTCCAAGATGGACGATATCCTCGTCTTGTCTTGGCCCGTCATCCGGTATCCTGTCCTACGGTCCTTGTCCGGACTGGCAATCGGTGTAATTGGGTTGCTCTCGCTATACTGGCAGCAAGCTCCTGTTTTCCAGGCCTGCTCCAGAGCAACTGGGGATGCATTCATTCCGTACTCGTCGGCTATAACCGCCCAGAAGGCGCTCTTGTGCGTCTCGTAGATCGAACGGAGTCGCCCGAGGTCCACGTGAGCAGGTGTGTGTACTGACGTGGACGGGGGAGACAGACGACCGGTGTCGAGCCGAAGAGGCGGAACAGGGGACTGATAGGCCGGGCTGCCGTGGTGGTGCATGCCGACGACTGGCGGCAGGGGCTCGTGGTGTTGCTCGGGAGTCACCATCGGATGACGAGGCACAACTTCACCACCTTGGGAGTATGCCACGCCTTCTGGCTTGGGCAGGATGGCGGGCAGGCGCGGTGATCTCTCCACGGACATGATGCGGGACAGCTGCATGTCACTGTTGAGCGGCTTTGGGAGATAGCTGGTCGCCGCCACCGATGGAGAGAGTGAACGGGTCTCGCCACGATAGACAGGACTCGAGTATGCTGCTGGCTGGTTGGGGGAAGGGTCCGAGGAGCCGGATGAGCACGACGCAGTTCGCTTGCGTCGAGTGCTGCCATGGGACAGCTGGTGGTAATGCAGGCGACAGGCGAGCTCGGTCTTGTTCAGGTGCGCTGCGATATGTTTGTATGGCATCTTCTGCAGTCGCGTCTGGAGAAGGTAGGCTTCCTATACGACAGAAAGCAAACAACGGGTCAGCACACTTGGGTTTCGTGATTTTCTGCGTAAAGCCACATGGTCATTGTAATTACTTCGTCTTCCCTCCATGCTCTACCACTACCAGTAAGTGGTGCCTTCCTATTCTTCGTAACACCATTCTCGTGTCGTTGCATGGCGTCTTTGATGGGCGTGTACACAGACTGAACTTGTACCACTTGTGTTCTGGACATGATGCTTAACTCTTGCAGCTGCAGCCTTGTTCTTTGTGTGTGAGAGGTTAGAAGATGACGTGTTGTCTGTTTGTCGACACGTCCTTGCCAAGTCTGTCCGATAGGTTAACCCTGTTTCCTTGGGTATCGCGGGCTGATGAGCGAGACCCGTGTCCGTCCGTTGTTGTCAACCGAGATGGCAAACCAGGCCTTTCAAGGTCGTTTGTTTTGGTTTGTTGAAAAAAAAAGTTGAGAGATAACTTCCAAAGCCCAGCCTTGTAACTAGCTTGTCGCAACTATGCAAAGTCGAAAGTTCCAACCAAATATTTGTCTGTCCAGACAATGATGACTCGACGAAAGCGGGTGAAATGAAAAAAAGAGTTGTGTAGATATATAAAGTCAACAAAGATTTTTATGTCGAATACAGTCAAAAAGGAGTGGCAGCAGCTGAGCCAGTTGGGTGATTAAGGAAAGTAAATCGCCGGCTGCGAATAGCGGAAGAGAAGAGAGAAGAGAAAGAAGAAACGACTGGAAGACCCGCGATTCGCGAAACCAGAGCCCTTCAACGTTCTGGTAGAAGACGAAATATAACTTCAAAGACGAACCGGAAAAGAAGAGACCAGGAACTACAGAAGTACGGGAGAAGGCATGTTAATCAATGGTACGGCCCCGGCCCAACGGGTCTGTCGTGCCCTCGTCCTACGAAACAACTTGACGGTGACGTTCCGAGTCTGGGACAGTCTTGACCAGGGACCCTGTCACTCTTGAGATCTAGCCCTGTTACATCTCAGTTCGGTCATCCACCCTGTGACAGATTCGAGCATGTAAGCATAAGGGTTCGACCTGATCCTCACAACAACATGAAGTCCCTCTTGGCGACTCGTCAACCTGAAAAGAGCCTGTGGGGATCAGCTCGTCGCCACAAAAACTTGACGCAAGGATGGAGCTGCCACTACTCAGAACCCGTCTTGTATTGTTGTATTATTATGAGAAGGCTGTAGTGAGGCTCTCTTTGGATTATCGACACCTGCACTCGGTAAAACATGGTTCATGTTTCCATTTCCACTATGCCCACCCAGCACGAGCGTTCGTGACGTCAAGTAACCTCGTGAGCCCAGTTCTGTCGTATACTGACTGTATTGCACATGTTGTATACGGGTTGAATCCTATGCCCCTTGCTCAGTTGTGAGTATTTCTGTCCTCTTCATGCAATGTGTCCCCTCCGTCTGTTCGAAAATAATGCAAAGCAGAGCAACTTTTCCAGCATCAAGGCTGTGTTGACATCGACGTCATCTTATTCAGGCAGAGAGGATACATGCCTTATGCAGGCTCCGCAACGCAGACACTGTGGCAAGTCATGGCAGAAACGCCAGCCTGTTCGTCATGGAGAGAGAGGTCAGAAGGGCTCGAAGTGACAGGTTACGACGGGCTGCAACGCACAGAGATTCAGCTTGGCATCTGAACTATCCATAGCAGAAGACATCGTGTGACAGGCGAGCAAAAACCTGTTTGATACAAGGTAGACTTTGAGCAGCAACCAACTACGTATTAACCCACACCCCTGGTCTGGTTGGCCCCTCGTCAGTCTTCAGCCGCCGAGCCACACACAACCCTGCCCGCGTTCCTGCATTGGTCTCCATTGTGGCAGTTCAGGAGTTTCGCCAGAATAATGCGAGACCTCCGCCGCGGCGTTTGGTTTGAAGTCGCCCCATTGAAACGTAGATGCCGTTTCTTATGCCCATACTCCGTACACTGCCCCCGGTTGCAGGGTGTCCTGGCCGATTTCGTCAGTCGTACGGCAGCCAGGGCGCAATTGTCAGGTCATGGAAGCCGAACATTGTACATGCAATGTGGAATACTCAGGTAATGGTTTAGTAGCCGGTGCCATGGAGAGTAAGAGGTCGTACAAACGGGAGAGAGTGAGAAATTGAATGGGGCTGCCGCAGGGTTGTATTGCATCGTGAGCCGCTCCCTGCCAGATGATTAGTGCCTTCATGCCCAGAACCGCGCGCAAGGGTTTCGTTGTATGTACAAGGCATGGTACGTTCGTCGTAGTACACACGTTGAAGAAAGCTATAATAAGTTTTCGACTATCCTGTGTTTCTGATCGTCTGGTCTGGGCAATTTATCGCACCCTTCTTCCGAGAGACAGGACTGGCCACAAGCATCCTGGGAACCATTTGTGGCGTAGCTAAGCGCTCATAGCGCACGCATCCTTGGAACCCAGCGACGGCGGGGCTGGTTCGGGGATCCCTTGAAACTCGCTAATGTAGAGTTGTAATCTCAAGTCGGTCTCAGTATTGACGCAGGTTGTAAAGAGTTCAACACAACGGCGCTATCGTAAAACTTGGTGAAACTCGGACTTTCTTCTTGAAAACAACCTTATTGTGTTTACCTTTTTTTTTTTTTCATCCCAATAATGAGCACATAACTTCCGTGCTTTTGTTTGCTTTTGATGGTGGTGGTTGTTTTTTTCCGACGCACGAATCCTTGGAGGTTGACACATGACTCCGACGGGTAGATGTTGCGAGGATTTCGATGTCACCTGTAACAAGACACCGGGAACCCTTGCCATAAGTTGACAGAACAACTGAAACCGGGTGTTATGGAAAGTGCGGTGACGAAAGGGTCATTTTCCGTCATCTGACTTGTGCGCTTTCTCCGCCTCAGAGCATGTACGAACAGACTGTCGGCAATGGCTGGATATGGAATTGACTACTGAAGCAGGCAGGATGATTCGATTAGGGGAGTGACTTCATTACTCACATCCTCGCGCCCTAATATAATAGTGTGTGCTCTTATACGTTGGCACATGCTTGACGATGACACGCATTGTGCCTGGCAAGTCAGCTATAACTCACTAATCATTGGCGCCAAAGCTTCGGAGTTCCTCAAGAGCCAACAAACGGATTTGCGGCATTTGGGGCAAAACTTGAGTTCTGATATCTGAGGACGAAAGCTCTGCTAGATGATGGAACCCGGCCTGTTTCAAGATCCGCGCATGATGATGGCCATTTGGTTTCGCTGGCTGAATGGAGCATAAATGTCCGACTAGCGCTGCCACTTTACCGTCGCTGGCTGATGTCTTCTGCATTAAACACAGGACAGTTTGCCATCGGTCAATTCTCTGTTCCTCCATGTTGATCCGCACTGGATGACTCTCGCCCGTTGATCACGGCGACGTCCCGATACGACGGATGCCCTGTCCTGTTTTAGTGCCACGATTCATTCTGCTCTCGCGCTGTCTTCACAGTTTACACAACGACACTCTGGGAATGGAATGTGATTGTCTGGCTCGTTCGCAGCCATTGGCCGTGATGGAAACGGGGACAATGATGAATATCATAGGCATCGTGCCCATATGTAATGGGGTGGGATACCATCACACCACAAAGGCCGCCGAATGCCGGATAATTAGCAAGCTGGGTGTGTTGAAATGTATCCGTACGTCGGACCGTTGATCTGGGAGGAAATCAAATCGCCGGTAGTGCATCAATCTCCCACGCTCAATACCCAACTGGCTGGGGGGATATTGAGTAGCTGCCAGTCTCATCCCGTGAGGCTGACAGGTAGCTTACTATTATATGTCTTCGGCAGTCCCTGATAGAGACGATAGGAATTTCGTAGTTGGCTATCAGAGAGGCAGAGCCTGTGTGGAGAAGAAACAACCCGATGGTAACTTGGAAAATTGCCCACGCCACGACGGGCCAGTCCACATCGAAATCTGAGTTGATCCCTACACGCATCGGAATATTTTGCCTGGTATAGAATGGCTCACACTGATGCCCATGCACGCCGTGGTAGGAACTCGAGAGCCATGTACTCCAGAAGTAGCCATCCCGGTCTAGGCCGCCAGCTCGCGGCTGATGCACGAGGTGGAGCTTGTTGGGGAAGCGTAATAGAGATTGCGGATGTGGCTCCCACGCATCTAGAGATCACTTGGGCCCTCGGGCGTTGCATGTAGCTGGTACAAGGGCACGCGAAGCATGAAAGCCTGCGGTGTACTGTACTTGGATCGAAGCAGAATCGGATTAGTTCCCGACGAAAGGCTAATCGTGAAGAGCCGCCTTGGTGGGAGCATTGAGGCCATTGAACATCGTCCCTGGGGCCACAGGTGTTGTTTACTTTTTCCCTTTTTTTCCTCTTTTTTTTTCCTTTTTTTTTTTTTTTTTGGACGCGAGCAGTTTCGTCGCCCCCGATAATATTGACGCCTTGACGCCTCAGGCAGGCGTGATTCTTAAGGTCAGGCCCCAACATCAGACGGAACATGACAGTCTGAGAGTCGGCAACGAAAACTCTGCATCAAGGCATGTTCCCTGCCTACCTACTAGGTACCTAGCTAAATATGTCTTCTATTCCGATTGAAACGGTTTCATTCGATATTGTCAACACTAATTCGTCTCTTTCTGGATGCATGGCAAGTAAAAACCATGAAGATGTGCACCAACCAGGGCATCTGCCACTTCATCCTTTGCACAAATGGAGAATTTGTCCTCTAGTCTAAGTCAGTGTATTGGTACTCCCTTAGTGCGGTGCGAAATCACTAGTTCGTGGCCAAGTCTGGCGCAGGCGAGGACACCCCGGGGTGTTTTCGTGGGAGGGCCGCCTTTGATTGGCTCACTCTGTGAGGCATGGCATCCCACATTGAACAACGGTTTCGCAGACGGCTTTCGCACGCAGCGACGCAGCGACGAATGCGCTGTCTGCACAGTCGGCTTGCCGGAAGCACACAGTGACTCCCGCATCGGCTCTCGCACACGCCCTCCCAGCCTTCAAGTCGTGCCGATGGGCCCCAAGGTTTCCTCTCGCCTTTGGATGTTCCTCCCCTTCCACCAAAAAGCACCGGCCAGCCAGTCCAAAACATCGACCACCTCCCCAGAAGCCCCAACCAAGGAGTTACTTGGGCTCGAGGTACTCTCCTCTTCGTCCTGTCCTCACTCCCGCCGGCAACCTGGCCTGTCGCTGTCGCTGTCTACAGTCACTGGGGTCCACTGTCGGGATCAATTCGAGATATCTCGTCCAGCTCTGATCGGCTGCTCTCAACACCAAGGTAAGGTTGCGCAAAGGGGGAAGAGGAAAAGCACTCGTCGACCGGAGTCGTGTCCTGCCGAGTCCTGTCGTGCCGACGCTGTCCTCAACCGCGTCGCCCACCTGCGCCTGGGCTCTGCGCAGCGCAACTCTTGTCTTCGGCAACCAACGCCAGCATTGCCACCCACGGGCCCATCTGTCGCCCCGTCAGCTCACCAAGGCCCCTTTGGCACCGTCGCCGCCTCGGACGCCGGCGCCCCTATGCTGCCCTTATACATCAATAATGCTCTTGGCTAGGCTTTCTGGCTACACGAAAAAAGAATTCTGTCGCTGACCTTGCAGATTGCGCCGACGGCTGGCCATCAAGCTTGGCTTCCCACGCACACGACACGCACACGACGCACGCGCAACGCAAAAGCACGCTTTTCACTCACCACTCACCACTCACCACTCAACTCATCACACTCTGCTTCACACCTCTCACACGCACCCAAGCACTGGAGCCCACTTTATCACGTCGCCCACACCATCAGGCCACTCACCAGCCTCCACCACTGAATTCCTCCAGACGGCCGACGCCCGGATCCGTCAATTACCTTTGCCTGCCCAGCTTCTCGAGGCGCAGAAACTTGTATTACGCAAACCCGTGGCCCTGCCCTTACCACCCAGACCCGAGCCTCGGACCACCTGTGTGACTTTGACTTGCTTCACACGAGGAGCTTGCTACGCGATCTGGTCAGGAGAAGTCTCTTGCAGTACACCGAGGGCTCTCGAACCAGCCTTTCTAGCTGGACAATACGTACATCGCCCGTAAGTCTTGCATGAGTTTCTTGTCTTCTTTTTTTTCCCGCTACATGCCTTGTCTACCTTGCGCGCACTCGACGGTCCTTTTGCAGGGAGCATCGCGCCCCGTCAGCGGTGTCAGCTTGGCTTTGCCCCGTCTCTCGTCTCAATGCCGCCTACCGTGGTCGAGCGCGTCGACAGCCTCTCCAAAGCTGGGCTACACCAGCCGCGTCGCTGCAGCTGGACCCATGCCCGTTGCCAGATGGCTGGCCACCTCTCGCAAACAAAGAACTTGTCCTGCCTGCGCTCGCCTTCGCCCTTCTCTGGTCCTTTTATTCTCGCTACCTCTTGTCCAGAATTGACGCTGACGATATTTGTTCCTGTCGCATCCAGATCATGCAGCAGTGGCAGGTCGGCCCTGTGCCGGAGTATGTTTACGCCAACTCCACCCATCCCCCCAACGACATGCAGTAAGTACCGACAGCAAAGTCTTTTGTCCCTTTTGTCCCTTTGTCCCAGGTACCTCCAAACTTTGACTACCACGGTCACTGTCATTTGCATCAGCCATCCCACTGGCCTTGGCCTTGAAGATTTGTTCTTCCTTGCTTGGTGCCCGCGTCTAGTGGTCGGGTCGCTTTTGCCTCTGGCCTCGCCCGTGAAGCCGCGACGCTCGCTGTCGTCGTCAAACATGACATGAGTGTTATAGCAAATGTCGTGACGCTGCGCCCATGCCGTCCTTTTTTGGGGGCGGCTTTCTCGACCCTCATTCTCCTAATCCCTCCCCTCGTCCTGTTTGGGTAGGATGGATGGAAAATGTTGTTGATATGCCACCTCGATGGTAGCGCTTTGCCCAGCAATAAAATTGCTGACCACTATGTGCAAACAGCAATCACCCCTACCAACCCGATATGGCACGCCGAACCGAGCAGCGCATGGAATTCCCGTACGGAACTCCCCAGTCGGGAATAACTCCCCAGCAGCAGCAGCAGCAGCATCACCCTACTCCGGTCCAGCCGCCGATGAATGTCCCTCAACCTCCAAATGCCTCAGCTGCCCAACAGCAGGCCGCGACTCCCACGCCAGCACAAAGTCGCCAGCGAAAGCGACCTGCTCCAAATACTGCCCCATCGCCGGCTACTGTAACGCCTGCTGCTCCTGTTGCTGGAGCTGGAAGCCAAGTTCAACCTCCGGCTCCCACTCCTCCCACTCCTCAGACTGCTCCCTCGACATTGCAGCCACAGGCTGCAACAGAAGATGCCAAGACGACGCCTGTTCAGCCGCCTCCGGCCAAAAAAAGCCGTACTAATACCCCATGGACGCCGCAAGAAGAACTGCGGCTCAAACAAATGCGAGACTCGGGTAACAGTTGGGCAGAAATTGCCAAGGTATGTCACTCTGGCCTTGTGACGGAGCAATCGAAGCTCATCATTGTTACAAATAGACATTTCCCACCAGAACAGAAGGTTCAGTCAAGAAGCATTGGTACAAGGTTTGTTTCTCCCTGGCCCAATGGGAAAATCGAGGGCATGTTTTTGTATTAATGCTTTAACCAGGATATGCACTATGCCGAGTTTGCAGAAGATGAAGTACGTTTGCATATGGTCCCAGTATATATGTCGCATGTAATAACCGAAGCAAACAGAGCCAGGCCTTGTTGAACGCAATCAAGGAATACGAAAACAACAAGTGGAAAGTGATTGGCCAAAAGGTCGGCAAGCCGGCAAAGGTACGACATACCGACTCGATACATGACCCCAGCGCCGCCTTGCTAACAGATTGAATTAGGCATGTGAACAATATGCCAAAGAGCACTTCCCTGGTAAGTGATGGATCACAGTTTCTTGTTATGGCTGTCTGTAGTGTCGCAGCCAATCTAATGCTGTCGCAGATCTGTTCGCAAACGGCAAGGGCAGGTAGTGACCCTCCTTTCCCCTCTCGCCGTGTCAATTTATACAGTGCTTGCTTGATCAAATCTGGGCAACCTTCTTTCTAGCGGCTAGCTATGGTGTTTTTCTTTCTCCGTGTATTTTGGTCGAACAATCGTTTTGCAACGCCAAGCGGTATACGATACTGGACTCTCGCGAGTCTCTAATTCGCGATTAATCTGCCAAGGGGCCGTCAGGAGGCAGTGGCAGTGTGTATTCTGACACACTGTACATGAATGATCTGTGCAGCTGCAACATGAAACCGTTGCGATGATGACCGGGGTGGGAATGGGCAGGACAAATACGACCAAGAGATGCATCGCGCATGTCTTGTTTGAAGTGGGGTTTTTATTTCCTGTGTATCTCTTGGGTGTTCACATTGTTCGCTCTCCTTTGTTGTGGTCGTGTTGCTCAATATTGGTATGCTGCTTCTGTACCTAGATGCTTGTTGTATGTTTTCGAGTTGAGTCTGGAATTGGTCAAGGCTTTCGGGTGGGATTCTGCTTTCGCTTGGAGTAGGAGAACGCGGTGGCAGAGAATGGGCTTCACAGTCTGGCGGCCTTGGTGCTGGGATATAAGTCGGGTTTCGATTAATGGCGGCCGCCTTGTGTGGGAAGATTCAGGTTTGAGTTCGTAGCAACTTGAAGCGACGGGCACGTGTGTGTTGTGCTTGTCTATTGGCGACAAGGGGGTTGATGGGGAAAAACGTATCAAGTCGATGGTAGCTTTATTTTTATTCCAGAGGATAAGAAGCATGATGGACGAGGCAAATCCTTTGCGGGGCTTGACAGCCATCCTGGATATTTTGCGAGGATACCATCTTCGAACTTTCTATCCGGAAAACTAGAACCAACTTCCTTAGTTATACCCCTATGCAGTTATTTTCACACTGGCACGGTTACGTGAAGGATAATTTCATGTCGGTGAGAAGTCATCCGCAAGCTACTTGCTCGCCCTGCGGCCATGCAAGTGTAGATCTATATCCAGCTGGTGGTGACTTGTTATCGAAGTACTCCTACAAGTTACAACCACGCCATGCATCTTGCCGCGATCCCGGGCCCCACAGCAAGGGGTACATGAAACCTCGTAGGACCGTCCGTGACGAGGTACCAGTTACTCGACGCGGCAAGCGGGAAGCGGGAAGCGATCCACTCCTGAAGCTTCTAACTGAGTTGCAGAGTTTCGATAGCATGTGCGTTATTGCAGGTCTTTGGGCCGGCATGCCTGGCAGGAGGGGGGTTGCTCTGCCTGAGGCGTCGAACAATGCTTGAGAGTCTACCCACCGGCGGTTTTTATGCCGTCACGTAACTTTCGCACTCCATTAGGGTTGCGGGGACTAGAGACGAGCCTTCGGCATGATAGCTATACGCCTGGTCCTACGTATTCAATTGAGGTATTGGTTAGCCAACCCTGTGCAAACGTGCAGCACAAGAAATCATTGCTTAACCCGTCACATAAAACATTACTACTCCAGTAGCTCCAGAAGGAAACCTAGCAGAAACCCAATCATCTCAAGTCACTCCCGCAATACACAGAGAGGAACTGCAGGACGGTAAGACGAGGTATAGGGTAGGCGTATTTGCTGATGTCAAGTTGATCAATCATGTCACTGTGCGACCCACTCTGCGGGAGGCCAATTTTTTTTTTCAGCGATATCTGATAACGATCTCTGGAGCAAACTCGCCGTAGCAACTCAGCACCCTCCGGCCTCTAGAATCACTATCCCAATACGCACGCAACCATGAAGCGTAAGCTTGATCAGAATGGTGTTCCGTCGCCGGAACCTGAAAGCCAAAAACGCACGAAATCGGAGTCAGCAGGGGACCAAGAGCTCACATTTGCCGATCTTGGATTGGACCCTCGTCTTGTCCAGGCGGTTGCCGAACAGGCCTTCCTCAAGCCTACTCTTGTTCAACGCAAAGCCATACCGCTAGCGCTCAATGGAAAAGATGTTCTTTGCAAGTCCAAGACTGGCTCAGGAAAGACTGCGGCTTATGTTCTTCCAGTCTTGACTGCCATCCTCAAGAAGAAAACCGTATGTTGTCCTGGCGTGATTGCCATCTTGTCGCTTGATCTCCTTGTAACACAGCCCTAGGCCGAAACTGTTGCTGAGACGTCCGCATTGATATTGGTACCAACTCGAGAACTGGCCGACCAAGTCTTCAAAGTGATCGAACAATTCTCCTCGTTTTGTGCCAAAGATGTTCGCGCTGTCAAGTTGACGGATAAACTGTCCGACGCCGTACAGAGGTCTCTACTGTCTACGAATCCCGACATTGTCATATCTACCCCCGCACGAGCCTGGTACAATGTGAAATCAAACCAGTCCTCTCTCTCCCTCGACAAACTTACCCACCTTGTATTGGACGAGGCTGATCTGCTACTATCATATGGATATGACGAGGACCTGGAGAACCTGTCTTGGTCAATACCCAAGGGAATACAGACTATCATGATGAGCGCCACACTTACAGCGGAAATCGAGTCGCTCAAGAAAATTTTTTACCGCGACAACGCTCCAACTCTGCTCGACCTCGAAGAGCCCGATGCTGAAGGCGAGGGGATAACGCAGTTGGTCACAAAGTAGGTCTACATTTTCTAGACATCCTGAAAATAAGTCACCATCGCTAACCAGTTGATATTGACAGATGTGCCGAGGACGAGAAATTCCTCTTGGCCTACATCATTTTTAAGCTCCAGCTAGTCAAGGGCAAATGTATAATATTTGTCGGCGACATCGACCGATGCTACCGATTGAAACTCTTTTTTGAGCAGTTTGGCATCAGGAGCTGTATTCTAAACTCAGAATTACCTGTAAACTCAAGAATCCACGTCGTGGAAGAATTCAACCGCAACGTTTATGACATCATTATCGCTTCAGACGAGAAGGAGGTTCTTGGGAATGAAGAAAAAGCCGACGAGGAAGAAAACAATGAAGGCGAACAGGAAGAGGATTCTGACGCGGAGAAGGAAGAACGACGACCCAAGAAGAAGCGCAAGGCATCCAAACGAGACAAGGAATACGGTGTCTCTCGAGGTATGTTTTGAATAACCCCGACGAATGCATTCACCGCCACCATTATTCGGATCCATACTCACCAACATGACGCGCAGGTATTGATTTTAAGAATGTGGCCGCTGTCATCAACTTTGATCTCCCAACATCCGCTTCGTCATACACCCACCGTATTGGGCGAACCGCACGGGCTGGCAAGGCTGGCATGGCGTTGTCATTTGTTATTCCCAAGGAGCAGTTCCGGAAACACATGCCTACATCGATTCAAAGTGCAGAGAATGATGAAAAGGTTCTGGCGAGAATCACGAGGCAACAGGCCAAGAAGGGCAAGGAAATCAAGCCCTACAATTTCAACACCAAGCAAGTGGAGGCCTTCCGATATCGCATGAACGATGCTCTGCGTGCTGTTACCAAGGTGGCAGTTCGCGAGGCGCGAACCCGGGAATTACGCCAGGAGCTAATGAAGAGCGAAAAACTAAAGAGGTGAGATCCCCATGTACTCCAGTGAGGTGCCGCGATGCCCGGCTCTAATATGAATGCAGATACTTTGAAGAGAACCCGTCTGAAATCAACCACCTCCGTCATGACGGTGAATTGAGAACTGCAAGACAGCAAGCTCATTTGAAGCACATTCCAGACTACCTGTTACCGAAGGATGGCAAGAAGGACCTTACAGAAAATGACATTGGTTTTGTGCCGTTGAGAAAGCCTGGCGGCCCACGTGGCCATCGAAAAGGCAAAGGCACGAAACGGGGCGGGTCCAGGGTTGGTGCTAGAAAAGGCGATCCTCTCAAGACTTTCAAGGCAAGGCGAAAGACGAAGTGATGCAAGGTACGGCTTGGGACTTGACGAGCATGCGGTAGGTGATCTAGGTAGGGAGCAGTCACGGAGCACGTTGGAGTAGCCAGCGTCCATCAACCACGGCGTCTTCTGGGTTTTAAATTGCCGGCGCCAATTGTGTCTAGTGAATGGTGCCGAGTTGCCGTTGATAGCGCGCCACTCTCATTGATGAAGTACGGAGTACTGAAAAATGTTGCAATATTCACGTCTGTCATAGAATAGTACATTTACCGACCTATGTACAAAGGCAATATGTACAGTCGGATAGGTACGGAGTAGAATCAACGAGCCTCTACACCTTCTGGAGTAATTTGCATGCCAATGACAGACAGCAGCATAATAAAATAGTAGTACCTGATCATTGCTCCAGTTCGTATTTTTTCCCCCGCCGGCGTGACATCGTTGAACCAGTTTGCGGCGCATCTGGGCCATGCCAGGGATGGTAAGGCCTTTGAGCCTTTGAAATTGGGAACGAAGCCGGCCCCACATTGTACTGCTAGCATCTTAGCTTGGTGGACAAGAGAGGTTTGAATGTACATGTGTATACCAAGTACTGAGCAGACATGATGGGTGACGAGCGAATAAAGACACAACTTTGAGACTTCTAATTTGCTGGGAAAACATTAAAGTTTCACACACAGAATCTATGCATGGACGGATTTCTGCTTAAATCTATTTATCTACTCATTTTTGCACCCAGCGCGCGGCGAGTATCAAGGTACCAGTACGGAGTACCTGGGCACATCTCCTCCCCACTCGCCCCCCTGTGCCGTGCGTCGGCCCCGCTATTTTAGAGCCTATTGCAGCCACCGTTTTTCTCGTTGGTTAGCATCGTGAGCACTCTTGATAGACAAGTCATCTTAACAGGAGGAATACGAGGTGATGCGCTGCCGACCGTCACTCGTTGCATCAAAGAAGGGAGCCCGTCTTGGATATCTTGCCTGGCTCCTCCTCCAATGCATCCAAATCGGTAGCTAGTATTTCTACCCGACCGGCGGATAATCTGTTGAGCTGTGACAGCTGCTTGGTTCCGTTGGGCGATGCGTGTGCCAGACGCCACAAAAGACTAAAAAAAAGAGAGAGAAAAAACGCAGGGCGGTACTATTGGGCAGGTCCCTGCATCGTAGTATGCAGGCTGCCGACGTCAAAACAAAAAGGTTTGTTCCTTTTCCATGTTTCTATCGAGATTGTGCGAGTGATAGAATACAGGTCGGGTTGCACAAATCTCAAGTGCTGGGATTTCCCACGTTGAACACAGCGGCGGCTCAAGCAGGCCCCGAGTGCACCGGACCTATGAGGTATTGCGGTACTTGAGCCACTTCCAGAGTGCAGATGTCGACGTTAGGCGGATTCTGGTTCAATGTTGGTACATGTAGTACTAGGCTCGAACGCGTTGCCGAACAGCCGCTACAGGCACGAACCATCGACCCGCTGGAGGACCAGAGTAGCATTCTCTGGAGTACGGAGTAAAAAAATTGGCACCAGGCAGTTCTCTCCTGCCTCAGCAAACAAGTACTTCGTGCCTGTCTAAAGCCCCACCCGCCAGCCTGGCACTCGAGTCGTGCCACCCAACGGCACAACCGGTTACCATCAATTTGATTTGCCCAGCTCGGATGGGCTCAAGGCCCTGCCCCTTTGTGCGCCTGCTGTGTGCCTGCTGTGTGACCTGTGTCTCATTCCCAGCTCCATCAGCCTCTGCCACTCCAGCTCTCGTTCGTGGAGGCGTCATTCTTCGTTCCTCACGCCTCAACATAATAAACAAGGCCTGTTGTGTTGTGTCCTTTCGTTAGGTACGTTGAGGAACTCGAACTACGGACCGTTTCCTTCGTTTTGCGGCCGACTACATTCGCTTTGCCTTCCCGTTTCGTTTCGTCCTCGCCGTCATTTCGACTGCCGACAGCCGCAGCGTTGTGCGTTTGTTCCTTCCCCATCGCGACTCTTGACATAGTTTCTTTGTCGGCGCCGACGGCCTGCGACTTTTCGCGCTCCGTCCGTCCGACTGTCTATCAACCTCGTTCGTTCTGCTTACGTTGGGTTGGTGGAATGAATACTTTGCAGCGACTCGCAACCATATTCTTCTAATTTCGAACATGTTGCGCTCTGTTGCACTTGCCACCCTTTTGGGTGCTTGCTCCGTTCTGGCGGCCAAGTGCTCCCTTACGCAGAAATGTCCTCAAGATTCTCCTTGCTGTTCCCGTAAGTTTTCCTCCCCTCCGGCTTGCGCTCTTGGCTCTTGGTAGAGACGCAGCACGAGATCATTTGCTGACATGTGTTCCCTCCTGTCCGCAGAATATGGCGACTGTGGTGTCGGTGCCTTCTGTCTGGGTGGCTGTGATCCTCGCATGTCTTTCAACCTCTCCTCCTGTGTCCCCGCACCGGTTTGTTCGGACAAGACGACCAAGTTCACAAACCTCGACAGTATCGTCGATATAAGCAAATACTACGGCGATTCCACCAAGAAGGACTGGGTAGCCCAGGGAGAGCCTGCTTCCAGGGATGGAAGTGTTTTGCTGACCATGCCCAAGAACAGTGTTGGAACTGTTTTGGCCTCCACCTCTTACATGTGGTATGGCAACGTCAAGGCCAAGTTCAAGACCAGCCGTGGCCGTGGTGTTGTTACCGCCTTTATTCTGCTCTCGGACGTCAAGGACGAAATTGACTACGAATTTGTCGGTGTCGATCTCGAAACTGCCCAGACCAACTATTACTTCCAAGGTATTCCTGACTACCACAACTCTGGAAACATTAGCTTGTCTGATACCTTCCACAACTTCCACGATTATGAAATCCGGTGGACCCCCGACAAAATTGAATGGCTCGTCGATGGACAGGTTGGCCGCACCAAAGAGCGAAAAGACACCTGGAATGAGACCTCGCAAAGCTGGATGTTCCCACAGACCCCGGCTCGCGTGCAGCTGTCTATCTGGCCAGGCGGTGCTTCCACCAATGCCAAGGGCACCGTCGACTGGGCCGGTGGTCCTATGGACTGGGAGGCCGAAGATATCAAGAATGTCGGTTACTTCTACGCCGCTTTCTCCGAGGTCACCATGGAGTGCTACAATGCTAAGAGCGCCCCGGGCACCAATAACGGAAAGAGCTACACCTTCAACAGCGTTACAGGAACCAATGACACCGTTGTTGATGGCAAGGGTGACACCGTCCTCGGGTCGTTCGAGGGCACTGGTTTCAACATGATGAAGGACAAGGCCTCTGCTTCACAGAGCGCCGATAAGCCCAAGAACACCGCAGCCACCATTCCCGGTGGCAGCACTGGAGGTACTGGCCAAGACCACAGCGGCAAGTCTGGCAGTGATTCTGGCAGCAACTCCGGCGGCAACTCCGGTGGCAACTCTGGCGGCAACTCTGGGGGTAACTCAGGATCCGGCAATTCGGGCGGTAGCAGCAGCAGCGGCTGTGAAACCAACACCTTCAACCAGGATTGTGCCAGTGGCAGTGGCAGCGGCAGCGGCAACAGCGATAAAGGCAAGAACAGTGGTACCAGGGCGAGCGCTAGTGCATTGGCAATGATTATTGCTGGCTGTGCCCTCTTCTGGCTGTAAGCGCGAAGATGTTTCCAAATAATGTTGGATCTGATTTATGTCTCTTTTCGTGGGAGAATCGGCGCGATATGGCTCGGAAGGGTTTTGTGCAGCATTAATTACAATGCCCCTTTGGATTACTTGTTCTGCTTTCATTTTGTTCTGCTAACTACACAAACGTGTTTTATCCGCGTGTCATTCTATTTACAGTATTGGCATGGCTCCGCCTTGAGTTTGCTGTATCTAAGAGCATTGTTCACTAGCACACACACTGTATGTATGGGATCGGTACTAGTTTGATTTTTTTCTTCTTTTCAGTATTGGTTGGAGCAGATGGTGAAGGCTCATACAACGGTATCCGGCTCAGAAGCTTTAATGACCCTTGGTCGTCCATTCCTTGGAAATAAAAAGGCCATTAACATTGTCAATTGAACAATTAAGACATATTGAATGTTTGCGGTGAACATCGGACAGTATCTGGGCTTTCCAAGTTGTAATGCGATATGACGCAATCATCCCGAGGACGTATATGTATATTTTGCTCCAGGAGCAGCCTTGGGCAGCTTTGTTCCCCTGGGAATCTCCATTCACCTTACGGGGAACCACGCAGTTTAGAACCAACCCATCGTTTATGAAGTGCCGACACTGCCGACACGACTTTGGCTAGCATTGTAGCTACTTCATGGAGTCGGCTCAAAGTCAAGACGAGTCAGACACGGCATATACAATCTTGATGGAAGCCGGCTATGAGATGATTTCTGGCTATGGGCTTGTTGTTGTGGGCGGAGTCTGGGGCAGAACAAGCAGCTTGATAGTAGTTCACATATATACAGAGGCCAAGTACATCTGACATGTCGTGGTTGGCTGTCTCCTAGGTTAAGAAGTCGATGGGGATCCCTTGCCAAGGTTTAGGGGACCGAGTTGGCGTTGGATACGACGCTGCCACGCGGCACCCATCGCGCCGGGACGGGACAATTATTGAAGCTCGTGGGGATATAAAAAGAAGTTTTTGTGCGCGACGTGGCCGAGCGCAGCGGGCCGAGGGGAGCGCGTTTGCGGGTTGTCGCGACTCAAAGGGCGAAGGCGCGAGCGAGGCGGGGCGGGGCGGGCTAATTGGTTCGGAGAGGACCGCAGCCCTGTTAGTGCGGGACACTGGCTCAGAGGGGGACGGACTAGCAGATGGGAGGTACGGAGTACTGCGCCACATAAGCCACGCCCGCGTCGGACAGGGCGCCATCGGATGAATGCACCTGGCCGTCAAAGGACGAGGCTTTTATGTGGGTGACAAGTGACGAGTAAGGAGTGACGAGGCGCGCGCCGTTGGCGAACGGAAGGCCGACAAGTTTACATAGAGATGAGATGACGGAGGATGCGGATGGTGTCGAGAGATAAATATGCATGGTCGTCCTCACTTGGCGATTGTTTCCATTTTGTTTTCATCATCATCATCATCATCATCATCATCATCATCATCAGCACTACACAGTAGACCACTCATCCAGGCAAAACCGCAACTACATCAGCAAATACACAAGGTATTCCTGGCTGCGCACCACAAGCACCCATTCACAATGAGCACTAGTACGCAGACGATTGCTTTTATTGGCGCCACCGGCGGCTGCGGCCTCGCCGCGCTCAAACGCGCCGTCGCCGCAGGCTACACATGCGTCGCGCTCTGCCGCACCCCGGCCAAGTTGGAAGCCCACTTCCCTGACAAGCCAAGCAACTTGATACTCAAGCAGGGCAATGCCCACGACGCCGCGGCGGTGGGCGAAGCGCTCCTCAGGCCATCGGACCCCACGGCCATGGTAGACGCGGTCAACTTCTCCATCGGCGGCAGCGTCAGCGCCAGCCTGACCATGGACGACCCGGACGTCTGCAAGAAGGGCGTGGCGGCGCTGCTCGAGGCCCTCGGGGCGCTGCGGTCGCGTGGCGTCGCCGGCAGTCCTCTCCTGGCCGTCATCAGCACGACGGGAATCTCGGCGCACGGGCGGGACGTCCCCCTGCTCTTTGTGCCGCTGTACCACGTCGGCCTCAAGGCGCCGCATGCCGACAAGAGGGTGGCCGAGCAGGCGCTGTTTGGCAGCGGCGAGCGGTTTGTCCTGGTGCGGCCGAGCCTGCTGCTGGACGGGGAGAAGCCGGACAGGAAGATCCGCGTGCACGTCGAGAGCGAGAAGGGCGTCGAGCACAAGGAGGTCGGATACTTCATCTCCCGGGAGGACGTTGGCCGCTGGATGTTTGAGAACTTGCTGCAGGACGCGTGTCCCACGGAACAGTATGAGCGCAAGGCGGTGGGCTTGACTTGGTAGGCAGGGCCAATGGAGAGGGTGTTGCAAATTGATATATGCATGGATGGGATGGCACTGGGCAATTTCGTCTCGTCTTCTTCTTCTTCTTGTAGCGGGCGTTTTTGGATGGGCTTGTTCTTTTTTGTTGGACTGAGCCATGGATCGATGTCAGTTACGGATCATTCCGTGGCGCAGCTAGTACTTACTTTCCGTAGATGGACGAACCGTAATGAGCTGTTTAAACACCTGGGGATGTTGGTCCTCTTTTTTGAGTTTGACTTGGCTATTGCAACTGGATGAAGGGCCTTGGCAGGGGGTGCTTTCCTTGGTGAAAATGCGTGGCACCTTCTGTTTGAGCTGTTGCCCAGAAGCATTTAATGGAAGATTCATTTGTATGAGTCAGTGGTGGTCTTGCATGACCATCTAGGCCCCCTTTTCTTTTCTTTCTCTCTCTTTTTTTTGCCAATGACTCAATGTAAGATTCATCTATTCTAAACAGCTACAGGCAGATTTCGTCTGGTCATGACCTAATTAGCCTGCCCCCCCCAGTACTCCGTACATCCATGCCTTATGCATGATTCGCGAGACATATGACCACCCTTTAATGTGGCCAGTTGACGGCAATCGGCAGTTGCGTGTTGGTCTTCACTGCTTCCTTTTTTCCTGGACTTCCGCCGATAGATTAAGCATCAGGTGACGCTTGATCCCAAGTTTAGCGTTCCTTGGGACCAGGCCTGGCTTGACATCTCTCGGGCTTTTCTACTAAGTACTCTGACTCGGCAGTCGCTCAGGACTCCACATGCATCCCTGGCGGCACTCCCCCCGCATTGTCGCACATCTCCATCTTCACCCCTAATTCCCTGGTTTCCGCATCAAGAAAGGAATCTCTTCTTCTTCTTCTGGCCATATTTTCCCCTTGGGTCCGACAATCGACCTTGTCAAAGTACCAATCCGTCCCCATCGCTCACCTACAGCACTGGATTAATTGTATATACTATGTACAAGGCCCGCATTTCTTTAGTCGAGGTACCAGACATATCCTTGAGTCATTGTGCTGTTTCATGTTCATAACTATCACGCCTGTGGGAGCCCAAAGGACCAAGTACTGCGTTTCCACTACGTTATGCATAGGCATTCATGTAAAGTCAATTAAAGTACGGAGTACATAGGTGCATCGGAATCCAGGCGCACTGACCTATATATAAACTTGGCTGCACTCCCTCGTCTTTTTTTGAGAGTCGTGTATGTATTTTTGCTTGTCTACTGTCTACTCTCATCTTCACTTGGACACGGAGGTTTCTGGGAAATCTCCCTCACCCACCCCTTGATTCATTCATTTTGAAAGAAAAACTACTTCATTCCTTTCTAAATTTACTCTTCTTCCTCGACAAGCCACCATGCTGACAAGACTTTTTCTCGTCGCCGCTGCGGCAACAGCCAGCGCATTGCCTTCCTGCAAAAACAACAACAACATCCCTCCCGGCAAGATGCCCAACCCTGCCGTTTCCTCCGTAGCCAAGCTCCTCATCACCTCCCCGGGCAACATCTCCATTGCTGAATTCGATGGCACCAAGTTTGACATCAAGAGCACCAAGAATGTCTCTGGCAACCCGACCTGGGTGGCCTTTTCACAGCCACTTTTGTATGCCGTGGACGAAAACAGCGATACAACCAGTCTCCTGAACGTTGATCTTGCCGGAAACAAGATTAACCAGCTGAGCTCCACCAAGGGCAGCAGCGGCGTTGTCCATCTCGAATTCACAAAGGACAAGTCGCAGTTGGTCGGTGCAGGCTTTGGGAGCAGCAACATTGACATCTTCGACATCTCCAACGGCGGCTTGAAGTTCTCCAACGCCATCAAGTCGGACGACAAGGTCGGCCCCAACACTGTACGCCAGAAGGAGCCGCACCCTCACCAGTCCGTCCTGGACCCCTCGGGCCGTTTCATGGCAGTCAACGACCTCGGCACCGACAAGATTCTCGTCCTCGACACCCAAAAGGCCTTTAACATCGTCAACCGCGTCGCCGTTGAGCCCGCCGGCGCTGGCCCGCGGCACGGAGCCTTCTTCCCCGCCGGAGCCAACAAAGCGACGCACTACTTTGTCCTTTGCGAGATCAAGAACCTCGTCTTGGTGTATGCCCTCCAGTACGGCGGCGCCAAGGGCATCGAGTTTAAGCTGACGCAGACCATCTCGACCTTCAAGTCTGTCGAGGCCACGCCCGCCGAAGCTGCTGCTGGAGAACTCGTGCTTGCTGCGGATAACAAGAATGTCTATGTGTCAAATCGCTTGACGGGCGGGCAGACGGATAACATTGCCAACTTCCGCATTGCCCAGAACGGCGGCGAACTCAAGTTGGAGCTTGTGGGCTTCACGTCCACCGGAGGAGTGCGGACTCGCATGTTCAGTGCCTCCCTCGATGGCCAGCACCTGTTTGTTGGAAACCAGGGCGGCGCGCTGGGTGTCGTGGCCTTGAAGCGAAACGCAGATGGCACGCTGGTTGAGAAGCCTGTGGCGAGCCTTGATATGAGTCTGTTTCCAGGAGAGTTGGCCGGCCCTGCCTTTGTGCAGCAGGTTGCCTAAGTTTGTGGGCCGTTGTGCTTTTTTTTTCTTTTCTTGTTGCGTTTTCGCTTTCATCGCTAGGCCTTGCGCTGCAACCACCAGTCATTGGATCACTTTCTTTCTTCAAAAAGCATATAAGGGCACGAGCTGGGCATAGCCGTCACTAGATGACGTCCCAATGTTCTAATTCAAGTAAATAGTAATGCCAGTCGTTCATTATCCAACGGCCCTGTGCCAACTTCCAAAACATGCCATCTGTACACGTCAAAGTAATGCGGATCGGTACCGTCTATGGCCCTGTACTTTATGACCAAAAAGAAATCATGTCTAGAGAAGAAAAGGTTTGTAATCCCTCCCAAAGAAACCCAAAATGTGCAGTATAATGACTCCATTCTTTGATATCCGGTTCCTGCTTTACTCACAGCGTCAGAACTCCCATTGCAAATACTCCCAAAACGCCAAACCAACTCCAGGACATTCTTGCTGATCCTGCGCCGTTCTCCTTGTTGTTGTTTCCACTGTTTCCATCCGGACTGCCACTACCAACTGGCTTTGACAGTTCATTCACTTGCTGCGGCGAACATGTCCCCACTATCGATGTCAGATCCGTTGACGAATCGATCGATTGTGTCCTTGAGCCGCAGTTGGCGTAGGGCGCCATGTATGTCATGTTGTTTGAAATGTCAAACAGCACTGCCCCCCGATCCATCTTTGTTAGACACCAATTCCAATATTCAGCGCACACGGGGAAAAACTCACCATACGCAGACCGCAAGAAGGTGTCGCCTAGCAACGCGAAGGACGTGCTGGGCATGATGCCCAGGTAGCAACTCGGGGGCAAGCCGGCAACCTCGCGAACCATCTCACTGTACGGAACTCGGATGGTGACGCCGTCAAAGTTAAAGTCCAGGCTGCCGTTCTTGCTGGCCAGGCCGCAGTCCACCGTGTAGAGCCCGCTGTCGCCCAAGGCCCGGGCGCCGACTTGCCTGGCGATGTCGTTGGCTAGCCTGGGCGGCAGCAGCGTGAGGGTGGCGCCCGTATCCATGAAGACGGGCATGGTGGCGCCCGTCAGGTCGGCCGTCCTCCCGGACTCGGGCGTGTGCTGGACCGACTTCATTTTTATCCAGAAGCGCGTCACGCCGTCGGGGGACTTGTCGCCGGGGATCAGCGGCAGCGGCGCCAGCCTGCCCGAGAACTTGGCCGTGTCGACGCCGCCCATGACGACGACGCCGGCCCGGTCAGCCTTGCTGCCCAGCGCGACACTGTAGGCCTTGGTCTTGGTGATGCCCTGGTCTGCGAGCTGGTCGACAAAGTTCTTGTAGCCCGTGTTAATGCCGACGCCGTGCCCGATGCCCAGGATACCCGAGAACTGGTCCTTGGTGGATTGCGCCACGCCGAACTGCACCTGCTTCATCTGCCGCGAGTTGACGAGCGCAATGTCGTCGAGGAAGTAGGTGACTTGGGCGGAGCCGATGCCGTACCGGAGCTCCGTACTCAGGTTGCTTCCTTTCGACGACGAGGACCGGAGGGGGTTGTATTGCCCGACGGCCTGGCAGAACCGGTTGTCCGCGGATGCGGGGAGATTCGTGCAGTCCGGGTTGACCCAGAGCTCGAACGATCCCGTGTCGAGTTGCGCAAAGACTTTTTGAATGGGATTTCCTATGTTGACTGGATTTTTTTTTGGGTCGGGGTCAGTGGCTTGCTGAACATGGCTCTTGTTGTTCTAATGAACAGAGGGTAGTAAAACTCAATGGGAGGACAACTTACGTTGGACATAGTAGGCGACGTCTGAGCGGTTCTCAAGCCGGACCTCGACGTCTCTCTTATCCAAGCGTGTCTCGACATGGAGGACAGGAAGCGTCAGGTGGCCCGGCGAGATGTCGCCGTCGGGAGGCCCTTGCTTGGGATCTTGCTGGAACGAGTTGAAGGATGAGTCTTGGCCGTCTTGTGTGGCCTCAAGACTCCCAGCTGCGTTGTGACGTTGCGAAAGCTGAGGCATCGGTAGCGTTCCCACGGACAGGGTATCGCCTACAACAGGCAGCTCCCTGGACGGCATGTCCGCGACGATGTTTTCCGCGCGAATCTCCTCCCCAAAGAACCTTGATTCATTACGTACTTGCGGCCACCCGTGTACAGACAGAGAAAGCGAAACCACGGCCGAGGTTATCACAAGAGACACCATTTTGGGGGACACAGACTCTCACTTGTCGGCCCAAATAGAATTTCAGAAAACCACCCCGAGGCTGCTCTATAACAAAAACACATGAAGAAATTCTAGACAAGACAAAGGAAGGAAGAATGTATTTCTCTAGTCATAACAGGCAAGTTGACTGTTTCCAAGGGAAACAATTGGAAAGCATATATCCCTTTACAAACAGGCAGCCGGCAAGCGCAGATTCCGGCAGCACATGGCCGCGCCAGCCCTCGCTTTACAGCCCAACAGAGGCAGATGGCGAGGCGGCAAGGCAGAGCGATAACGAACCCAGGTCTCGGCATTTTTTTTTTTTGAAACAAGGGAGTTTGCGGAGGACTAGACGCGTGTGCAAGTGCAGGCCATACGAGATGAGGCGGGAGGCCAAGAGTCTGGACGACGAGAGCCTTAAAAATAGACGTAGTTTGGCTTCCGTCCGCGCCGATCCTGGAACTGGAACGAAGCTGTGGTAAAGACTGGGCGTCTGGTGTTTTGGCGTCTCAGAATGAGCTCCTGATGAAGGATTCGACATGTTGTTACAGGGGCGCGGCCGGGAAGCCCCCCATCCTGTTACAGGTCACCGATCGACCGACGGGTCGAAATGAGATTCGACAAGACATTGGATAGAAAGTTTGTTGCAAACAGACGCCAAGCTATCGTTCGTCCGGACGAACGGGGAGAGAGAGTCGATTGTGTGGTGGTTTTGCTTCTGGGCTGCAACAAGCTCGGTTGTTGGCATAGTAGTCGATGGAAAAGCAACAAGACAATTTTGATCTGGGTAATGAGAAGAGTTGAGAGGAGGAGGCTGAGACGGCAACTTGTGCAGGTTTCTTGGATGCGATATGCCGAGCCGGTGTCAAGTACCACCACGGCTTGTCCAATGATGTCGCCTACCGACGGCCTCGAAAGGGTGAACGAAAAGGGTAAATAGAGGTGCTGATCGGGCGTAAAGTCTGGGGCTAAGCTTTTTGCCGAGACACCATCTGTTGTTTAATGCTCGTTGCTAACATTTGCCAACACCAAAGGGCAGCCAGCCAGGCGCTCTGAAGATCAAACGACTACTGCGCCGCCACGCAGCCGTCGTGGCTATCAAGTAAGCAACAGAGCGGAGAGGAGCTGTACGAGCAGGCTACTCTACTCTACAGCGACGGCCGTCAAAGTCTTGGATCTGAGCTGCTGTACGGCAATGGTTCAGTGGCCCGGCGGTTGGACGAGCGATGCAGCTCCAACAGATGCTGACTTGTGTCACAAACTCGTCCACGGCACCTTTTGTCAGGGAATACGAGGGACACGTCACTGAAATGCGTCGAGATTGCGTGATTTGCGCCCATCTTTGAACGGGGCACGAGGGCCAACAGGCTTCGTGAGACCAGATAGATATTGGATCACATGTGCTCGATGGAAGGCTCATTGATGCTTTCTCCCTTCCATGATGGATACGAGCCTGCTGAGCTCACATGGAGTAATCTGCCAGCAAAGTCGAAGAACCCAGTGCCGGGGACGAGGTTTCGGTTGCCATGAGATGAGATCCATCTACATGGCACGGGGGCGCCTCAACGGGCAGATTCATATATTCAGGACCTGGTAGCCCAGAACAGACGTTGATCATGTAGCAAGTATACGAATTCCCCCACGGACCGATTGAAAGATGATAAAGGGGCGGGCAGGGGAATTCTTTTGCAGTCAAGGAGCGTTTCCCCCAGGACCAAGTCATGGCTCTTTGCTGCTTGCTGGACTGTCAAGACACATGTATGGAACGACATAAAACCTCTGAATGCATCTCTTCCAAATTAGAAGCAGTGCGAGACACGGTAAAGAAATGCCTTGGCTGGCCATTCGGATAGCTCTCGGCCAAGTCGCTCCGAGGGTAAGGCATTCCGAGCCCAAGATGCAACTCTGAGGTCGCAGTCCCTGGCTTTCCCCATGTACGAGCCATGTATAGAAAATTGCCTCGGTCTCTGTATACAATGTGGGCGTGGCGACCCTGCGTGCCGAGGGAGATGATTGATGCTGGTACGGCACCCACTGGTTCTTCAGCTGTGTCGTGGGCCTCGTGGCTGCGAACTTGCCGCTTGTTTGCCATTGATGCTACGACCCTACTCGACGGAAAACGATGTATAATCCGTGCCGTGAGTCGGTGTTGGAACGCGTGGTGGATGGATGGATGGTTGACGGACCTGCTTGATGAGCTGGCATCGTGGGAGTTTTGGGCAAGCCGGACGCCGGAAGGCAAATGTCACGAGAGCGACCAGTACGGCAGAGAGGGATTCATGTAGACGGTTCGTTGAAGTACCAAGGAGGGATGTGTAAAAGGGGAACTGAGAGGTCGTAATTACCAACATGTTGTCCTTTACATTGTCTCAGGCTGGTACAACGGCCAGAGGGGGTTTTGCATCATGATTCATGACAAGCAAGTCATTCCCGCCCATTTTTCACACGACCAAAGGTTTGCGGCAACAATGAACCCTTTCCGTCCCTTTCTCCTTCCTCGCTCCGATGCCGCCATGGCCGCGAGGGGGACGAGTTTGGCATCGTCGGGCTTCTCCCCTCCCCAACCCGCGCATGGTCACGCGCAACGACGTCTGGCAAAATATGAGTCGAGTCTTTGCTGGCCCGAGTCGAGCGAGTTTTTTCCCCCCTTTGATACTGGTATGAAGCGCGAATCGACAGGCACGAAGCAGCAAAGGCCGACGAACGAGAGGCCGAGGACAAATGGCGACGCTAGCGGTCGTTGCTTCGTACCCAATTGGCACCCAACATTGAATACTTTTTTGTCTTCCATCACCAATCCATCACCTCGCCCTTTCAACCACAGGACGAGCCTGCGACCGAGCTTTCGCAAGACGCTGCCCGACCCGCCCCTCCCAGTCCTCTCTCTCTCTCTCTCTCTCGTGAGAACGGCCGGACCGCGGCGCTTTGGCCTTTGGTCCCTCTGCCAGAACTTGGGGCTCTGGTCGATGCGTTGTCATGCAGCGTGTCCTGCAAGATGTCAAAGACGTGCTTGCCAATGGCTGAGCCGCCGCCAGTGTTACATGCTGCTCCGTACATGATGAACATGCTGCATGGGCGTCTCACGCTTTCTCGACTCCGGTTCTCGCAAGTCCCCCCCCGTCCATGCATGGTTTTCCAGCCCGCCGAGCTGTGTTTCCTTTCCCTTTCCTCTTGTGCCCTTGCCACCATCCTCCTTGGTGTCGACGATATGGGAATTGTCCGTCTCTCTCGCCCTTGAACCCCAAGGACAAAGGCAAATACAAGCATCTTCCATGTTCATATGGGGATCGGCGCGGACAAGGCCGAGAGGGGAGGCGGCGCGCTGCAGATACATGCTTCGTCTTTGTACGCCGCCGCGACGTGAGCAAATCACGCATCTCTTGCTCCTTGGTCATGTGAACGGGAATTGTCCTGTGTTGCCCCAGGGCCTCTCTCTCTCTCTCTTTCTCTCTCTCTCTTGCGGACGAGCACGTTGCGAAGCAGTTTTACGCTGGCCGTCATGGTAGCAATGCCCAACTTGGTCGAGTTTGGATGCGTTGACACTCAACTTCTTTTTGCGCATTGCCCATGTGGCCTGCTTCAATCTTCTGCTGCTCCATCAGGTGCAATCAGGTACATACATGGCAGACAAAGTTCATGATAGGTCCGGCTGGACTTTTCCTCTCACCTGCTGCATGCAGCTTGCCTTCTCCGCTGTTCCGCATTCATGGGAGCTATCCGGGCCCGAGGAAGACAGATGACCCTATCTATGCAAGTCGCGTATGCAAGCTCTAGCGAGCAAAGGCCGTATTGGCCTGCTACACCGGCGGCCCCCCCCAAATGCATAATTCCCGGTGAGGGAGAACAGATTCAACAGAATCTGGGGAACATCTCGTCCGTCCCCCGTCCTGGCCCCCCCGGAGGGGTTTGCGCGGTTTAAAAGGGGCCGCTCTACTCCTCCCCGTCGAGGCTGGTGTCTCTTGTAGGTTGGAGAGGAAAATGCGTATTTCTTTTGTGAGCCCCTTGTTTACTCTGCGCTGCCATTGTACGCGGATGGCCCTTCGGCATCTGGTTGACTAGCCTCGTGTCACACCGTTCCCTGATCCCCCATTTCAAGCACAGAGCCGCTGCGGCAAAAAGAAACAGGAGCGGCATGTATATCCCGCTTCGGGAATCTCAATCTCGCGCGGCCGGGCAGGAGGCGCATGATCGCTCTGGAGGATTGGAATACTCGCCGCCATGGGTTGCGAAATTGCATCACGAGGCCCGCCGCCGGCTCGACATTTCCCCGTATACATCGAGAAGGGCATTGAATGGTGCTGCTCTTGGGAAGAGGCAATTCTCTAGTGGCGCCGCCGACGCGACCAATGTCCAAATCGGCATCGCACTCGGAATCATTCTGGGCGTCTTCCTCATAGCCACGGGCGCTTTTCTCTACATGTATCGATCCTCCGTCCGCTTTACCTATCGGAAGCATCGCCGCCATCACACCAAGTCATCCAGGAGCTCGTCCAAGAGCACAGAATCGACACCGCCGCCCGCCCCGGCGCCCCCTCCCCCTGCACCAGAGGCAGAGCCACCCAAGTAGTTGGCATCATGGGGAGTTATGGGTATGTTCAATGGGTGGAAAGCTTCTGGTTTTGACTGACTGCCAAGTTTTGATCTGGGGCTAACATGATAGCTGCGAAATAGTTGATTTCTTCTTTTTTTTTCTTTTTTAATTGTACACGGACGGTCTGAATATACCATGTGGGGAGTTTGTTTTACTTGTTACCAGGAGTTTGAGACGTGGCTAGTTTGAAATTGTATCATAGGAGTCATAACATATCAAGCACGAATGGGAGGAAATTGGTCTTTTGATATAATGGCATTGCTTGGGTAGGTACATGACCTGAGGCCGGTGCTAGTGGGAGTTGACGTGGCTTTTTCGTACACCGAACATGTAATTCAACTATACGGTGCAGTTTTCTCTATTTTCCTTTTCCCACCCCCAGGTGTTATGCCGTCTCATATCTGATCCCCCGGCAGTACGGAGACAGTCACCTTGTCCACCGACGGTAAACTCTTCCCAAGCACACTGACATCATGTACACACCGTCTGTTGACCTCTCTCCTCTCCATCCCCAGCTGTGCCAATCTAGCCCGCTGCGTTGACACACAAGCCGTCTAGCCACCGACATTAATGCCGTAGCTGCACCGCCGCAGGGCGAGTCACATCCCCCGTGTCCGGATCCAGCACGTCCAGCACAACTGGGCCAGAATCAGGGGTGCGGTCGCCTCGTCGACGATGGCGCCGAAACTCGCCGCTCGAGTTTGACGACGGCCGCACTCTACATCCCCCCCGTCGTCCAACAGGGCGCCGCTGACACCCGTAGTAAGCGAATGCACCTAGGGACACGGCGACGACGCAGCTTACTAGGATGACCATGGCCACGATGCCGCTGGGCATTTCGTCACGGCGGTCGAGCCTTTTCATTGACACTGGGGGGCTATTTCGGTAAAATTGCTTATGGCGTATTTTTGCCCGAGGATATCGTGGGAAAGAAGGTGACTCGTCGGCGTGTTTGTTCTTTTTTTGCGGATGCGTGCTTTTTGGTGATGAGGACGGGAATTTACTTTTTACTTTTGAGGGCAAAATGGTGTATCAAGAAAGTGGCGAGAGAAGAGGGAGCATTTAGATGCTTTACATGAGAGCTACTTATACTATCGCTATATTGCACTTCCGATGAACGATACTTGAATGACGGCGGCTGAAGTGAGCCGTGTTTGGTCTATAGGTGACAGTCGGATGAACCCCAGAGCTGCATGGTTTGCTGGCAGCAAGCTGCCTTGCAGAGTGAATGTAGTCACCATATATCCCTTTGATCTGCTTATTTGCCACACGTCGATGGGGATTTTCGCTAATCATGGACGGAGGGGTGCTCCAAACGTAAAGGAAGAATCGTGATGTGGTGTTTCACTTCTGCATGCGAGGATTGTGTTTGTCCAAACATCGGGACAATTTACATGGAACAGACCCCAGATTTGTGCCTCTCACAACGCAGGGCTTGCTGAGCACATGTTGTACGTGCTTTGTGTGCACAAATCCCGCCGGCAGGTAAATATGCCCATGTGTTGAGGCTTCGTTATCGCCCGTCGGCCGGATCACGTTCCTCAAGGTATCATGTGCGTCGGCAAGTAACACAGCAGGGTGGCCACATGGCGCCCGTCTTGGCCGACAAACCACTTCGTGTTCCGCTCATTGACGCGATCATGGCTGACCAACGCCGGGGCCCGGCCTAGCGACGCAAGGACGGCTCTTCACCACACACCAACACCAAGCACCAACCTCGAGCCGCAGCGGCAGAGGCGCCGTTGGATGTGACAGGACCTTGATGGCGTCGACACCCTGCACAATAGTCGCCCCGTGCCGGAGTACTCCGTGACGGTTTGCGAACTTTGTTGGTTTGTCAGCCGGCAAACACTCACCCTGTTGGTCCCAGGCAGAGGGGCAGAGAGAGCAACAAGGTGCGGGCTAGATGCTCTCCGGCCATAATTTTGGCCGTCGATTGAATTATCCTCCTCGTTCAATAAGGCCTCAATCTGCTAATCACCAGTCGTTCCAGATGCCATTAGTATTGCACGGAGCTTGCGAATGAGGAGAGCCTGATATCCCGGCGCCCTGCCAATAATCAAGGCTTCACCTTGGCGTATAAGCCCTCCAGTAAAGAACGGCGTTGAGAGTTTCCCTTGTGCGACATAACGCCCAATGCTTTCCGAAATTCCGCGAGGCATAGCGGTGGATATTGACCCGGACGGAGGCGCTGAGCAAACTTCGCTAAAAGAGGTACAAGGTCTTATTGATTGATTGGTGCCACAAGTTGATTTTCTTCTGGAACCCCCACGCCATGCCCATGGCCCATGGGCCTGTGGCTGACGCCGACGATGTGCTCAGGCTTGTTGGTATCTTGTTTGCATCAGCAACTGAACTTACTTGAGTCATAGTGTCAGTTTTTGTTCATCCCGCGGATAATTGATGCCGTGCGGGCTGGTGTCGGTGATGGCTCTTAGGAGAATACCATGAGCGGATAGAATGATTAGGAGGCCTTACGAGTTCAATGTTGGAGACGGCAAGTCAATTTCCGTGTTAGTGCCCTCTTCGTCATGGATCGCCCCTTCCTTGTAAATGGCGGGGCAATGTCCGCCCCTCCATGCCCCTCCATCCATCATCACCTTCCAAACCTTCCCCTGCAAGGGCACCGCGCTTTGTTGACGACCCCCACTTGTCCACCTCGTGCCGACAGGGGGGCTTCTGCCGTTCAACCCAGCTCCTTCCACTTGCGATACTCTTGACCTCTCTGCCCCTCCATGCTTGAGAAGCGCCATCATTTGCCGTCATCCCATGTACCGATTTTATCATGATGCGAGTGATTGCCGCAGAGGGTCATCAGGACGTTCGCGAGAGCTGGGTCTCTGGGACTATCAAACCTTGATCCTCCCACACACATTACGCGCAAATGAGTCACTTGCCGATCCTCCGGGCCAAATTCAATTCTTTGCTTCTCCAGCCCCAGAGCCACCAGAACTAACGGAGACAACATGTCGATACACCCGCTGTTAACGTTATTTCCGACCCCAGATGAATTCATAATTCGCATCAGAGGCCACAAAGACGCTTCATCTTCAAGTGACGTTACGTACCCCATGGAACCTCGGACCCAGAATAATACAGGATGGCGTTTCCCATGGCCACACAATGACCTCCACCAGCACCTTCGGTAAAAAGGACCAGCACGCCAATTGTAGGCGTATTGATGAATCTTCGTATCCACTTGATGTCGTCCCTCCTTCCCCTCCATTTAAATGGTTCGAATCTCGCTCCTTGGCCGCACCAGTTGCGTCAACAACCTCTCTTCCTACACCCGAAACCTTGCAATCCGCCCAGTTCATCGTAAACACCTCAGCACAATGTCTTTCGGCAAGACCGTCAAGCTCAATTCCGGCCACACCATCCCTCGTGTTGGATACGGTACCTGGCAGGCTGCCCCTGGAGAGGTCGGCAATGGCGTTTACGAGGCGCTCAAGACCGGCTACCGCCACCTTGACTTGGCCAAAATTTATGGCAACCAGAAGGAGGTTGGTGAGGGCATTAAGCGTGCCTACGCTGAAGTTCCCGGTTTGAAGCGCGAGGATATCTTTATCACCTCCAAGCTGTGGAACAACAAGCACAGGCCCGAGGACGTTGAGAAGGCGCTGGACGACACTCTGGCTGAGTTGCAGTTGGACTACCTCGATGTGAGTTCTGAGCTCTACAAATCGTTCACTGGCTCGACACCTCCAGTCAATTCGCGCTGGTGATATGAGTTGTAACTGGACCGGAGCAGGAATACCAGTGACTGCCGATGTGCATGCCGATTTGCCGCTAACATGCCCTACTAGCTGTACCTCATTCACTGGCCTGTTGCCTTCAAACCTGGCGAGGACAAGTTCCCCAAGGTTGCCAATGGCGAAGTTGACATCGACCGTGGCGTGACCATCTCACAGACCTGGAAGGGTACGAATAGCCAATCAGCTCCCCGTTTGTCTCTTGCATGAACCATGTGCTAATACGTTACGTGATAACAGCTGTGACTGAGCTCCCCAAGACCAAGACCCGCTCCGTCGGAGTTTCCAACTTCAGCATTGAGCATGTAAGTCTGTTGATGCTTTGCCAATGGAATCGCTAGACCCGCCATACATTACCAAGGGAAGGCAGAACAATGTTACTGACAACATCCCCCCCTCCAGCTCGAGGGCGTCATCGCCGCCACTGGCGTCGTCCCCGCCGTCAATCAGATCGAACGTCACCCTCGACTTCCCAACGCCCCCCTGATCGAGTACTGCGCCAAGAAGAACATCATCATCACCGCTTACTCCGCTTTCGGCAACAACAGCTGGAACGTTCCTCTGCTTGTCAATACCCCCGAAGTCAAGACTATCGCCGACCGTCTCGGCGCTGCTCAGGGCAAGACCGTCACCGCCGCCCAAGTCATCATCGCCTGGTCGGTCCTCGGCAACCACACTGTCATTCCTAAATCCGTCACTCCTTCTCGCATTCGTGAGAATTTCCAGGAAGTCGAGCTTGATGAGCAGGCCATCCAGGACCTCAAGAAGCTTGGCGAGACTCCTCAGCGCTTCAACGTTCCTACTACTTGTAAGATACGCAAACCACTGTCATCGGACCAGAAAATGCTAGTTCTAACCACAACCATGTAGACGACCCGAAATGGAACATCAACGTCTTTGATGATGAGAAGGACAAGAACGCTGCTCTGCAGGTTCTTATCAAGTGAGAGTTTCGGATGCCGGACGAATGAAGGAGAACATATAATATACCCCCCAAGGAGAGTTTTGCCAATATCTAGACACAGAGCGATATGAATTGGATAGACTTCTTGATGAAAACGGGCCCAGTCACGTAACTTATGTTCAACTAAACTACAAAGTAGGGCACACAAATGCCAACGTTTCATGACCATGGACACCAAGCCCAACAACCCATATGCAGCAAGCAAGACATGCCCAGACGAAGCGCCAGCAATGCAAGCACACGGACCCGATTTGGGGCCGCCAATTAATTACAATGGTATAAAATACCTCCACGCCGCCATGCAATTCTAAACCAGTTGCCACCTCAGCTAAGAAGCTCCTTGATGTCCTCTATGCGCTGTAATTTCTTTTCCTCGTCGCTCATCATTCCCAAAGACGTTGCACTTATACCTAGTTAGCAAGGGTGACCGTGGAGATCTGGAGCTTCGCAAACCGCGGGCAACTTACATAAATTTCTTCCTGTCCTGTACCCGCAACATGCGCTCTTCCACACTCTGCTTTACAATAAATCGCTTAACCACCACCTCATCCTCCTGTCCAAGTCTATGTACTCGATCAATAGCTTGCGCCTCTACAGCAAAACTCCACCACGGATCCATCATGAACACTCGTCCTGCGCTGGTGAGATTCAGGCCGACTCCGCCAGCGCGTAGACTGATGAGGAGGACCGTGAAGCCCTTTCTTTCGGTGAATTCTTCCAGCACCGCGGCTCGCGCTTTTTGTGCCATGGACCCGTCGAGGCGTAGGAATTTGACGTTGATGCGGGTCAGGGCCGGTTCGATGAGTGATAAGAACGAAGTGAACTGGGAGAATACCACCGACTTCATCTGTGGACGCTCTTTACGTAGGACTCGCAACTCGGAAATGAGTGCCGTCACCTTGGCCGACGACTGATTCACACCTAGCCGCTGTAGGCTCATCCTAGGCTTGGACACCATGTTGATTTCGTCGTCGTGCCGTACAACTTCGAACAAATCCCTCTGGTTGAGGGGTTCGCGGCAGTTAAAGCATCGTGGTACAGCGCCACGGTCACTTTCATGCTTCATGAAATCCAGTAGGCATTTCCTGCATGCCGAATGCCAGCAGCCAGTGACTGTCTGGTCGTTCATCGGCTCATCAAAGCACAGTGGACATTCCTTTTCGGCTTCACTGCGAATTTCCTCGAGAGCGTTTGCTCCATATGTGAAATTGTCTTTGACTGCTTCATCAGTCGTAGCAGTAAAGTGTGCCACTAGAGTTTCCAAATCCATGTCGTCAGCCAGACCGGTCGCTGCATCAGCGGCAGCACCAGCTTCTACCTCGTCCGCCACGATGTCTCGATTTCGAACGAGAATAGGGTGGCAGCACGATTGCCGCAGTCGTAAGATCTGTGTATAAATAGTAGTGAATGCTTTCATAACAGTTCCCGCCTCGACATTTCTGGAAAATGTCCGCCTTGCCTGGTTAAAAACGTGATCATATACATCGCGCTCAGGCTTGGACAACTCGACGTCAACAATATCAATCTGCTTGGAAGGTAGAGGCACAAGTGGCTGGCCGTCTGGCGTCTTCATATCCTTCGTCCTGCGCATTACCAACGGCTCCAATACTGTTTGCACGACGTCCAGCGCCCTCATAAAGTCACCGGCTTCAAAGGGCACCGTGATGAATGTCTTCCAGAAAGAAAAGTTGTTCCAAGGTTCCACGCCAAGAAATCGCACCAAACTAAATAGATCTTCAAGCTTGTTCACTATTGGCGTTCCCGTCAGCACCCATCTGTGATCTGCCGAAATCTCATAACAGGCTCGGGCGGTCTTGGAAGATCTATTTTTGATATGGTGGGCTTCGTCAAGGATGACTCGAAAAAACTTTAACGAGAACAAGCCGTTGTGGAATGACTTGTCACCATTCTTGGCTACCAGAGAGCTAAATTCAGAGAGCACCACGCCGTAGCTGGTGATGACGAGATCGGGTGCTTGGGAAGCATTCGACTCGCTACACAGGGCTTGTAGATTAGTTGTCTTCTCATTGCCGTAGTAGAGCTCAATTTTCATTGTGCCTTCCTTTGAGGCCTTTTCTGCCTCGCTTTTCCATTGCGACAGGAGCGACATTGGCGCAACGACCAATGTTGTGCATGGTGCTGCAAGAGAACTGGATGAGTTTGCCCCCAATCGAGCCAGCTGATTGACACTCGAGATGCCACCATTAGTGAGTCGAGCCTGCAGAGCCGTTTCCGATCGATGAGAGTGAACTAGACTAAGCATCTGAATTGTCTTACCCAGGCCCATCTCATCGGCAAGTATTCCACCAAGGCAATGCTGTTCCTGGACTGGAAAGTCTAGTGATAAATCCCCAGAGTAGGGATTGACGTAGAATTTTGACACTCCTTCAACGTCAGGCAACTGGTTGTCATCAACATCTTTTGTGGGCCAGTCGTACTCTTCCCAGAGAGGGTGCATGGATGGCTCGCGATTGTTCATCTCGTCTTTTTCCTTTGCCATCATCCAGTGCAAGGATTGCTTTTGGTACGGCCTCAAGGTCATGGCGAAGCTGTCAGCCGGTTCGGCTTCCGGGGTGTTGAAATCGAAACACTGCGCCTTTTTATACAAAGCATCCAACTGATCTTGCTCAAGTTCCTCCCCTTCCTCAGTATCTGATGAGTTGGGCACCGATTCCGATTCCTTGCCAGGAACCGCGGCCTTTTTAGCATCGCGTTGCTTCTGCTCGTCCATCTCGGCAGCCTGAAGCAGTTCCCTCCTTTTATCCTTGGCAGCTGAATTTGCCCGAGTTGGTTGCAAGTTGATTTCTTGAAAAAGTCTTACTAATGCGACCTGACGCAAGCGCAATTCCTTCTCATCCGTGGTTTCGCCTCGCTCAAAGATGTTGTTAGGTTGATCGTCGGCAAACCGAAAGCTGCGGTCTTCAAAAGCAGAGCGTAGCAGCGAACATCTCAGCTGCAAATACACAGTGTCGTTGGTTCGTAGTCGTTCAGGTGCATACACACAGATTCCCTCAAAATGACACACGTCTTGATCAATCAATGTCGACACCCAATTCGCCGTCTCTTTGGTCAAGCGACCGATCTCTGTGCCGGATTGATTGGTAAAGCGAACAATCACATCGACGGTTCTCGAAGCCGCTGTCTTCGGCTTTGGAGAGGGTGAGCTGACAACACCAAGCTTGTTCTTGATTTTGGGCGGTGGCGGGGGTTTAATTTTCTGGCGCTCGATCTTGACGACATCCCCATGCTTCAGCATGTTGCTTCCGCTTCGAGTTGCCCAACCTTCTGCACCAAACGCACCTAAATATCGTTTTCGTGGCAAGGTTCCGAGAGACAGAGATGGACTTGTTGTAGACTCCTCGATAGGCGCAGATTGGGCGGTTCGGGAACTGGCCGGCCGCTGGCCGACGGATTCAAGCAATGGCTGTTGTTTGGTCTGCAACTTCTTGTACGTGCCATCAAAGAACATGTTGACAGCCCTTTCGAGATTGTCGCCACAATTGTTCCGAATGATGTTGAGAACTTCGTTGCTGACCTTGTCACCAATGAAGCTTTCGAACATGTCCTTGTCGAAGTTCAAGGTTGTAGACTCGTCCAATTGCACAGAAGTTGGCTGAGGCGACTCTGATTTTATATTGGCCGAGCCATTTTCCGAAAGCTCAGCGAGTGCGATGCGCGAATCTGAATCCCTCTTCACGCCCTCGTGGTCCTTGACGTACTCCTTAGCTGACACAGGCGAAGAACTGTGTCCAGGGCTGAGCAGTATAGGATCAGACGAATTCTCACCTGGGTCTCTGAAGAACCTCCGTTTCTTGAGTGGAGGCTCCTGCGACGCTCCAGACTCCATGATAAAGAGCACTCATTGACAATGCGCAAGTGTCAACAAGCACACGTGGTGTGGAATATGCCGGCACATGTGGTCAAACTTTAAGGCGGGATGAACCAGTCAGTGGGGAGACGCGCCGCATCTTCACTGTTGCGGGAGGCGCGACAAAGCGTGTCTAGTGGTCATGTGACCGCGTTTGGAACGGTCGCAGGGGACCCGCAGCCCGCGACATGGGCAGCCCGGGGCAGTCAAGCTCAAGCTAGTACTACTCCGTACGGAGCACAGTAAGGTGTGTACCCAACATCCACCCCACTTCTAATTTTTTGGGGGGGGCAGCCAGAGGCCATCGCCATAATTACTCCATTCTACTCCGTATCCTTGAAGCAATTGATGGCTAATACAATGCCCTTCATTGGTCCATGGACTTGTGATCTGTGAGATATTTGGCCTTACCACCGTATCATCACCACAAGCTGGGCCATTGGCCATCAATCTTCTCAGGTACCCTTTATGCGCCGCCCCCAAGCCATAGGCGTTAGCCTGAGAAGGTTTGCCCATGGCAGGCCAAACTGTCGTGGATACGTGACAGATGCTGACGTAGAATCCGCAAGGGCATACTGCTTGAGGCAACTCCAGTATGTGCGCCATGCTTCCTCACCCTCACGTTGGAGTTCTCTGTAGCTGATGCTCTCTCCCCAGGACAAGCGATTACGATGCACATCTCATCCGACGGTTTGTACCGTCTCCGGTCCGAGACACCTACGCCGCCCTTAGAGCGCTCAACCTCGAGTTGGTCCGCCTCCCCGAAGTCGTGTCGAATCCCGTCATCGGCACTCTTCGCATGAAGTTTTGGCATGAGTCTATAGACAAGACTTTCGCCGGAATGCCACCTCGAGAACCAATCTGCATTCTGCTACACCAAGCTCTCCAGGGACTGGAAGCTCGAGCCGGCAGCCCGACCAAGAAGTCGATAAAATTTTGGGTATCTCGACTTGTCAAGACGAGAGAAAAGTACATGGATGGCCGACCGTATCCCAGTCTGGCAGCGTTGGAAGACTATGCCGAAAACACATACTCGACCATGATGTATACGACGTTGGCATCCATACCCCTGCGCTCCATGCACGTTGATCACTTGGCTAGCCATATTGGCAAAGCCTGTGGCATAATTGCTGTGCTGCGAGGAATTCCAGTCTTGGCCGCTCCCGGGCGACCCGTTAAGACTCCCACTGGCGCGGATGCACCTCCGACTCGCGAGCCGTCTCTGTTGCTGCCACTGGACATTATGGCCGAGGAAGGCGTAAAGGAGGAGGAGGTCTTTCGACAGGGGCCAAGCGCACCCGGGCTGCAGGATGCCGTTTTTAAAGTCGCAACTCGTGCGAATGACCACCTCATTACGGCTCGGGAGATGTTGAAGCGGCTAAAGGCCGGCGAAGACCCGGGCCACGAGTTTGAGCACGAAGGAGAGGCTGAGCATATCTATCTGGGGGAAAGCGACACAGCCAAGGAGATTAGGCAAAGTTTCGGGGTGCTCCTGGAAGCCGTACCAGCTTCCCACTATTTGGAGAACCTGGAAAAGGTTAATTTCGATCCATTTGCCGTGAAGTCTGGTGGATGGCGATTACCTTGGAGGATCTGGCAGTCATTGTCATCTGAGAGGCTATAATGATATGTAACAACATGTAGAATATTGTACATTAATGAGGTGGAACAAGGACGCTCACCTGATGATATAAATTGGAATAATCGAGTACTTGAGAGACTCTGCCCAGAAAATGTCTCCTAGAGCTACAACACGCAAACTTACCAACCTGTTCAGTAGCTGGGAAGCTAAGCTCATTCACAAAACTGACGATGAGCAAAGCGGGAGTCAAGAATGTGTCTTCGCCCATGGTTCACAAGGCCTCCAGATTAGTCCTCTCGAATAATTGATAAGCAAAGAAAACAAGCTCCCCGATATACAAGCCTTCATCTACAAACCCCATTCATATCACACCAGTACTCGAGCCCAAGCCCAAGCTCTCCAACACATCATTGGCCCACACCAAATCTCGACAGTGGACCAAGACACACGACATGCACCGGCAAATCCTCGGCCCGACACCCCTGCTCCAAATTTCGAGATGCGTCCAACACCACAGACCACGGACCGTCATACCATCACCAACTCCTCCTCGACCAAGCATAGATGCGGCCGTCAAGATGCTCTACGAGCTAATAGCAATTGTGCGCCTCTCCTCCCGTCTATCCCCTTCTCCGCAAATCTAACTAAATCCTACAGGTCCGACCAGGCAACCTAGGCGAAGTAAAGGAGTACGTTTCCAACCCCCGCCAAAAAGAAAGCTCACAACCCGCGCAACGCCAAACATCTGCTAACAAACCCCTCCAGAATCGCCCAAACAGTCGGCTCCCTCGTCCTTCGAAACGGCGGCGTCGTCCGCGGCCTCGACAACTGGGGCATCTTCTCCCTCCCCAAGCCCATCTCCGTGCACCAAATGAAGCACACACACGGGCACTACTTCGTCATGCGGTACGACTCGTCAACCAAGGTCCACCAGAACGTGCGAACGACGCTGCGTCTGGAACCCCGCATGATTCGCTCGGCGCACGTGAAGCTCGGCGACGGCAAGCTAAGCACCTTGTCGGGGTTTGGGGAGCCAAAGTGGAGGACCCAAGGCAGCGAGGCGTGAAGAAGAAAAAAAGAGTGGTGAATAAGAATAACTGCATTACGACGCGTGGCGGATATGTAAATTGGAGCAGGCAGAGGAGCCTTCTTTACATCTTGTTTGCTGGAAACCATGTACGATATTGGGAAGCCTGGTGAATGGCTGGCCGAAATGGCAACTTTTACAACTGAATGCAACCAACCAGGTAATACAAAGGGAGAGCATATACGGACGAATTCTGGATATGTGGCTTGTTGCTTATTTTGTTTTGCAATGGATAGCATGTATGTGAACCAAGCATAATAGTGTATAAAATTAGAGGAACCGATAGCCTACATCATATCAGGGAAATGAGGGTCAAGTTGCTATTCGTTGATTTCTTGCGTATCAATATTCATGATTTGTTCGTTACGTGTCTATCATAACTCATTTCGGTAACGCATCTCATCGCGCTGAACCGAAACGGTGCTTTCTACTAGTGATATATATATGAGGCCGCATTCTCGAGGAGCCCAAATCGCTGGGCCGCGCAGTTTTCACCCCTTGGCAGCACGACCTCGCTTCAGTATCGAGCAAGAGTCCATCAAGGGCCAGTCGCCCGTCACTGCTCCGCATCAACTTCCATTGTTTCTTGCTTCCCAATACCCTTGCCACGGCACCATTCGACAAAGTCATCGATTACACTAGGCCAGGCACCATCCTCGTTCCAGAAGGACAGGCTCTCATCAGCCACCGACTTCAATGCGAATTCCAGTGCCATATTCCACATGTCCTTGTTAACTGATCGAGTCCACTTCTCGTCGAGAAAGGTCTTCCACAGATCCAACCAGTCGTGATTCTCGCTCTTCCACAGCATACCAGGAGGTGAAAATAGCATACCCCAGTAAATCAGGGCATTCTCTAGACTAAGGGCTTTTTGGTCACCTTCGCGGCCAGCCACAAATGTATACTTGTATACCCTCTTAAACAGTACGGGGTTTGTCGCGAGTGCAGATGAAAGGCGTTGGATGTGAGAGGCGTGTTCCTTATGTGTTGTGCCGGCACTGAAATGCATCATTAGCTCCATTCTATTGATGAATGCACTATTGGAACTGCCGGAGAGGGCTTTCCCAAAAAGCATCATGGTTTGGCTCGTACCCTGCTGTTTTCCATCCATCAACATAGCCGCGACGGGTGATTTCGCCTACGCTGGGGGCTTGGAGCAGTTCTAAGGCGACAAAAAGCTCAGCGTTCTCTAGACTAATGTTCAATTTGCTGCTCAAATATTCCATTGTCGATTCGAGTTCCATCTTGTCCTTCTCATCGTTCTTTGCATCTGCGAATCTGTAAGCCTCGTGTAAGCAGAACCCGGTTCAGCATGCATATATGTTTTACCTCGCAATGTGTCGAACTGAGCGTCGAGCTTGGACTCGGTTGGTGACGGACCTTTGACCTCGTTTCCGGAAGAATAGAACCTAGTAATTCGAAGACGACTGTCAGCCTTTTCTTTCCTTTTTTAACTCATTACACCTTGGTGCCGTTCCTGAGCTAAAAGTAAACCTGAGCTAAAAGTAAATAGCAGCCGCTTGGCATGATTGGCTAGCCAACTTGGCCAAGGGTAAGATAATGCCAGCTGCGGCTTCAGAAATCCCTTTACCGTGAAAATTTCCCCTGATCCACACGAGACTTCGCGCTTTCATGAGTCTTTTCGCCCTCAGTTGGCTTGGGGAGAGTCCAAAATGGAATAGCCTGGGAGGGCAAACGCCTCTTAACATCTTTCCATCCCATGACTCCAGCAGAAGGGGGGTCCAAGGCCGACTGAAGGATTGATAGAGCCCAAGACTTTGATGCCCTAGATTTCTCAACAACGGTCAAGAAGGTCGTGCTAGCGTAGGGAAGACGTTTGGCAAAGCCTCGACAGAGTCCAATGTGATGCCGTATCAGTGGCAACTGTAGGTCAAGGCATGGGCGCCAACTCTGAAAACCGAAATTGGAAACTGCTGGCGGGATGGAAGAGAGGAAATCAAGACGGCAAGATCTGCCCTGGACATTTGTTTCAAAACCATCGGCGTCACTCGGCCGTACTATGTCGTGTGTCGGCAGTGACGGGCTGCGTTGGCTAGTGGGACCCCCACTGATAACATTGAACCCACATCAATGGAAGGTTCTGTCCCAGCTGACGATTGACGCGCCGCACATGCGGACGGGACATTGTGCGGCATGGTCCGAGAAGGTCATGGCGGACCGGCCAAGAGCAAAGCTTAATCAAATCATTGAGAGTACGAGGCGGACAGGCAGGAGACTTCAGAACGATGACTTGGGAGGGAAGGTAGCGCGGGGAGCCTGGGCAGCCTGGGGTAGCTCGACGAGGGTCGGCGGGTTGGAAGCATGCAAAGAGATGGTGCTCACTCACGCATCAACGGCCTCGTTGATCTTGTAGCCAGTCGATTTCAAAAACTGCACCACAGGCACACTCATTAGCTCAAGCTTTATCAAATGTCTCGCGGAGTTGCGGCATGAAGCAGCGGCACCCAGAAGCGGGTGCAGATGCAGATGCATCGAGGCAAAATCCCCGTAATAATACAACCTCCAACAAACGCACATAGCAATCGGGCCGGGGAAGGGGCGAGGGGCAAGTGAGAAGGCGAGGTGAGCTTGACCGTGAGCAGCCCGGTTTCGAGCTTGGTCACCGTCGTACCTTGGTAGCCTGCCGCTCCGTAGCGCCTGTGAGAGACAGGAACTGGGCAGTCAGGACTTTCTGCTGTGCCGACGACGGGGGCGGCATCTCGTTTGGAGTTTAGGACGAAGCGTCACCACGCACCGGCGGACCAGTGTAGCACAGCGTGGGCTGGCTGGGAGTTGCAAGTAGTCAGCGAGCGAAGGCAGCAGGGTGTAAGGCGGGTGTCGGAGTCGGAGTCGGAGTCGGTGGCCGTGGATGTCGACGATGGAGAATTGCAGCCTCGCGTGAGCCTTGAGGGCGATCTCTGGACAAAGAAAGACTGGGGCGTGGCCAAGCTCAAGCACGCCGTGCGCTGCTTGGCAATGCGTATACGCTCCGGGCCGGCTCCGAATTCGGTCCGTGGATGGCGGTCAAGTAGAGCAACGAGTAGCTCAGCTGTTCCCCTAGCAGACTGCGTCGACTTGCGCAGACATTACTTGGAGGAAGAGAGGAGCGCAGAGGAGCATTGGAGGGAGGATGGAGAGCTCAGTCTGGCGAGCGAGGCTGCGAGCGGCGTGTAATGCGATGGTGGGGTCAACAAGTCGAATGCGAACTGATGCCAGGCGCCTCTGGGCTGTTGTCTTGTGTGTGGTTGTGGCTGAAGAGGCGGCAACATTGAAGAGGCACAAGTCTGGTACTAGCAGATATACAGCGCTGGAAGCGGTGGACTGTGGAGGGGTGGTTCGTCACTGTGCTGCGTTAAGTACTTAAGTACTTGACACCAGGGCAGAAGTGGTAGGGCTCAGCGCTGAAGCCGTGTGGCAGCAGCAGCAGCGTCAAGTGCCAGAACAGCACTCAAGCTCCACACTGCCCGGCCTGCCGGGGGCTGACAAGTCGACATCAGCCGTTGACTCAACTGCAAAATAAACGCGGTCTGGTCCAACTCGACGCGTCCATGTCCAGTCAATCCGGTCCAGTCCCACCAGACCACACCAGATACTTTCGCCTCAGTTGCACCAAAACCTCGTGGTGCAGCATTCTAGTCTGGCACCAAATGGCCCTCGCTTCCCTTCCTTGGTGCGATACATCACCGGCGCATATACGGCCACTACGCCGTTATGGAATCTTCGCAGTCTGCAGACGATGAGAGATATTCAATCGATCCGTCAGAGCCGCTCAAGGATGTCATCGTGTGTTGCACAAGCATTCCGCCAGAACAAAGAGTAGGTTTGACTTGTTGTCTCAACGCCAGGCCCGACAGCACTGCTGACACTATTGTTTTTCGCCCTACATATAGACAGACATTGCCCAAAAGGTCTCTGAGCTTGGTGGCATTCACAAATACGATCTCACCCCGGACGTGACCCATCTCATCGTCGGCGACTATGACACGCCAAAGTACCGCCATGTTGCTCGCGAGCGACCCGACATTAAAGCCATGGATGCCATGTGGATAGAGGCCGTGACAGAACTATGGAAAAGAGACGAGGAGATCGACTTCATAGCGCTGGAAAGGGAACACCGGCTGAAAGCGCTGGAGAAATGCGGCACAGACACGGCCTCGCCGCACGGGGGAGCGGCGGCTGGTCGCCAATCACTGCTGATATGCTTGACGGGTTTCGGAGACCAGCGCGACGAAATTGCCGCCAAGATCACGGCCAATGGCGGACAATATACCGCCGACTTGACCAGAAGATGTACTCATCTTGTGGTCAGCAAGCCCGAAGGCAAGAAGTTCACCGCAGCCAAGTCTTGGGGGGTCTACACGGTCACCCTCGGTTGGTTGGACCAAAGCATACAGCGTGGACTCATTCTGGAGGAGGCCAAGTTCGATCCGTTGCTCCCAGTCGAGGAGCAAGGCGTCGGTGCTTGGAAGAAGGAGGACCCGAGGCGCGCATCACTTGGCAAAAGATCTAGGTCGGCTTCATCAAACACGAATGGTACCGCCGACAGAGGGGCGAGGAAGCTGCGCAAAACCGCCAGCATGAAACTCAACTCACAAAGGAACAATCTCTGGGGCGACATCCTAGGCCGCTCCGGCTCAAGAGAGTACTCGTTTGGTAACGAGCAAGCCGATTCGGACCAACAGCCACGCCAGCAAGCAACTCCCGAACCTACTATTCAACAGCCTCACCAGCACCACCAGCTCCCATCCCAGCAGAACAATGGTGTGTTTGCAAACTGTGTATTCGCCATCGACGGATTCAGCGAGAAGCGGCAAACTGTACTCGAAGATACCATCGCCACGCTTGGGGGTTCCGTGGCTTCGTCACTTCGAGAGGCGGCAGCCCATCGCCCGACGGAGCACTCACACCGTTTTCTTGTCGTGCCTCAAACATCACAGCCCGAGTCGCATCCCAACGTACCCTATGACAATATAGAGATTGTTACCGAGTTCTACATTGAAAGATGCTTGCATAACAAGCAATTCTTCTCTCCAGGCGAACACGTACTGGGCCGGCCGTTCCCCCTATTCCCGATACCTTCGTTCTCGGGCCTAGTCGTATGCAGCGCAGCTTTTACAGGATTGGAACTAAACCAAGTTGCGCGAAGTATTACTCAACTAGGGGCCAAGTTCGAAGAGGAGTTTAGGCGGACAACCAACGTCTTGGTTTGCAGGTCATTGAAGGCAATGCGCAAAGAGAAGCTGAAGTTTGCGCTAGAGTGGGGGGTACCCGTTGTGTCTGTAGATTGGTTATGGGAATGCATCTCGACTGGGTTCAAGGTGCCTCCGAGCCTCTATATCTTTTCAGAGATTCGAGACCGATATTCGGCTCAGACGGCTCCGGCTCCAACAGAAATCAAACGTCAGTCACAGCCTCCAAAGCCAAAGGGCAACGACACTACACAATCACCCCCTGCCGCCAGGACTGTCACCACCAGGCCAACTTCATCCAGACCAAAGATCATGGGTGGGTTCGATGCCAGTGCCTTTGAGCAAGACTCGGATGAAAAGCAGAGCACTGCCTGCCAAATCTCAGCCCCTGTCAGGGGTATACCTCGACTCGAGTCCATAACTTCAGCAGACTTCTTCACCGCACGAAGCCAAACGGTCGACACGTCCGCCAAGGACCACGATGCACCATTAGCTGAAGTATCCTGTGCGAGACTCAACAAGTCTCCATCACCAACAAAGCACACTGTCCCTCTACCTCGAACGAAATCGGACCCATGGCCGAGTGGCCTCGCCGAGAAACCAAACATATCGGCCCGCAGGCCATCTGCTCCGCCCCCAGACGACCCTTTATATCGACGAGATGGTCACGAAACTACCGCACATCAAGATCAGGAACGAGCATCAAAACAGCAAGCTAGAGCCGCCGAGCGACAGGCACTCTCAACCAAACTATCCAGCCTCATCGACTCAGCGGCCGTCCCATCCCCCGTCGATGGCAACTGCCATGCCCAAGGTCCTCCTCGCCCTCGCCGTCGTCAGCTCCTCGGCCGCGCCATCAGCAATGCCTCCAACGGAAGCAGCGCAGCGAGCATAGACGGCAGCGGACCGCCCCCTCGCCAACTAACAGATAGTCTGAAGGCCGCCGTCGCCGCCGTCACCGACGACGACGACGACATGGACAAACAAGACACCCAGCCCCCCTCTACACAATTGCAGTATGCGGATCCAGAAGCACAGCAGGTCAAGGCCGCATTGATGAATAAGATGATGGGCAGGGATGAACCAACCCTCTCTACCGGGCGGGCTAGTGTAGCCGTAGGAGAAAGATCTCTACGGAAGCGATGAGAAATGGATAACGACCTTTTTTTTTTTTTTTTTTTACGGAGCTCATGTCTTGAATATGTGCGCACGCACAAGGCTGGGAGTACAGATGTAGGATAGCGAGTCTCCGAATCTATATTGGATTGCCAACTGCAGGCCCTCACTAGCATCGTGTAGGACATGACCTTCCCAACAGACCAGCCATCAAGACGGGCCAGCGACACGCTCCTTGTCTCCCCGGCAGCCCTTTTAAGAAGAACGTCAAAGGGCGTGTCATCATCGTCTCCGTAGATGAATTATCGCATCCCAGCGTATCGTCTCGATAGCCCCTTGTCCATGAGAACAATTTCCGCTCTTCTAGGGTAGATCCCGTACTTGCGAGTAAAAAATATACTTTCTACTCGTCTTTGCTACCTCACTCGACAGGGTGGCCAGGAGAGTACTGGTTATATGGAGTCTACCCGTGGTCAAACTACATCGTATATTACTTAACCTAATATGTAGCCACTACGAGAAGATGATGCCTCGGAGCACCAGGGAGGGTAGCTGACGAATGCGTACACACATACAGAAAAAGAACCCACCCACTCTTGGGTCAAATTCAATCAAAGGTCTCTTTTGCCTGCCGTGGTATGCGGGCCTGTGCCTAAACAGAAGACGGTACGACCGACTAAAACATTGATACTTAAGTATGTTGTACATAGTTATTACAGTGGGGGAGTCATCAGTAATCGACCTCTCTGGAGTCAACCAACGCCGCCGTGTAGAATAATACTACCCGTGTCCACAAACCGACGGCATGTGTCGCTGTGCGCGCACTACTCCGTCGCCCGCTGGGGGTATGTATGTATATACGCATATCCCCGATTCCTAGTGTCACGTTAGCATCATGGAGTGCAATACAACATCATTCGTTGGCTTGGAAAAAAGGCAGTTACATGCAGCTAGTCTATGCTCCAATGGATAGGGGCGTGGAGCAGATGATATCGCAAACAAGCCGTGGCCAGCAAACTAATTCATTCGACTTCGCCAAAGCTATCCGAAACAGCTAAAATGCGCGACGCCTAGCTTCCATTACCTACGACCCATAACCGACCGGGCCATCAACTAGTACAAACAAGTTTCTTACATTGTCTCCTAGGTCCATCCAGTCGACCATGTTGCAAAAGACGTGAACCACGCCCTTTCCCTTGGGTACACCAGAATGTGTACCGTTTCCAAAACCCAAACGCCAGCGAGAATGTGCCATCGCAAACCAAATCCAATGACCAGTATGCTCCGTCTCTGTCTGATGGGAATGCATCAAACAAAAATGCATCTCATAATGCATGTGTGAACTGCGGCAAGTCTAGAAAAGAAATGCACCAAACACCATCCAGATACACAACAGGGGTATAATATACTGTGGTTCGTTCGTGCAAATGCTCCAAAACATGGCTGCACGAATGTATTAAAAAGCCTTCATGGTAGAAGGCATCCAAGACCAGAGACATGGTACGCCAGGGAGTCGCATCCATGCTAGGATACACATAGCGGAGAATATTTGCATCTTCTTCGCCATTACTATGACGCCGCTTCGTCCGCCCAAAACACTGAAAACACTGCGGTGTGCCAGTAAAAGCAAAAAGAAGAGAAAAAAAGGAGGGGAAAAAAAAGTGCGCTAGAACCTGTCGTGTATGCCTTCAGAAAATGAATTTTCCCAAATAATAAGAAAACAGTCGGCAAGGAAATTGGTTGTCAATTACAAAGAAAAATTTTGCCGATAGCAAAAGAATCACGTGAGTATCATCAGTTGCAGTGAAATATGCTGGCATTATTCCCAGCAACGGGAGAGCTATTCCCTGAATGCTGGGCTGGCCTCTTCATCTGTATCGGGCAGTTTCTCCGATTGCATGTTGCCCCACCGTTGTTCGATTTCATCTCTAGTCGATCAAGGTTAGTAACAGCAGCGACATGAGAGAACGGAATTCCAAGGCTTACGCGGTGACCTTCACCAGCTTTAACCGGCGCTGGCGACAGTAGTTGAGGAATCGACGCATCGTAGTCTCCCGTTTGAATGCTGCCATGACGTCGCCTGTGGGTTTTCCATCTTGCTTGGCGATCCTGGAGCTGAACTGACTCATTACAAAATGCACCTGCAGAGCATCAATGTTCCAATCAACCCGTGTAATATCATCCAGCGGGATGTCAAAGTCAATTGGAGATCGGAGGATGCCCCAACTAATCGGGTCCGTGTCCTTGAGGACCTGATGCTCAAAGAGGCGTCGGCCCTCTTTCCAATGCCAGTACTGAGTTACCTCTGTGGAGCTTGTAAATAGTCTTGTCTTCACTTGGTAAATACGCCAATCCAGCGTTTGAATCGGAGCACCACTCCAAGAGTCTGTATCTGAAATGCCATCCGTGTAGAATTCGTCGTTTGGATGAGTGGACACAGGAGAAAGCGGCTTCAGGCGCTTTTGAATTGGTGGTGCATTAAACGAACTGTTGGTCGAATACGGAGCTGCATTGCTGGCAAGAGGGGAATGGCTGTAGTCATCCTGGGCCAAGGACGGGGAGTGGCTAGACGACGGCGTCTGCCGGGGTGTGTCTGTTTGGGAATGCATGCTCTTCCTCTTCTTCATGCCACCTTGAGGTGTGCTGTTGTTGTCGTTTCCCCCGATCTGGCCAGCTCTGTAGCCAGATGGGCGCCCTATACTCTTGAAACCGTTCTTAGAACGCAGGGCCGCGAGCTTTGGATCATGATAGAAATCGTGCATGATTTTGGAATAATTGAAATTTGCGCCCTTTTCCACAATGAGCTCATGCAAGCGATGGCGCAGCCAGTCGACTGGGGAGATGTCAAGCCGATATTTGGCCAGCTCCCCGAGTGTTTCGCACATCCGAAATAACGTATCGTAAGCGGTGATGGTTCCCTTTCCGGTATGCGTATACTGTTTCGACAAAAGCTGGTAGGGGCTGATGTCGCCATCTTCTAAGAATTCCAAAATTTTCCTGCCCCGGTTGACCTGACGCCCGTTCTGAAATTTGGAAGAACCGCCTTCGCCTTTGGCCTTCCTCTCTACAGATTCGTCATATTTTTCTTGCCAGAGATCAAGCTGTGGTTGAATAATCTCTCGTACAGGAGGCCAACGCGGATCCCAATAAGGGTGGTCTTCGTCAATCTTCACAAGAGGGACGCCTTCAACACACTCGGGGAAGGTATAAACGGTGCCATTGTGTTTGAGAATCAAATTACTTCTTGTTATCTCGTCGGATGATGGGAGATGCTGCCTCGTGGGCTGTGGGGAATTTTCAACTGACTGCACGGAGGGCGTCGGAATGTCTCGAGAAGGCGGCCGGCCTCGATAATTCGCAGGGGTGAAACCACTTAAGGCTTGGTGGCTTTTCAAGCTAGAAAACGGATGCTCTCGGCTTTCCTTTGGGGTCGGCATTTGAATTGGTTCGGGCAGCACGGGGCTCCCATTCAAACGACTGGACGATCGAGCTATTCCTGCTTCCCGGCTTAGATATGGTCGAAGTGTTTGGCGAGACTGGTTCGCTGGTGGCATCCGGAATGCCAGTTGCTCTGGTTCTTTACCAACATCATGATACTGCATTTGCTCGTGTCTGGGTCCTCTGTTTGCAGATTTATAAGGTGCAGGCATATGGCACCCTTGGCGATTCCATTCGCAATTGCCACACTTTTGAAACAGTGGTCCACCTAGAACAACACAGTCCTCAAAAGCACCTTGGTTTTTATCGCAAGAATGGCAACGTCGTGGTTGAATCTCCCCTGTAGCCTGAATCATACACGCCAGCCACTTGACTCCTTTGGCCTCTGAGCGGTCATAGATGGTAGCCAAGTGATCCGAGGTGAACTTGCGTCCCCGGCGAATCCTGACCTGTTGTTTTATAGGCAAGTCTTGAATAGCTTCAACCCATTGATTCCATGGATCAGTCCTCTCTATAGGACCAATCACATGGCCATCAGCATCGATAATATCGACAAGCACGTTAGATGACCTCCGTGTGACCGGCGGAACGAGTGCGGATTTGACGGGAGTCAGAGCTTGCGTCGATCTTGCCGCTTCATTGGCCTGCTCCAGAGCTTCGGCGCGGGCGGCCTCACGCCCCTCGTCCCCGGATCGCGTACTATTCCTAAGTACTTCATGCCACTGCTCCTTATCCCGTTCAGATGGCGCGTCAGGGTCCTCTCCTCGTTTGACCCTAAAGAATCTTTCCATACTCTTGGCGATTTTGTTACGTTGCTCTAGTCTGTCGTGTTCGCTTTGGCGGTATTTCTGTTCTAGGATATTTAACTTGGTGGCCTTGTCGTCACATTCTTCCACAACTCGAGCAAGTTCTTCTTCCACTTGCGTCAGCTCCTTAAGAAGACGGTCCTGTTTCTCCGTGAGTTGTGTTCTCTTCACCGTTAACTTATCAAGATTGGCTCTCGTCTCTGCCTCCCTCATTTTATACCTCTGTTCTGACTTGCCGTAGTTGGCGTCGTTTTCGTGATCAAACTTGAGCCAAAAGTTACGTTCTGTTTCATCCCAGACTGACCGCTGTTCCTCGGCGGGGAGCAAATCAACCACTTCCATTTTGATGTATTCAAAAGCGCAGGTTGCCCCAGCGCTCTTTTATTATCACCAAAACAAGAAAACTTATGGGCTCAAGCGGCCTCGGCGCAATATCCGCCCGCTACCTAGCGTTATGCTGTTAGAGGCACTCTCTCCTCAGAGGTGTTACATATAGTTGGCTGTAGTTGGACGTACCCTTTTTGGCAATAGATTTCCGGTAGCCGACAGATGGACTCTCGTACGTCTCGGCCAGGAGAATGGCGCACGCAGCCATGAACCAGAACTATAAAGGCACAACTTTGGGAACTTTGGAGCCTGCAGCCACGAAGCTTGGCTTATAAACTTCCACGTTGCTAAGTTTCCAGTCCCTTGTTGGTCCCTGTGGCGAAGTCTAGGTGAATTGACTCGATCTATTATACACCTTGCAAGTGGACACGGAATCGACCAGGGGTGAGTGACCACCAACCAGAGAGCTAGAAGCTCGTATTGTTGATCCGCCGTCTTAGTGTGTGCTTTCCTTTCTTTCCGGCGAACAAGTATGTTGACAATCGGCGGGCTATGGTTTGATAGGCCAAATACCCATCTAGAAGCCAATCGAACGCGACGATATTGGTCTTCTGCCTTGGGTTGAAGACCCGCAAGTAATTAATATGATGGAAACAGGGTTCGATCCTGTCTGAAGACCCGCAAGTAATTAATATAATAGGAAACAGGATTCGATCCTGTCTGAAGACAAGGCAACTTGATTGTGGTATGAGCGAAGCCAAATTAGGGATTCTGATCAAAGTCAAAACAGCCTATACGGCTGATCAAACAAGGATAGCAAAATGGATGAAGGAGAGGGCTAACACCCACGGACACGAAGAAGAGCAGGGGCGGTGGCAACGAGTAGAAATATGGAAAGCAAAGGACAGAGAGTGGAGTCTTGCGGGCGACGAAGGGGGGTTGACGAGTGACTGAAAGAAAAGGAAGGGAGCTGGCTGTCTGTTCAGATCAAACGGAGACGACGGGCTGCACCAGTCAGCCAAAGCTCACGGGTCGTGTCAAGTCGTGAAAGCGTTGAAAGCCGACGGTGAAGCAGAAGCAGAGATGCCAAGGCGGTTCACAGTAGTCCCTATGGTCCCTATGGTCCCTATGGTCCCTATGGCTCCAGCTAGGTTCCCGACGGTCCTAAGAAAACTGAGGGCGTTGAGGGTGGCGTGAACAAAGTAGCCGCATAGGTATAAAATAGTGGTCAACACCGGCTCGTGTCCCAGAGGCAATGTCTTGGGTTTTGGCAGCGGGTAAAATTTCCGCAATCCCCCCGAGGTGTCAGGTTATGAGAGAGATTGGAAGGGAGCCCCTGCATGCCAAACGAAGGAGTTGTAGGTTGCGACGGAGGTGGCTGCCATGCGAATTATGCTTCAAGCGATGTCTCGCGAACTTGAAGCTGTGACAGCGGACAGCAGCTGGAGCTGGCATCCCACGTCCACATCGATGGCGGCCGATGGATCAGTTAGTGAGCTAAGGCTGGGCGCTGATAAGACACCAGAAAGCTGTGGCGCTGGGGGCAGGGCCTTGCACGCCCGAGAAATGGGAATGGAGAATGGAGAATGCAGAATGGAGAAATGGAGACTGGGCTGCGCAACGACTGCAAAACACGGCCCTTTGTGTTTGTGCGTGCGTGCGGGCGTGCGTTGTGTGTGTGTGCGTGTGTGTGTGTGTCCACGCGTGTGGCTATGAATAGGGAAAACGTGGAATTCGAATGCGGGAAAGAAAGGGAAAATAAGAAGAAAAAAGGCCAACAGATTGGGTGAGCTGGGGATTGAGGGCGGGCGCGCAAGCAAGGGAGGAGACTGAGGTGCCTGGCTCAAGCAAGTGAGACAAGGAACTGAGAGTTTGACTTGACTTGACTCGAAGCCTGAGAGCTTAGGAGGCGCTACTCAATTTAGCTCCAAGTATCGCAACATGAAGTACCCAGGTACTTTACTTGAGGAGATGCCTAAAAATTCTTATCTTGGGTACCTCCCCAGAAAAAAATACTTTGCCAGTACGGAGTACGGAGTACTGGCTACCTAGATCTGGGTTGGAACTCTTAGACTACTAGGTACTTACTTAAGTACCCAGTACCCTAGTAAATGCTCGACCAACTGGACAAGGAACTGGCCAACTCTGGAAAACACCTTTGGCTATCACCGTTTGACGGGACACCAAGCAGTATAAAGCAACTAGTCGAATGCTTGAATGGTCGATGCTGGAAAGGGGAAGAAAAATAAAAAGAGAGGACAATGACCCTTTGGCAGAGGATAGTCCAATGCGCAGCTAACGAGCATTCAAGGCACTCGCAGTATTAACAAATGCAGGCAAAAATTGGATGCGAGCCATCGATTGATCCAAGTACAGAGCACAAGCACCTGGGAGGTATCAGGTACAGAGTTCGCGGGTAGGGGGTTTTCATGCTCAAGTGCACATGTTGGCATCTGAACGCCGACCCGGGGATGCGCAGAGTAGAAATGCCATCATACATGTAGGTACTTACTTACTGTACTTAGTAGTGTGCCGATTAAAAAAAAAAGGTCGCCGGAGTACTCCGCCACTAGGTTCGAAAGTTCCCAGTTCAAAGAGGTCAAGGTCAATAACGACAAAAACGACCGTCTCCGGAGGGAGGGAAGCAGAGACCAGGGAAGGGGGGTGTCCTGGACGCCCCAGACTTGGTTCCTTTCTTTAAAGCTCTCAGCCTATAAAGGCTAATACTATAGTGTCTGGTCTGGTGCGGTGCGCTTCGTTTGGCTCTGACACGGGGGCGTGGATTCAACAATTCAACATCACACAGTTCTTGTTTTTCCTCTCGTCGGCCGCCAATGTTGGACCTTGGCAGATACTACGCCAGACACGCTGCGCATACATACATACTTATGTACGTAGATATGTATGTCGTGTCCTCGAGTATGTACATGGACTTATTCTCATATGACAAACCCTACAACCTTAACTGCATGTGGCCTGCGACTAGGACAAGGACTAGGGTGCTTCCCTTGGTTACACTTTAAGCATATCACGTTGTGGCTATTGATTGCTCCCTCTCCCTCTCTTTGCTTGATCTACAAATATCAATTTGAGCGGCTGCTCCGGCCACATTATGCGCCCTCATTCGGCTTGACGCTGCACAGCGCAGAGTGAAATGCTCAGCTGGTTCAAGAAAACGTCTGGGAACGAGGCGGCTCCGGCCCACGAAACTCAACCGCCATCTTGTCACGCTGCAGTGGCATCTACATTGCAGCAGCCAGCCTGGGCTACGTCGTAGACACATGTCAGTATTCACCTAGTAGCATGGAGTCTGCGTCAGTCTAGGGCTCTGTTCGAAACTGGCTCTCCGGTCTTGGCTTATGCTTTAATTTCCCGAATGTTTCGTCTTTCGGCTCCTTATCTCCCTGCGGAAGGAGCGAGCAAGAAAATATGTACTACTGCTAATACGGAGTACACTATAATGCAATTATATACGGAGTACCGTACGGAGGATGTGAATAAGGCTCTGTCATCATCATAAGCACACTCCCATGTGCATGTCTTGTCTCTCTTTGCAACCCTTGTCGTGCGCTTGCCTGTCCACACCATGGAACACCAGCCAGGCTCTTTCGGTCCGGGTCGTGTGCGCGTGTGTGCGTGTGTGTAAATGTCTCGAAGGGACTATGCTTCTTCTGCCTTGGTTTAATTTACCGCAGCTTGGTGCATGGGCTATAATAATATAATATTCAGTACGTTTTTCCCTATCAAGTTGAGGCCCACGCCGGTATGCATACTAGTGATAGTCTCACCCCCTCCCCCCTGTTTCATTTTTTTTTTTTTGAAAAAGCAGTTTCCACGTCCATGTATGTGTGATGTAATGACAACATCTACCTACCTGGGTAGTATGGAGGGAGTGCTATGGAGGAGTCGCGAGTTCAAACCAACGTTGCTCTTTGCCTTTTATCAACCTGGCATGAAGCCAGAGTCTCATCGTAGCGACGCATGCTGCAAAGAGTCTACGATTAGCCTCGTACCAAATCTGCATGTCGCAGTTCTGTACGGCGAGATATATAACACTGCAATGATTGCGAGAGACGTGTCAACTCGCCACCATCATTTCGCAAATTATCCATCGATACCTGATACCCGTGATGACTACCTCGGCATTGTACTCCGTAATGGCGGTCTGCTCTGCATCTCATCCTTGAGCCTCCCGTCCTTTCCTTTCCATCAACTCGGCAACCCCAAAAACGCAGGGCCACGCCACAGCCGTGCATTAGCTGGCTGCCGTGATGCCAACATGACATGCAACGCACGGCATGCCCCGGCTGGCTAACAAACGTTCTCAACTTTCCTTTATTCCCTTATGAAACGGGAAGTCTTCTCACGTGCGAGTAAACATACTTGTTGCCCCGAGGTCCTGCCCGCGGCTGCGCAGGTTTAAGCCCGGCCGGGGCAGCCATCATGCCTCTGTGCGAACCGACAGACTGAGTGATGAAGACATTGGTGCATCTCGCCTGCTAAGAAAGTTGCGGTGGGTGCTGTGCCACGTTTGCACTTCACATGATCAGGCTGACCCATGTTGGTGAGTTGATATTATTAATAGCACATCGCTTTTTTTTTTTTTGGCAAGCCGAACATTCCCCTTAGACAAGAACAATACACACTGAATCAAGAATTTCAAAGTGCCGATGGAGTCACCCATGCCAGATCGGCAATGACACACCAGTTAGTTGTTGGCCCCATAGCTTCCGAAGTACCTAGGTAGGTACCTGGGCACCCGTGGTTCGTACAATTCCTGCGGCACACTTGAACTGTTGGTATCCTCTGAAGAATGCTGTGGCGTTCTCTCGCCTCGATGTTGGATGTTGTAATGTTGTTTGCCAGGTAATGCACACGTCACAACGAACCTTGTCGACGATAATGCCTCATGATATTTGTAGGCTGCCAACCCAACCCAATACTGCCTGGATCAGCTCATGGTTGTAATCGTCGTCCAATAATAGACACGCTCGTACGGAGCACTGTTTGTGTTAGTTTATCTTCACTCACGACATGACGAGCGAGTACCCGAGGGGGGTGGAGCTCGTGGCCCACGTAGCACGTACGCTTGAGTTGTTGGCGCAGCCACGCTCTCACGATAGAAACGTCTGGAGGAACCGAGTGGGCGAATCTAGGTTATTGATACGCATTTGTTGATGCCATCTGTGCGTTCGTCCGTAAAACGTCAATATTGAGTCTGCTGGTGTAGCATAAACCCCATCCATGTCATTGGATACGATGGGGAAAAAATCTTTAGCTCCATGACGGTGGCGTGAGGCAAGTGCCAGTCAGAGGGCCTGGCTGGTTGGTGCTTGCCTGGGCAGGCGCCTCAGTGCCCATCGACGGCTTCCTGTTCCAGGGCAGGAGCGAGTGAGTGTATGCAGTCTGGTCTGGCATGAAGCAATGTCGGCAAGATCGAATTCCTGAGGCCTACACTCCACTCCTCACTCTTGGTCACGACCTCAAACCAGAGTCTTATTGCATCTTTGGACTACAGGCACATTAGCCTGTTCTCGTCTCCCCTGCGTGGTAGTAGCAGCATTATCAAGCCAATTGCCAATGGCATTTTTACATTACCACCGTTATCTAGGTGCATGGCGTCATGCGAAGGAAGGGGCACAGTACAGAATCCAGGCTTCCACGGAGTATGGACGTTACTGAACTTTCCCTTCTCACACCCTGCAATTCGCGTTACTGCTACTAGTGACATACATGCGACGTACGATACCCGTTCCACTTTTTTAATTTACCTTAATTAATTTCTAGTCCAGCTGTGGAGCAGTGTTCCGGCCCTCTTCTTTTGATGTGTTGAGTGGATGATATACGGAGTCAAGCGTGCATACAATTGACTGAGAGATTGAGTCACGGTGCCACAGACCTGCCAGCTAACAACCCTCAGTATCCTCCTGCAAGAGTTGGTCACAGTTACACAACCGAATAAGACGGGCGATACGGAGTACTCTTCACCTACCACGGCTCAAGGACTGAGTTGACGGCACTCCTTTCAATCAAATAACGGATAGCTTTCCAACACCACAATCTGGCCGCCACGCCGACATACAAGCTTGGAAGACACATGCTGGTTATAGACAACGAAGGGACCGACGCGCGATCCTTGCCTACTCTCCCGCTCCCTTTGAATCTTGCGCTAATCGCGTACATATTGCTGACGCTGGGGCCGGATGCTGGCCAGATTCGCAAATACATGTACTCAGATGTCAAAGTGGTCAAGGTGGTCAAAGCCCCTCGAAATCCTGGATGCTTGCCACAACTGTCATCCACCGCAGCTGGTCCGGGGGGGGATGATACGGAGTCAGCAAATCTATAATGCTCTATAATACGGAGTACTCTCCGCCAAATCACCACTAGTAGCGTGGACTATGCAGTACTATTTTCTTAGTGGTGGGTTCCATTGCACTATGCTCCTCCTGCTAACGCCCAGAATGACTGCAATGACCGTGACATGAGCATAATGCCGCCTATAGCGACCGGGACTATCGTGGTCGCCCTCTACGCCAAGGCTCGCCAGCACATGTCAACCCCGAGTTATGCACTCGGTAAATGCGGACATGATGTTGACGTCTTTGTCTTCTTTCACACACTTTCCGCATTCGGCCTCTTGCCTTTGTCTTCGCGTCTCCTACTTGCCTCAAATCTTATGCCCCAGCAAGCCTACTCTGAAAACGGCCTGAGCTCCGAAACAAAACAACGCGAACAACATGACAGACACAACGGAACCCTTGGAACGAAAGAAGGACGAAGAGGAAGAACAAAAAAAGAGCTGGGTTGCCCACACTCGCAGCATGTTTGTTACATCAACATATACTCTGGCTGCTGTAGTATGAGACACGGTGTTACACCTTTTCTTCAACAAGCGACGATCGCATTTTGGCCCTTTGTTCTTTTAACCCCTCGTCTTGGATGATGCGTCCAGAATTCTTCTTTACTCAGTCCGGGAATTGTTTCAGAGCCCCCTCATTCGGTCTCGTCTGGTTCGACCATGCCCCCGATCATCCGTCGCGCTTTGTCTACTTGGCTCAGGTGATCACCATTCCTCGATTTGCAATGACTTTGAAGTGTCTGTCGGATCTCCCTTGCTAAGATGGAGCATAAGCGGGTCTGTCCATTTTTGGGTACCCGTGCTGGTCTGGACTAGCGACCAGGCCAGGTTACCGTGGACCACGCGATGCTGCTGTTGCTGCGGTCAACTTGACCCGTGTTGTTTCCAAACAGTAGCGGATTTCAACTACAACCCACAAGTCTTATTTCTTTCATGACACCATCTTGTCTGGCTATGCGCGGGTTGTGGATTTTGGCGGTGGTGGTGGTGGTTTTCGTTCTTTTCGGGTCAATGATTCTCGAGGTCTCGTCGCCCTTCACCATGGCTAGGCCGTCTTCTCACTGGGTCTCGTCTGCCTAAACTCGAGGTCAAATCCGGTTTCCATGCCGTCATATTCTTCAAATTACCCCCAGGCACCCCCGGCATCTTCTTGACCGTCCCTACTCCGTGTTTTATTGCTGCTGTTTGTTCCTCTGCGAAGCAAACTGGCGGCCTCGCGCCGTCCCAAATCTTACATGCCTAGTCACGTACTCGGTACAATGGCGAGGGAAATCACAAAAACGCATCACCCCCTCCTTTGATGCTGCGAAATTTGATTCCAGAGGCGGCAGAACCAGTCTGTCGGAAGCGGTCCACCACTCGCAGGCCGGCGTTTGTGGCTCTGCAGCAAATACTGTGACAAGTTAGTTGTGACAGAGTTTTGCAAAGGAACCTTGGCGTTGGCTGCATACATGTAGTACCACGACATGGGAGCAAGAGCCCAGGGCCCGCAGCCAGCTTCAATGCTGCGTCGCCCATCGATGTCTGGAAGCACCCCTATCCCCGTTCCCCATTTTCCCCATGCATCCCTCGGTCGTCCAGAACATCAACGGGCCTTTTTCTGGTGTTGGCTACCTACCTAGGCAGGTTGTTGCCCAGGCTGCCACCTTGGCGCGCTGGGAAGGACCGGAATTAGAGACGCCTTGGCGCACCAAGGCAGACAGAGGTTGGGACTGAGCGGACTGAGGACTGAACCACTCAGCCGGAACCAAATCAGAAGTCAGAACTCGACGCTTCCTGGACGAAAATACGCGCGATGCTGTCTCCCCATTGGCCTATACCAACCCTCCAACCCTACCCCCGTAAGTCTCAAAAACTTCACCAGCTATTACCAAATGCTCACCCAACTAAAGCATCTCCTAGGAGGTAGGTACCTAGTACGCAGTCATGGACATAAACCTACGTCCTTACTACCTACAAGTACGTAGTGAGTACATAGAGTCCGTACGAATGCATTGTAGTGAAAAGGCATGGGTCAAGTGCAAGCACCGACAATATATCCGTCACCCAAGATTCGATCATCTCTGGGTCCCCCCCGCACAGCCAAAGGTCCATTCTTGTATTTTATCGAATAGGACGACCGCATTTGTCGTTCCTTTTTCCTTTGTCGTTCCCAGTAGTACTTCATCTTGCTCGCCTGTGCACATTCTCTGTCCAATCCAACGGAGGCTACCTTGACTGAGGGAGGGTGTAGAAGAAAAAGAGAGCGCACCTGTGCCTGCTCTGCCACGCCACGCCATGCCGTGTTCTGCTCTGCTCAACCAGAGTCCTGTCAGGTCGATGCCACACCCCAGAGCTTCAGTTAAATCTCGTCCCCGAGACAAGGACCTTGTCCATCACAAGTACCCAGGTGCCAGGTACCCGCCTCACTTCGCAGGTACTACTCCGTGCCCAGCAGCCAGGTACCCAGTCATGTCTTGTACAAAGACTGCCAAAACCAAGTGTCAGGCCGAACACTTGAGCATTCCTTTGTCCAACGTCTTTCGCCGGGCCCTTTCCCCTGTTCCCTGTACGATTCCCTGCCCTTTGCTTCCCGCTTTGGCACCGCACATGCAAAATCGACTTATGGCCAATATCGCGCGGCATCCGCGGAATTGGCAAACATCCGAGGAGAAGACAAGTACAAAACAGTACCGCAGCATGGAGCAACATGAATGGCACTGGGCACAAAGAGAACTTGGGAAAACATTGGCCAACTGAGCCCGACAACACAACGAATTTGGGACCCGTCCAAGACAATCTCCGACATCGATATGGAATGTGTGTCTGTTTCGTAACAGATATAGTTCTTTACGTCTTTCAACCCTTTTCGTCTACAACGCCAGTGCCCATGTATCATATCCCATGGGCAAGTGTTACAGGATCTATAAGGAAAAAAAAAAACAAAAAAGACAAAAACAAAGAACCGACTTCCACAATCGCCATAAGCTCCCTACCCATCCCTAGCCGCTTAACACCCGTTGTTTGCTCTTGAGCAAGTCATGGTGCAGTATCCAGTCGCTACCGTTGGCATGTCCTATAATACTCACAGCGCTAATGCCAGGTCCAAATATAACGACTCAAAAAGAAAAATTAAAAAAGAGAGAGAAAAGTACAAATCATTACAACATAGAACCAACAACATGATCCGCAAGACCGCTCAGCCGTGAGGGATGAATTAGTAGAAACACTTATTCCGTTCAACATGACGGATGAAAATATGCGCCAAGAAGGTTCAGACTTGCAACTCCACTTGCCATCAGCAGCCCATATAGATGGACAATCATTCATCACTCAGTATTTGGTAGAGTAACGGTGCGCAGTTGGCGAGTACGGAGGGTCGTAGCTGCTGGTGTGACCATACGGATCGTCCGCATAGACAGTTGCTCTGCGCTCGTCTTCTGGCAAAAGCTCCTTGACTTCCCAGTTGTTCATACGTGTCCCCACGGAGAATTCCAGATCCTCCTTGGTAATTGAGTCCCAGTACTACCAGATAAGTCAGTCAATATCTTCCAGTCTGTCGCACTTTTGCCAAAGCCCCCACAGGGTAAACAACATCCCAGCTGTGACGGGACAGCAAATGTTGATGAAGTGGCTATATCCATTCCTGGTGTCGGGGAGAGGGGCCATACCTTATATACCATCATAACAGCAAGAAGGTTGCAGACTGTTGCAAAAAATAGGCCATCCAGATAGTGGCTCACAGCTGTGCAGATTTTGCTGCTAAACGCATAGAGGATAACCTGCCCAGCCACAAAGAAGAAGACACCAAAGGCAATGTCACCAAGTGGCCAACGGTCATGCAGGGTTCTAGTTACCAAGATGACCTGCATGCCTACATAGATGAACAGCTCAATGGCGTTCAACAGATATAGAACGACAAACAGGCCTACCGTGTTGGTCGGGTTCAGGCCCGCCCATCCTTTGAAAGTAGCAAGAGAAACAAGAAAGCTGATGGCAAAAGCAACCAAAGAGCAGATTCGCATCATCCAAACCGACAGAGGTGTGCCATCCTCATATAGCTGAAATCCCACAAACCCGTTGATAAGCAAGCATGTTACCAGCGCATTGCTCAAACCATTCTGTATGCTGACAAAGTAGGGGAATGGCCCACTAGCCGGCGGAACCACTCCAGCATCCACAACCAGCGAGATGAAGGTCAAAATCATATATATGTAGAAGAACGATAGAATCTCCTTTCGACCAACCGCCGTGAACTTGCTACGAACATGGAGAATCATCACGATCGTCATTATCAGTGCCACGATGTGCATAGCAGATGCGGCACCTTCGAAAATGATGGTGTTGGCCAGAGCGATATTGCGAGCATAGCAATCAGGTTCGATGCCGACACGATTTGTCGCCGGGAGGGTAGGCCCAACGCTGGCGCAAAGAGGAAGTGGCGCATTCTCACAGATTGAGGTGAAGTCACCGAAACCAGACATCTTGCCTGTCTTCGTGATTTGTCCCCCACAAGAGGCCTATATCGAGACAGAATCTTCAGGCGACAAAGTGGAAGGTACTTCGTAAATCTGATCAGCAAGGCCCGTTGTTGAAGCCCGATGTGGTCGTGCCGTTGACCGTGGACTATACGATCTTGGGAGAGTTGAGATTCAGATCGAACGGCAGATGGTGCTCCCTACAGAAGGATTTTTGGACCGATGTCACTGCAGCTTTGTCGTCCAACACCAGAACAATATCGAGCAGTCGGTATGCAGTCCTATCGATGTGCCTCTCCTTTTGAAAGTCTCGGGAAGGTGCTGGTCCAAATACAGCGATTCGCAGTCTTTTGGGTATTTTCAATTCGTGTTTGCGGCAAGAAATATCCGTTGATGGATCGAAAGATGCGTACTAGACGATCGAGAAGGGAGTGCTCAAGATAGGGACCATCTATGTGAGTGGCAATCGCTAATGCAGGGTTGGGAGACAGTTGTCTGATGTAAATCGGCAAGTTTTGGCCAAAGCGAAACTCTCCGCGCCGTTTGAGGACCAAGCTGAACAGCCAAATCGCCCACTCCAAGTCCCAAAGGTATGTTGCCGCGATTTCAAATGTCGCAAGTCTCTGTATACGCTTCTTGGCCAGACGTGGCGAAGCCAGAAGGCCAAGGACGCAAAAAAGAGTGTAGATGTCGGAAACTCGGGAACCAACTAGAAGAGCGAGCGGCTGAGTCAAACAGAGCTTTTGCTCCTCGCTGGGATGCGACTAGCGATGAGAGATCAGGTCGAGGGAGGATGGGCATGGAGGAGGTAGAAATGGACATGAAGGTTCCACGTCCAGGGTCAACTGGTAGAGAGAGAGAGTCGGGGGCGGTCTCGCGGCTGTGGCTGTGGCTGTGGCACTATTGACTACTACCCAGTTGTTGCCATAGAGGAAGGGACGACTGACATAGCGACCATGGTACATGGCCCCTCGAGTAGTGAGTGAGAAGGGATAGATGGGTGCTTGTGCCCTTGTTTGTTTCGGGTATTTGCTGGCCTCTGGTTGGCTAGTATTGCCCGTTGCCCCTTCAATGTCCACTAAAAACAAAGGCTCCAGATGCACATGTGCCCAGTCTGATCGTAAATCTTCGTAAACACGTCCAACCTACTTAAACCTACTAGGTACGCATGAGTTGCTGCCTTTGCTTCTTTAAACAGTTCATTACAGGATGTGACTACTATCCACATCCCGTTTTAAAATTCACCCGGAAGCCAGTTTAGACCCAGCCGCATCTGTTCCATTGGCTGAGTCACAAGGGACATTGTAAATACACTCTTCAGGGCATCCAGCGCCGAGATAGGCTCTCCGCGGTTTAATCTGATTCCTCGACCCGATCACATCTTATGAAACACAGAAGTCGGGCCCTCCGTAAAATGAGCCATGTTCTTCACCCATTGAACCGCCCTGACATCCCAGCACTCTGGTCCATTCTCGCACTCCAAGCGGATAACAGAAACGAGGCTAAGGGCTATGTGAGAGCCAAAGCAGGGATACGCTATTGGTGAATATTCACTCCGTACTCCCGGTGAAAACTGAACTACCCAAGTACTTATACGAGGGCCCCTAGATGTACAATGACCCCTCACTGTAGGTAAAGTAGATTCTTCATTCTCGGTGATGGTCTTGAAGCCGATCGTGATGTGATGATACATTGTCCAATCCAACCTTACTTCCGAGTCTCGGAAGCTGTCTTCACAAGCCGAGATGAAATTGATCTATCATCAAATGAAAATGCGTAATGCGTCAGTTGGCAACGCTCCCGTCATTGCTGACTTATTGTAACTATCTAATAGCTGCGCGACTAGCCAGAAGTCGCCCGATGTATAACCACAGACCAACTCACACCCCTCTGGAGGAACCAGATAGGCACCATACAATCAAAGTCAACTCGAATGCAGAAATCATCCATCCGTCTCTCTTGCTAATGAACCTCTGTGGCTGATTTGCCATTAATTGAAAATTCGCAAAAAAACTCCATCAAATGCATTTATGAAGTGCCCAGGCTCATCCGTGACTATTCCTCCCGTGTGGTATTTGTCAACCGATCACCTCAACATGAATCACATCATCGGAAGTTTGTGATAACATAGCTGCCAAACCGGAGCGGTTTGGGGACAAGAGATAAGAGGCCCAGAAAGCCCCAGGCCCGCAAACCGAAAAACCTAAAAATTATTTGCAAACCCAACGCCTAATTCCATGTCATTTCATCCATGCCTGCGTTTCCATGTAGTGTCTAAAAACATTCGTACAAATGACGAAAACAAAGGCCATGCTTATATAAAACACAAGCAAGCTCGAGTCTAATTTCGTCCGGTCCGGGGAAATAGGAGTGTAAAGTTGTCATCTTCCAAGTCAATTTGCAGCCTACATTATCACTGTAGTGCACATCGTTGGTACCTGCGGCGCCAAATTGCTCATTGTTCAAACGGAGCGAGACACTTGAGTGCAAACACCCTTAGGACGTAAAGTGGCCCTGGTGCGGACCGTGTGGTATAAGATGCTGTTGCTGACCTCGATTGTAGACCAAAAATTCAGGTACGATGCCGGTTCGTAGATCGTGTCGCCGACCTAGTGGCTGATAGTGCATCTGATTCGGCTGGACTGGAACCGAAAGATGATACTGGTCAAGAGACGCCGATGGTGGCGGACAAAGAAGCCTGTTGACGTGCCGGATGGGCTTGTACGGGCTAGCCCGATGCTGCAAATACACACTTGGCGAATTCGATATCGGAGTATGAGCGATAGGCGTGTGAACCGCGGATCCAGGCCCGAAAGCTTCCACCAGTGGTGAGGAACCATAGGCAGGCGCCATATTTCTAGGGCTGTGGTGCTTCGTCGGAGTACCATAGGGCACCTGTGGGTGTATCGGCAAGCCTGTAATTGGATAGGTAGATCCGGTTATTGCGGATGAAGAAGAAGCTGACACGGATTGCGGTTGCAAGGCCACGGCAGACGGCGTACCAGTCTGATAGACAGTTGACATTGCTCGAACACCCGATTGAAGAGGAGGTAGAGATACCACCTGTTGAGATGCAGATGGAACCGAGCCTTGAGAGGAAAAATTTTGGCCCGTTGCGAACTGATCGGGGCTATGACTCGTCACCACAGTTAGGTGAGGAACTGGTAATCTGGTACTGTCAACATGTCCATTCAGTCGTGTACTGGAGGCTCCTTGGACAATTTGTGCAGCGGCTGAATGCACCATTCGTTTAGCAGGATGCTCCGTTAGATCCTCGTCGGGACTTCGTTTGCGAGAGGATGGTACAGGGATCGAAATTTTCGATGCCAGTGGGGATGTAGCATTGGACTGGTAAGCCGACACATTTTGACAATGTCTCGAACTCGGTGAGAGATTAAACTTGGTCGAAGGCGTGAATGGCGGGATTCCAGTTCCAGTTGGCGACGGAAGGGGCGAATATAGCGCTTTGTGACTAGGAGAAGGGATATGAACGGGAGATACTGGAAGATTGGAAGCTCGCTCATAATAATCATGGAAACAGGATAGTTTCACAATCCACTGCTCCCATTCCTCCTTTGAAGCCAACAAGTTATATCGCATGTTGCTGAGGAACTCTACTTCCATCACATGAATTTCCTGGACAGCGAAACAAGATACCTCCGCCCAGGTTTTGTTGGTATATGTGTTATCGTCCAGAACTACCGATAAACAACAATTAGCTTTCGCTGCATTCAAATCAAGTCAGTCACAATTCAATTATACATACACTTGTTCCCAAGCATCAACGCCACTGTCAAAAGTCGATATTCGCTACCAGCACGTCCCTTTATCTGCGGTGTCGACATCTTCAAACGATATATGAACAACAGGGCCAACAAGATGACATTCTGGGTGACTTGGGTCGTTGACAGAACATTGTATACCCATTTTCGAAACTGTTCATGAGGCTTTGCCAAGGCGGGGAGTCGCTGGATTGATGCGTTGGGTTGTCGTGATCGAATCGATTCAGCTTTCTTCAGCTCGTCAATAGACTCGAACCAAAATAAACAGGTCATCTATGAGGCCCCCCCAATTCTTGTTAGCACCCCAGTCGTTGTTTGGACTCGCAGCCTAGGATACAGCAGAATACAACCAACCTGAGCAGCAAAGTCGGATAGGTTTCCTCCAGTATGACTAATACACTTGGGCATTTGCAAGCTGTGGTAAATCAACGTTTCTGAGCCTCTACGGGGAGTGGTCGAATGAGAGCGCTTAGCCGCTACTGAAGATTCCGTAACAGGAGTTAAGGAACTAGGAGGTTGACGCAACATCGGATCTGCGGCCGGTTCTGTCGATAAATAGGGTCCATTTCGGAGCTGGACTTGTTGGGATGCATAACGGTACTGGTGAGAACTTCTTGCATCATCCACAACCGGCTTGATGTGGCTAGAATGAGATAATGCTGAGGGGTACCCAGATAATGTACGGCCCTCAAAAGTCGGCATCGCAGGTTGATATGCTGTGCTCATGTCGTCGACCGGTGGTGTCCTAAGCCCGTTGCCCAAACCTGAAGACGTACTGACCAGAGGGAGCTTTGGCAGGACAACACCACAGGTAAGATTTCGTCCCCGGCGGTTTTGGCACGTCGTAGGTGAAGGGAGCAGACACGAAAGTGTAGAAGTTATTTTAACGGACATGGAGAGAAACGTCTGCACATTTGGTGTTAATCCGGGTCAAGATGGCACTGGATTGTGACTCGAGAAGAAGAGTTGCCGTGATCTTCGGCATTCGAGGTGGGCGACGTGGGATTGTCCAGAGTCGCAAGTTCGTTCGTGAAGAAGTGGGACAATGGGAATTATCCGCATCCAAGAATACAGTGAATAGGGCAGCGGGAAGGATACACGAGTAGGCCGTGGTTGTTTGTTTTCAAAGAGATGTTCGGGCTATGAAAACGAAGGGCCTTGCAGGTGGCAGCGGTTGTCGTTCTGTGATTGTGGTGTAAGTGTGCGTAGCTCGTTGAAAGACACCCCCCTCGGTTGCACTTACTGTGGCCGCTCAGCAACAGAAAGACAAAAGGAATGCAGCATGCAGTTAATTTTCTTCCACAGCTGCACTTTGATTTTCACCAGAACGGGCCCATGATTGAAGAAAGAAAAGGGTCAAAGACGACACGGATCGTGTCGTGGAAACCAAGGAGACATGACCCGGCTCGGCTGATATGAGGGACAGAGGGAGAAAGACGACGGTCTCGGCGTAAATGGTATGGTGGAGGGATAGATGGTGTTCAAGGTTCAAACGGGGCTGTGGTTGGTTCCAGGGCGCCAAGGCGAGGGCCACCGTCGGTGGTTGCTGGGCCCGCGTTTATGCTTCTGGCTGCCGGGTCAATCAATGAGAGTCAATTGGACGGCACAGGGGGGGCGTGTGGCAGCAGCCGACAAGTTGAGAGAGGAGTGAGGGTGAGGTGAAAGACGAGTTGTAAGGACCCAGCCAGAGCAAGTCGCACCTGCGCTTGCACTTGCACGGGCTGATGACAGGCAACTGGGGCAACTGCCTACTAGGTACTAAGTAGGTAAGGGGGGCCCCGAGCACAACTGAAGGGAAAGAGCAGCCCAGTGGACTGGGGGGAGCTGGGACAGGATGCGAGACGAAGGCGCTGGATTTGGTGGTGCCTGCCACTTCTGCCACTTCTGCCACTTCAACACCAAGCCTGCAAATTAGAGCCATGACGGATACGTCCAGGTACCTGCGCTCCACCACGGCTGCCACGGCTGGCAAGTACCTCCATGGCGCCACCGCTGAGACAGTGTACTTGCCGGAGACTTCCACGCAAGTAGTAGTGGCTTTGTCCAGGTTCTAAGTTTAGCGAGCACTCGCGGCTGTGAAGGCAGAGTCAGCTGCCACGCCGAACTTGAGAGAGCCGAGAAATGAAAATGTCGAAAGGAATCCGCTTCTAAAGTTTCTATTGAGACCATACGGAGTACGGAGTATACCCAAAGTCACTACGCGCCGACCATCTAGACTCCATTCGGCACCAGACATCTGCGCAATTTTGAAGAGTCAAGCACGCAGGCCAGCTGTCATGGTCGAGGGCTGGGGGAAGAGATGAGAAGGGGCAAGTGAAGAGGCGATCCGCCCTTTTGCTCGATGCACCTACCTGCAAACGCAAACCTGGTACTTCGTACTCTGTACTCCATACAATACACGGGGATCCTAAGTCAGCTCCATCGACTCCTACTCTACATCTGACTGACAGTGGTTGTTGAGTGGTATCCAGGCATCGTCGAAGCAAGTGGCTCAGCCGGCCAAAACAAGTCAAGAGCCATCCTGCCATCCTGCCATCCACAGCTACGCCATGCTTGGCGGGAATTCCTGTGGGCTATGGGTTGACCACCGCTCCTGCGCGCCTCCTATATCTCGCTATTCGCCGTGTCGGGTGGTTTGGTTTGGAGAGAGACCAGGTCCGACGCCAGGCCACCCGAGTGCTCCGTATACTACTTACATATCCGTACAATTTATTGCTAGTCGACCCAGGCTGAACCTGGCCAAGTGAGCGAGTGGCTCCATCTCGAGGTCCCCGGTTGGCGGAACTGCGTTTCTCTCTCAGACATTCGCAGGTGCAAGCTGGACACACTGACGCTGGCTCCGAGCTAGTCGAAGCGTGGCACACCCACCAGCCAGACCCAACGCGCAACTGCGACGCCGTCAAGCATGGACAAATGTGGTTTGGTCGTGGCAACGGGCTTTTCATTCCCTGTGGATCGTCGGTTCCAGCTCGTCTCGATGCCAATAATGGGCTATTGTGGACGCTTGTGTCGTCCGTCTTGCTAATAAATTACTCGCAACAAGAAAAGCCATTCGAAAGGTGGACACCGGCTTTTGGTGATGTGTATTATTGTGTATGGTACATTCAATCAATCGGCTCGAGCCACTCCTCTCCTCTTATAGCCGGTACAGGCGATCCCACTGTGTCAATACACACTTATTACGCACCTACTAGCTGCTCAAAACCGGCCAGCAGGTGTGGCAGGGAGACCAGCAACGAATGGGGCTTGTCGCTCTTGATGGATCAACCCCATGTTAACTTGAAGTGCCACGATATCCAAGGGTCCATCGGTGACTTTGGCCATCATCTGACACTCGGACAAACGCAAAATAGAAATCGAATGTACAGCCTCGCTCTCGCAGACAAGGTGCGCTCTTAACTAGAACGGCAACTCTACCTGCTCCTTCGTCAATCCGTGTCACACTTGAAGTACGGAATACGGAGTACATGGAACGATACTCCCACGGTTGGAGTACCTACCAGACTTGGGTAGGTAGTCAGACGCAACCGATACGAGACTAGCTTTGACTACACCAATCCCTTCCAGTGGCCAGACCAGGAGGAGCCTGACGGTTGAGCCAGACATTAATGAGAAACGCAAGGTATGGGCCTCATATTTTGTCACCCCAATACTACTACTCATACATGGTACACATCGGGCTGAATGCTCTGGGACGTTTGCTTCGCAAAGTATAATCCTGGACATTCCAGGCTTCTGTGTATACATAGAAGCGAAACCATGGCCGCGGCACATCAAGTATCCGATGATCTGGGAGTGTGGTCTGTGAAGGCACATCAGCCAACCGAGGGGCTCGACTGTGATCGATTACACGGAATCGCGGCACGTAGAAACGATCAGTCTTCACGGAGTTTAGTACGGAGTATTGTTTGCTGAATGGCACGCTACTTGGTGGGTGTGAGCAGAGACCTGCCAAGTCAGCCATCCAAGAGACAGAAGTGATGTACTGGTGGTCCCCCTTGCAACGACTGACATGGGCAACAAGCAACATTCATTGCCGCACCACGTTCCGGCATCATTGCCCTTGTCCGAGTCAAATGCATGTCCACAGTCCTGACCCAATTGAACTAGTTTGGGTATCCCCGTACGGAGTACAAACGCATTGAGGTGAGCGGGCCTTTTGTGCCTGAAGCTCTCTGCAGCCGCCGGTGTTGCCGCCAATGCAGAACTCGTCGCCTGGTTCCAAGATCAAGCAAGCATATAAGTACATACTAGCACAGTACTCAGTAGCAGCGGGCGACCACCCAGAAGTAGGGTTTACGTGTGATAGATGGTCATCACACTCAGCTTCCCGACTTTCAAAGATGACAAGTTATTCCTTGTCCTCCTACTCCGTATAGGGTCGGGTCATCTTGACAGTCGAGCAGTTTCTACAAACAAGGGTTCCGACAGAACAGGAATGGCTACAGCTGTTCTTTAGGGGTTGACATGCATCCTGCGGCTGCTCCGTACTGTGCATAATGGCCTCGGTCATCTGGCCTCTGTTATTCTCTCGCAGGAGTTGGCCATGGTAGTTTCTAGGTCCCCTGCAGGCTTTACCAACTCAGGACAAGCTGAAGACAAGCACCAACTTTGGCCTCCACCGTCTACAAGCCGCCAAATGCCACAACTTGCAGAATATTCAACCACTTTAAGCCAGCTGGGGTTGCCGCACTTTCCTTCCTTCCCGCTGTCTCGATTTCATGATCTCATCATGGCTGCGTCCTACTGCCTGTGTCGACATTGACTTCTGGTGCTGTCCTGGTTTTTAATACGCCATAGCCTTGGCGGGCTACCTGCTACCCGAGCCATCTAGTTGTTGCAAGGAAGCCATGGACAGAAGCATGTGGACATCATCGTTTTGTGCGAGAAAGCAATAAATATGTCAATACTCCGTCAGATTGGTGTACTCTCGGCCATCAAACACCACACTTCATACTTGGGTCCAGAGCGGCGCATGAGCTTGGTTCCACCGTGCTTCTCATTCGCTTAACACGTAAAGACGCAGGCCAGTCTTCAAGCTGCCCACCAGATCAAGTTTTGTGACCTGGAACACTCTGGCTTGCTGGTTGCACAAGTCGCTTCGTGGCATAAAGACCCTTCCGTGGCCACTAGCCACGGTAAAGGAAAAGAGCAGATTTGACGGAGAAAGCGTATCTGCTGTCTCGCTTTCAGATGTCGTGTTCTTGCTTGATCTCGGAAGAATCCACATGCCCAAAAATCCGGTCACTTATCAAAGTTGGTTGACCAATCATCCAAGTTGTATCTCTTTGTCGCTCGACGACTGTGGAAGTCTTGTTACATGTGAATATTTTCCATGGCATACGTACTCCATGGCAGGACGCGCAACCAGCAAATTACTACCTAGGTAATTTTACTAGGAATATATACGGCCAGCAGCTTGTCACTCAAGACTCAAACATTGTGGTCCTGCTCGATGAATTGGTCTCAACCCGGTGATGTATTCGACATGCCATGCTGATTCAAATGTCTAGAGCCGACCTTGTCATCAAAGTGGCATGTTTTATAGAGGGTCGTCATCAAGGCGACTACAGAGCAAAGCACTTCTGAATTGCTCCTAGCCAATGATGTTTTCAACAGTACACATACATAATTTACTTAACACCGACCAGGGTGGTGAACGTCACAATAGTACTACGCGAAGGAGTAGAGTACGGGATACAGTGAACTGGAACAAAATCCCCAAT